CTCAAAATATTTACGGGATGCAATAGTAGGCACACGGCTGCAAGAAATGCAGAAAAAAAAAATATGTCGGTCAAGAGTACATTGTGCATGCATGAGTGCATAATTATTATAATTATTTCTTACAGCTTAGTGTCATATTTGGCTATTAATAAAAAAAATACAAAGACAATTTATAAATACTTGAGCTCAATAGACATCATATTATAACTTACCCATATCCATAGTGTTATAGCGCAGGATCTAAGATATAATTAAATCATTAGTGTCTTTGTAATTCAATTCATAATTCTTGATACTTACGGCTGTGTCATCTTCATCCGGGCCTCGGCTCATTGACTCGGAAGAGTGTGCTGTAGCTTGAAGCACAAGTGGGTGGCCAATTGCAAGCGAATTGAGCCAGTAATCTTGCGTGATAAACGAAACATCGCTGGACATGCCATCCACATTGTACTCCTCTGTTTCACGAATAGACAAATCATCGGTAAGTAATCACCGATAGTAATGATTAGCAAAAAGAAAAAAAGGCTTACTAAAGAGTCTTGGAAGGATATAACTCCAGGCAGCTTGAGGGTCTCTCTATTAAAGAAATATATAATTTAAGAATTGTATATTCAATAAAGTTAAAAAAAAAAAAAGGGGGGGGGGGGGGGGGGGGAGGAGGCGGACTTGGCTGTTAGGGTTTGACTTACGGTGCCATTATCCCAAGCAAGGACAGGTAAGAGAACCTTGATACCTTTCTTGTGGAACTGTTCGACTAAACCACGGGTTCCAAATGTACCTGAAGATATATATATATATGTGTATGTATTGTTTGTTGATTAGTATTTGTTATTGTACCTTTGATAACAATGCTGTCCTACCTCCGGGAAGGCACCGGAAAAAGTCTTCTGTGTTACGACTGTCACATCCCATGTTGGGGACTGAGGGCCAAATCTTCGTTACCGAAAAAAAAGAAAGACGTTATTCAGGGCTCTTTGAATGAGACAATTCAGGAGAGTAAAAGGAGAAGGTGTAAAGGGGGGTGGAAAGGAAAAAGGGGGAATATGAGGGGTGGTTGGCGCTAACTTACAACAACAGAGTCTATTTGACCATAACGCTCTTCGGTATCTGTGATGCAAAGTAAGATATATACACAAGGGTCAGAAAATAAAATAAAGTAAAATAAAATGTATGCGTACAAATACACACGCAAATCGTATGTCTATCTATATTTCAATTTACCTTTCAAAAAGCGGTCAACGGTGTATGTGTTGGTCTTGTAATCGTACAAGAACAGATCGTGAGCCATTACATGTGGCTGAACATAGCTGGCTGTTACCCACTATATATATATATTTAGTAGAAAAAATGTTAACCGAAATATTTACAATTTGCTTTAATTAATTTTTCTTTTACCTCCAGAGATGGTACATCATGACCAGCCGTAATATCATCTTTTGGAGCCTTTTCGGATTGTTCGCGACGCCATTTACGCATAGCCATGTTCCAGTGAGCAAATTCACGTGGAGAGGTGGGACCATCAATCTGGTGAGGACGCAGCTTGAGATTGTACTCTCCGGTCAAAGGCTTGATAAGCATTGTGCTATAGATGGGATGAAGGAGTTAACTGAGTAAGGTGAATAGAAAAACTGGAAAGAAAGAAAGAGAGCTATTTGACAGTAGTTTATATACTTTCCAAAAAAAATTAGTGTTTATAATCATTAGAAGTATCACAGACTTTACTATACCTTAATATAATATATTATACTCTTCTTCACAGTATAAATATTGCTGTGCTATAAAACCAAGAGAGAGAGAGAGAGAAAAGAGGGGTGATGATTACACTTTCTGTGGTGGCAAAACAGTTTGTGATTCTGTGTATGTATGTATGTATGGGTGTATGGGTGTATGGGTGTATGTGTACAGATGTGTATGCAGATCCAAAAATAAGCTGACAGCCGTAACACTATTGAAGGTCAAACAGACGATCAAATAACTAGACTTTGTCTCGATCAATAAACAGTTTGGACATCTTATTTCCACTGCTATTATTTTTGTTGTTTATTTATTTTATGCACCAACAATAAGCTCAACGCCTCTTCTAAAACAAATTCAATATTAACCCCCAATTCTCCTATGTGCTATCTTTTATTTTTACTTTAAGTGAAAATAACAACAAGATGTGTGTGAGGCCTGTTATAGAAAATAAACACAAAATAAAGCAATAAATACATCCCTTGATTCCTTGATTCCTTGATTCTAGCCTTTAATCGTACATGCAAAATCTTTCTATGGATATATGGCTGCTATATATCTATACCTATTACATCTCCATGTATCTCTAAATGTCTTCGAGAGAGTGTCCTAGATGATAGATACGCCTAATTTCTTTTTTTAGACGATCTGCTTAAAGGTAAACCAAAATAAAACCAAAATAAAAACCGGCAGGTTACTGAAACACTTTCCAAAAAAGAAAAGAAAAACAAAATCCCTTTGCTGTTTTAGCTGACAAAACATTGTAAATCCAACCACCACTAAAAAAAAAAGAAAGGCCAAAAAGAGTTTATCGAATTGGAGACAGTGAAGAGCATGAAGCTGATATTAATAATATTCATGTTCATAGTAAAGACGCTTTGTTTTTTTTTTAAAAAAAAATAAATAAATTTAAAGACATTTGGCAGATTAAATATTAAATATTAAATATTAGATATTAAATGAGACATTTATTTATTTATTTATTTGGTCGTTACATTGGAAAGATATTTTTGGTCTTGTAATTAATATTAGATATATAAATGGGCTCTTCATTAACTCGTATCTATAAAGAGAAGGGAAGAAAGCAAAAAAAAAGCTTATAAATAATTTTATACAAAAGATTGCATTAAAGAAGTTGTACTTCTTTACAGATATCTTTAGACAATTCTTTACTTGTCACAAATAGCTTTAGTCAACTTTCTTTAACAAAAGACACTCAATCTCTTGCAAAGATATCCTCCAACTTCGTTCACAGTGACGACTTTGCTTTTATTAAATTCAATTTGCATTGAACAAAAATTAAATAAAATTTAAATTAAATAAAATAAAATAGCAAGGCCTTTTATATATATAATATATATATATATACAGATTGACATTATTAAACCACACAATTATCAATGACAGAACCACGTACAATTGTGGTGCTGGATGGTCATCCATCTACAATATCATTAACTGTTGCCCCTCCAGATCCTAATCTTACTGGTTTACGTACGTCTAGTTTCTTCAAATCAACAATAATGATCAGCAAAACTGACACATAAATCACAGCACAATTACCACCATTCCCATTATGGTCATCAATTGTAGATGGTACACTAGGATTTTGTCGAATTGCATGGGATCTTTGTAGACCAGATCATGCACCCGTAAGCGAATTTTCAATAATACACCAACTCAACCATGCATGCATATATATATATATATATTGCATGTTACAAGAATGATCGTGATCATTCTTCTTTTTCAACATTTACATTACTGTTACAGATACAATAATAATAATAATAATAAATATACATGCAGAAAGAAATAAAGAAATAAACTTTTAAAACAAATAAAATAAAATAAAATAGGTTCAAGTGCTTGTAGCCAAACAAGAAACCCAAGTACTTAATTCATGGCGAGATATCGATCAAAGTCTTGTCAAAGTCTCTAATGGTTTCCGTGCTGCTCAACCAAACAGCCCTCTGTTGCCTAGTGACAAACCGCGTCTGGCGGCGGCCATCAAGGACGCATTTATGGCTCTCTTGTTAAACAAAGGGCCGCCTCTACCTCCATGGCGGCGGTTTAGAATCGTCCTCGTAATCCTACGCAAAAGACCAGACGAGGTCGGATACATGTACCGAGACAATGAAGACGACAAGGAAGCAGTCAATTTGAAGAGTCTTGTGTTTGAAGCATTGCATACATTGGCGCCTGACAAACTATCAACGTGAGTCTACAATATTCTTTTTTTTTAAAAAAAAGAAATACATATGTGCATATGTACATACATACATATACATATACATATACACATAGGTAAAATGAAATGAAACGCCAAATGACTTGTTGTTGTTGTTTTTTCTGATTTGCATAGGATCAAACATGTACAGGTGGATGTACTGAGGCTACTTCCGAGTAATGAATCTCTTACAGACATGTTGCCTTGCCAGGTATTGTATTGTATTTTCATTTCATTTCATTTTCATAATTAAATGAAAATGATTATTGATTTATCTTAGATATCTCCACAACTGACATTGTCAGTCTACAACGTACCAAATGGAAGACATGATCTTCATCAGGCCATGATCAATCTGGCCCAGCAATACTACAATATAAATCATTTGCTGGTTTCTAACATTCCCATGAAGGTACAACCAAATCTTAACTTTTCTTTAATAACTCGAACTATTATACAACTATTTGATTCTTAATTGTTTATCTGTAATAACCGCCTTAATATCATAGACCAAGGCAGATCTGGCTCATCCCAACCAAACTACAACAAAATCCGTCGAATTCTATTACCAAGCCGGTTGCCAGCATCGCCTTGATCCTAAAACACCTACATCCGAATCAAGACTTCATCATCCAGATTTCCTCAAAGAGCGTACCACAAATCTCTTGTACTTGAAACGTAGTAAGCGCTCAGGTAAAACAAAAACAAAAACTATATACATTTATATATATATATATCTGTGTGTGTTTGTGTGTAAAACTCAAGAACATGTTATTAGACAGTGGATGGTGCACCTGCATGCATGCAATTTCTCCTATCAAAGTAAGTTTTCTTTTTCTTTTTCTTCTTCTTCTTTTGGTGTATATATGTTTGTAATAATATTTTTTTGAAACTGCCATGATAGCCTTCAGATCCACCTACAGAAGTGTTTTTGGAAATGATACTCAAAGGTACGTTTGAATTCTCTTTAGAATCCTCAAGAGTTATAATACAAAAAAAATGAATGTCCCTAAAATCTGTATATACATATATACATATATACATATATACATATAGGAAGCTCGTCTTATTTGGTGACAGCAGAAGCCCACGAGACTAACAAAAAAACTTGGACTCACATGTTGATGGAACATCAAGGTACACCTTTTTGCTTTATTTTATTTTATTTTATTCTATTCTAATTTGATTTAATTTAATGTAATTTAACATATATATGTATGTATTTGACATTATTGGCGTATAACAATCTATTCTAATATACGCACCGCTTTCTTCTTGCTTTTATATGTGTGCTGTGTGCTTATCTAGGGGGGGTTTATTTGAGGTGTCTTGATCGCCAAACTGAGGCGTTGTTTTCTAAAGCAGAAGGTGTCCCGATCAAGCAAGATCCGGAAAGACACAATGTAAAACAAGAACCAGATGGTGGTATAGGTATAGGAGGAGGAGGAGGAATAACTCCAATCAAGAAAGAATTATTCGTAAAAGATGAGTTTGGACCACCCGTTCCCATTATTGAGGATCGTCCCTCTGTTCCTGTCGCTGTTACTCTTCCAAAACCTGCTGTAAATGTGTCTGCCGCAACTCTCCAAGTAAGTAAAGACTAAACATATAATTATTAAAACTAGATTTTAATTTCATTTTAATCTTTTCTATATATATATATATATATATATATAAATATATAAAAAAGGAATTCATGGATAGTTGTGTACGGCCATGTGTGTTTGAAAGCTATGAACAATTCTTGGGTGTATCTGGACCAGGCAACCCATGCGAATTGGTGCCTTTTAATCCTTTTCGTTACTCACACCAAGACACCTTGCCGGCTCTTTTGAGTACGATGGCTACAAAAGACAACAAGGTTTTTACAAACCAATACCTCGAACGAGCTGCAAGGTGGCGTACTTGCATGCGAGACTGTAATGGCACAGACAAGTTTCCGGTTAATCTTGAGGCGAGATCTATTGCCTCTTGTTCTGTCGATGTTTTGAACGGTTCACCTCTCGGAACCGGGTTTGGCGTTGCTTCTGTAAGTAATAAAGAAAAATATAAGATCGTAGCTTTTCTTTTTTTTTTTAATTATTAAGATGAATATGAACCAAAAAAAAAACCTAAAACAAAAAAGGTGTATCTTTAAACAAGGGGGGCAGGAGTAAAAGAAAATAAAGAAGAGGAAAAAGAAGAAGAACAAAAAGGGGTGAATGGAAGGGGTAAAAGGGGGGCAAATTGAAAGGGGAGGAGTAGGGGTGTGTGTGTGTGTGTAGGGATCAAGAGCTAAGAAATAAAGAGAGAGAAAGAGAGGGACGGGGGGTGGTAGTCTTGTGCAGATAAGTTCTGTTTTTATTTCTCACGTAAAAAACAAAAAAAATCAATAATGATAATATCAAAATCTATAGGGGCTTGTCAATGATTTGTTTGAACAGTTGGAGGGAATTGTTTTACAAGACCAAATTCGAGACATGCAGGCTGCAGAAGGGTTGGTTGATATGGTAAGAGCTGTGTGTGTTTATTTCTTGGTTGTTGTTGATGGCATTAATAAGTCTGATTTTTGTGTTATTTCTGGCGCACTTGTAAAAAAAAAAAGCTTATTGATGAACTGTCAATGGCACTTCGAGGTACTCCAAAAAATGTATTTCCAAAATCACTTCGTGGAAAGCCAGTTCAGTAAGTTATAATTTCTTTCTTTGATGTTTGTAGATTAAAAGAAGTCTAAATCAACTTTTTTTTTCTTATATGTATTTATGTATCCAATATGAAGGTTATTAGCCAAGAAGCTCTTGCTTGCTCTGCAACTGGTTGCCAAGAGATTTATGGACAACTCTCCCAGTCATACTATTGTGGGTTATAAGCTTTTAAAGCTGATTATTTATTATTATTTACACTAACCCTTGAACTTACATATATATATATTTAAAAAAACCCGTCATTTTCCAATCTTTGTGCATGTGTATCTGTAACAGTTGTGTACTCGTCTTTTGACAATGATTACTCAAAAGACGGTTCCTAAAGAACAACAAGAGCAACTGCCTGTTCAAAAGCCTGTCAATACTACCCAGCAAGATTCTGGAATTGAAATGGCGTGGCGCCAGAGCCAGCACTACCAAAACATGAGCCACCGTGAGAGAGAAGACGCTGTTATTACAGATGGAATGGACAGTAATCTCAACAAAGATCAAGGGTTCAAGTCACAAAACCGAGGTCAGCCCGGAATTAATCCTCTTTTCCGCGGTCGTCGCGGTAAAGGGTTGGATAACACAGGGCCCGCCGTGGGCAATAATAATAATAATAGTAGTATTGGTGGTGGTAATAATAATGGACCTGACAAGATCAAGTATCCTGGTCCATCGGCTATGTACAAGTCATATCTTGATATGGCACCACCTACTATTGAGGAGAAGGCAGCCGAAGAAGCCGAAGAAGAAAAGGCATTGGGAGTACCCCAAAGTATTCATTGGGCATATTGGAAAACTCGCCAGATCCGGAAACGTGGGTTCCGTGAAGAAAAGGATCCCTACGATGGCACTGAATTGGTTCACAAACAAGGAGGAGGGTGGCAAAGAGCCAAGAAAGAATTTGATAGTCGATTGCCTGTTCATGGAGGAGAACAAGGCGAATTGATATAATAAACAAACAAAACAAAAAAGAATAGCCATGGGTTTATACTATACATAGACGCATCTATATATCTATATATCTATGTATCTATGTATCTATTTCTACTATGCATTTTGTAATTGTATTTGTGTTCGTATTCATATATAAAATTACACATCTCATTTGTAAAAAGTAAAGAAAAATAACCCTAAAAGTAAAGGTCTCAATTTTTGACATTAGCCCATTGCCTGACCAAACGCATTGGAGGCTGCATTCACACCCCAGTTAAGATTAAGGGCTGCCTCTGCCTTGGGTGGTGGTGGTGCTTCGGGATGTTCACGCCAAAAGGCGACTTGTTGACATATGTGACTATTGACAAAGGATGAATATATCCAAGTGAAGCAAGACATGCATATTGTAATCAATCCAAAAATCAGGTATCCAGCCAGCTGGGCATGTCCAATGTCAGATCCTGTTTCGACTACGATAACCTTGACCACAAAACCAATAACCAACATCATTCCCCATGCACCAGTCATGATTCTCATGTCTGTTCTAAATCTTGCTGCGTGTGTGTAGAGCCTGTTGATAATAACAAGCTTATCAATTAATCAATATACATATATATATAGATCACTACTAAATTAAAAGACCATATCATATCGATAGTCTCTTATTGTTATTTACCAGTCCATCTTTTGAGCCTTTGTTTTTGGTTTTGTATTTCCGAGTCGTTGGTCATCGTGTGCCTGAAGAACTTCGTCTGCTTCTTGACGGGGCATAATCTGACTTGCAATTTGGTACACCAATGGTCGGACTTCAAATGATCCGAAACGGATTGGCACAAGAGACAATAGACAGAATAAGCCAACCATAAGAGGAGTTATGGATTCACAAATTGTGGCCACTTGTTCACTTGGCTCAGCAATAGACTTTTTTTTATTTCTTTAAATATGAGAATACAATAGTAAAATGTTGAAAGGGGAGACTTACTATTATAATTACCATTATTGCTATTGTATATATATAGATAAGAAGAAGAAAAGAAGAGAAAAGATGACATACCACAATGCCAGTAATGAGGAAACTAATTCCAGCAACTAAGCCGAGAAGATCGAGCCTTCGTTCCTTTGCCATTCGTCTGAATAAATACCAAGAGTTTTTGCATATTTAATTTTTTTATTGTTTTGCTGATAAGAAGTATAGACTCACGTCAGAACACTGACTAGAGGTGGGGAGGATGCTACAACCATGGCCAGCACTTGGCCAATGATCGGCCGTAATAAGTGATACAGTAATATAGGCAAACCAATGTCCCACAGAAGCGCAATAAAAAGGTTTAAGCAGGGACGACCTGAAAAGAAAGAGAAACTAAAGATATCTTGGACAGTTCCGAGGTCCATTGGGAGGTCCTCGTCTTGTTCACCAAGACGATGTGTCAAGGGAACAGTATCTTGTGAGACCTCCTTGCTCACCATGACTGCTTTGTTCTATGACCTTTTTTTTTAAAAAAAAAAAAAGAACAAAAACAAAAAAGAAAAGAAAAAAGGGGAGAAATAAAGAGGAGTGTGGCAAGAAGGAGTAAGGCAGGAGGTGATGACGTCAAGGAGGTGTGTGCGTAAAAATGTGGATAAATGTGGATAAATATGTGTTTGCGTGATCCCCGGAAGTCGGATAAACCTACTATGATCATATTGACACACACAGGGTAGCTTGTAAGAGCCAATGCAACTTTGTTACGATACTATTATGACGAAGAAGGTTCCAATTGTATGGTGTATATGCCCAGGTTACTAGCTAGTACAAATCTTTTGCCCGTAATGGAGGCTTTGTAACAGGGGACAATAGGTAGATATCCAATCCAACAGTTAGGATAATTCAAATAAGATTGATTTAATTGGTTAGGCGTATGAGAGGGGGATGATAATCTGCTGTCAAAATATGGAAAACGGGAAAGAAAAGGTGTTTTTAACAAAGTAATGGAGAAGAAGAGGATGCTTTATTATTCTTTGCTAAACGTCCTCTGATAAATGGCCTACTATGCACTGCCTCTTAACGTTCATGCTTTATTGTTCATTCTTGTATTCCGAGATAGAGGCGGCTGCCAGCTACCATAGCCACTACCATAACCGCTACTACGCCCACCGTCTCACTAAGACGGTCTCTAATGTGACTCAAGATTTTGTATGGATGATGGAAAGTTTGCCATTCAGATCATCAAATCTTTTGGTTTGAGAGTAAGGAGGATTTTTCAGGTTAAGCAAGATATGGCTTATAATCAAGAGAAAAAAAGGCAAATTCATTCTTGAATAGAGCTTACAGCAAGAATCATTATTAGAAAACAAAACAGTAGCTACACTATACAGCTAAATCAGCACGAAATTCAAAAGAATAATATATATATATATATATTATTTCAGTATCTGACAAGAGCAACATCTGCTTCGAAAGGCCAAACCATCAGACGAACAACCGGTTTTTTTCTTGTTCTTGAGGATACTACCCATTTTTCGGTTGATATATTAAGACAGTTTCCTTTGATGATCATCTTTTTTTTTTAAAAAAAAAGAGATAGGCACAGACCTTTAGGAAAATAAATTAAAAGTGAATAAGCACTCAATTGTAGCCTAGAAGCCAAATGTTTTTATCTTTGCCTTTGTCAAGCAATTGACTAATTAAAATCTTACTCCCACATGTTACAAAGACCATTAGAAAAGTTACTATATAAAAAAATGTAAAGGATGGGGGGAGGGGGGGGGGGGGGGTAGGGATCAGACATGCTAAAAAATTATTGAGTAGAAATATACACTACGGTAAATAAAGCTAATTAAAAAAAACCCCCATAAAGAAGCTGCCTGAAATTAAAGATGAGCTTGTCTGCAAATAAACTATTTCAAACGGAACCTAAAATATTACTATGTCTGAGATGAAAAAAAAATCGGTTCTGAAAAGATTCAAAAACCAAGTAAAAAATATGGGGTAGACAGACGTAAAATATCTAGTCAAAGATGAAAAAAGAGCAAAATAAGTTTGGCCAATAGAATTAATTTATAACGGTCCGCACTTTTTATTTTAGTAAAAGAAAAAAGGAATTAAACTTGGTTCAAATGCATATTATATAAAATCCAGGTGCTCATAGATACTGTTCCTTTGATCAAAAGGGTGATTTTCATAATCTAATTGGCAAATAGAAGAAGACCAGTTAATCATAAATATTTTTTCTTTTTTTTTTTAAAAAAAAAAACCTAATCCAATGATACGACTTGGATTTTTGGAAATTTGTTTCATCTTTGATTAAATATTTTCAGTTGTCTACCCCCCAGATGTTAATATATGTATATATATGGAAAGAAAGAGGAGTGTGCATATGAATGTGTGCAAATGTGTGTGTGTGTAGATATGTGCTTGTGTAATCCCCGGACGCCGGACAAAACAACTCTCTATTCCTATCACTTTTATAGATATGATCAGAGTGCCATTTTTGGTAACAAATGCCCAAACGGGGTTTTTAGGTAGATTAAGGTATACAAGGGATTCTTTCTTTATTTATTTTTGTGTGTGTGTGCTTGAGATTTGAAGTATGGTGTTTTCTGTGCCATCAAATATTTGTCTTTTGTCTATTTTTTTTTTTGGCTAATGAAGCTCGTATATCGCAGTAGAATCAATGCAGTCCATAAATTCAATTGAAACATCTTTAAATCGAAAGGTGTGAGGAATAGAAGCCTTTCTGTAAAAATAATCCAAAAGAGAAGTTTGTTGATTACTGAAGAGTATATAGTGTTTTTGCTGCTTATATTAACTTCTTTTTTTTTAAATTTTCATCTGATAAAGAAAGTGATGCGAGTATTGATAATAGTACTCATTTCAGTATTATTTGGTGAGAGTATTTTCGGCTTGGAAATGACTGTCTCGTCGTCTTTTCTGGCACAGGAGTACTCATAAAGATTGGCTAATTGTTTTATGCCATCCAATTTCATGATGAAGCCAGGCAGCTCGAGGATTGATTTTGGAACTTTGATATCACCAACTTCAAAGACAACATAAAAGCCATCGTCATGCAATGTGCACAGATATACAGCCACATGATGTCCTATACCAAAGAATATAATATGTAAGTGCATTTCGCAATAGCAAACAACAAATACCCAATTCACCAGCTGTATGTAATAAAACGATATGCTCCATAGCTTAAGTACCAATAGCATCCTAGCCGAATGTACACAACCTTAACAAGTCCAGATGCATATCAACAGTAGAATGAACAACTTGTCTTTGGCTGACAATGCTACTACACCCATCAGGGTATTTATTACCCGATGCCTCTGTTGCTTTGTTTAGCCTAGTTATGGAAAGCCTGTTAGCCTGTTAGCATTTTGACATGATAATCTGATGATCTTTGCGTTATTTCGCCTACCATATGTACATCAATTTTTTTTCTGGATCATGAAATAGAGGAATGAGAATTTTGTCTAGATGATTAGTTACCAATTCGAACTCTTTGACCTCTTCATCTATGAGAATATTGCCAGGTAACTTGTTTATATTATGTATTATAGGTTAGACCTCCAAACAGAAACATTTTATTGAGTAATGTATGTTGTCCTTACAGGTTTATCAATATATCAATTATCCTGGAACCCAATTGATCGACAGCTTCGTATAAATTATGGAATTTTACTCAAGTGCTTTGCGATCAGATTTTTCATTTACGCCCTAAAAAAAAGGATGTAAGCTGTCAAAGTAAGTTAGATATCATTATCGTATGCTCACTCTGAATATATTGATCGACTCAGAGAATAAGCTCTTCTCCATCTTTATATCTTGGCTAACATATCTATTTAAGAGTTCCGCGTGAAGTTCTTGAATATTGTCGAATCCAATTACATTTGTCAGTGCTTGATCATGCTGGTCTTTTCGCAAAAATACTGTGTGATATAAAGCTCCAAATTGATGTCATTAATACTATGTACTTATGCATAGTGTATATAAACATTTTTACAGTATTTCATGAATATTGGCGTTAATATATAAGCCATAGGATATTGCTTCCTGGTATGCTTTCATTTGAAACTTTTTAGAGCCAATGCTAAGATTGTAACCATTCTTCAATGTATGTGGTTAAGGGGAGATTGGAAAGCAAAACTTGCACAAATATATCGGCATATTCACCATTTAATGTGTATGCAATTTGATTATCCTAAGAAGACGACATTTTGATTCTACCGAACCACAAACTGGAACTTATTTTTTCGGCACTGAGTAACTTTATCTGGCCCCTAAGGGTACTTAATGTTCGTATAAAGACTTTATTTTGTGCTTTGCAGAAAAAAAGAATTGGTTGGGATCAGTTACTAGTTGGTGCTTTCAAGCTCTGGCAATATACATGTAAGAGAAAGAGAAAGGCATGATGCACGTAAGAAGGCCAATACATAGTAGAAATATCAAACAAGTTTGCGTCACAATTTATTGACAACAGCTCCTAATGATATTTTGCATAGCCAGCTATTGTTTATGCAATGTACCTTTTTTTTTATGGCCAAGTAGGTCTAAATTTAGGGCTACTAATTGAATATATTGTAGTTGCCAGGACACAACATTTTGCCCTGGAGGATTAGAGAAAGACACCGGGCCTCGGGTATAGCCTGATCAAGTAGAAACGTCGGCCGCGTAGGATCGCCGAAAATAAAAGGGAGGGGTCTGCTTATTCGGATAATTGTTATATAGTTTCAAGCTGATGGCTTCAGCCAAACCTATTACAAGTATGTGTGATACGCAACCACATCTGACGTCAGTGCACAATATGAGATAATTGCGTGTACGTACGTGTGCTTACGTGTAATGTGTCAGGTATTGGAATAGCCTAAAAAGCATGAAAAGAAATGGAGAAATTGCTAAACACTTTGTTACAGATATCTACCTATCAAATAGTGCAAGACGTTGTGTAGTTTTCTTAAGAGTGTCTAAGATACTATCGATAGCTAAATTGTATTAAGTAAACAAGTATTTTCCATTCTCTTTAATGAAATTTATTATTATTTTTGGTGATCTTTGTTTAGTTGATCCCAAGAGCACTCTAGAAAGGACTGTTTCATACCTTGTCTAATTTCGTCTTGTAATTTGTATCAGCAAGTAAGGGGGCCTTCTAACACGGCTGTTAATATTAAAGTGCACACGGGTTGGAGTTTTGAGGAAAGCACAGGTTTTGTTCGCCTAGTCTGTGATAACTCTTTATGTTTCATTTCCAATACATATCCCATACAAAACAGTAGATATGGTTAAGAGAGTCAATGATTACATTTGACGTTATCGTTTTGTCAAATTTAGCCCTTCCTCCTTTTTGATAAGGTTTTATTTTGTTTGTTTGGTGAAAAGAGCTTTGATTGTTATCAAAAGAACAAACAAAGCATATCTGGAATGTGCCAGATTAGCAAAAAAACAATACGATACGATATCATTAAATGCCCGTCGTTAAAAATTTTACCGTGTTCCTTGTTCCTTCTTGCTCCCTTACCTCTTTGTTTATATAGACCCAATATGTAGATACCTTTTATTTTATTTTTCTTGTAGGCTTCAAATAAATAAAAGAAGATATAGAAGAAGAATGGAAAAAGGCAACCGAATTTCCTATTTTGTTTTTGTATTATCAATCTTGCTACACAAAACGAAAAAGGGAATATTAATATGTCCTTGTCAAGATTTTCTTGGTTTTTTTTTTCTTTTTTTTTTCTTATGCTTTGATGTACCTTTATAGCAAAGTTTCTAACCCAAGACTATCAAGAAGAAAGAAGAAGAAGAAGTCTAGGGCAACTAAAGATAAATGTCTAGTGATATTTTGAACCAATCTTTAATTTGTTTCAAAAATTGTGATGATTTCTTATAAATCCAAGAAATAATAATCAAAAGAATTTATCCAATAAAATCTTCCAATCGTCTCAACTTTGTTTTTGTTTCTAGGTTATAAATCCTGTACGACACATATGATTTAAATCGGTGACTAGTATAATTTTTTTATATTATATTTTATAAAATAAAAGGAAATTTTATATATATATATATAAATTTTGTTCTTTTAAATTTTTGATTGACGGTTTATTTTTCGCTTTTTACTATTTTTCTTCTTCTTTTCTTTCAGTCTTATACCTCACTCCCTACTACCACTTACTAGCAATGCCTTCTATTGCCTCTATTGCAAAATTGGCAATTGGAGCTGCTATTCTGGCAAGCGCTGTTGTGGCAGAGCCTCAACTTGTACTCCAGCAGCAGGGAGACCTTTCCGCCTCATGGGGCAACGTTCATGATATCCTTCAATCTTCTGTCCAGGGATCCATTGAGACCGCCAAGAAGATGTTTGGAGACAAAATCGACGAAGCGCGCCATTCGATCAAAGACTCCTTCAAGGCATTCACCCACCCTGCATTCCCAGAGTACGGCATGCGTTACAAGGAACCAGCACTCTGTGACCCTGATGTTCGCCAAGTAAGGATCAAACAAATAAGATTATGTACCTTGGCTAACCAAATAAATAAATGATTAATTCGTCATTTGTTGCTATTGCTGTAATTAGATCAGTGGTTATCTTGATGTCGATGACGACAAGCACTTTTTCTTCTGGTTCTTTGAGTCCAGAGATAAGCCTGCAGAAGATCCTTTGGTTCTCTGGTTGAATGGTGGTCCTGGTTGCTCGTCTTTGACTGGTCTTTTCATGGAACTTGGGTAAGTCCGCAGCAATTTTGATTCATACACTAATACAACCCAACCAACTGATTAACTAATTAACTGAATGACTTGCTCTTTATGTATTTGTATTTTATATAGTCCATGCACTGTCAATCTTCCTGGCAATGACACCATCCCAAACAAATACTCGTGGAACAACAATGCCAATGTGATCTTCCTTGATCAGGTATACCTTTTTCTTTTTCTTTGTAACACAACAATATATTTTTATAAAAACAAGTAAAACTAATATAATACTTTTTGGTTCGAACACAATTCATTGCAGCCAATCAATGTTGGTTACTCTTATGGCTCCAGAGGTGCATCCAACTCTCTTGCCGCAGCAAAGGATGTTAATGCATTCTTGCAGTTGTTCCTCAAAGAGTTTTCTGGTAAGGATAAACATTTAAGAGACATATATATATAGTGTGTGTGTAAATATCTAATATTTAATTATTATTATTATTTTTACAGAATATTCCCACCTTGACTTCCACATCTCGGGTGAATCATGCAAGTCATCTTTTTCCTCACAAACCCCCCTTTTTAATTTTTTAATTTTTTAATTGTCTAATTATTTTTTATATATAATAATATAGATGCTGGCCATTACATCCCTGCTATTGCTGGTGTCATCAACCGTCAAAACAACGGAGAATACTTGTCTGCTAGTCTCCAGACCCAAGCATCCACCTTGTCTACCATCAACCTAAAGAGTCTGTTGATCGGAAACGGTCTGACTGACCCTCTTATCCAGTACAAGTACTATGCCCAGATGGCCTGTGATAACTCGTATGGCCCTACCTTGGACCGCTCGACTTGCGATCAAATGGAGGCCCAATACCCTGCATGTGCCCGCCTGATCGAGAATTGCTACAAGTCCAAGAGTGTGTTTGCCTGTCTTCCTGCGGCGATGAAGTGCAACAAGGACCAGATCCAGCCTTACCAGCAGACCGGAAAGAACCCCTATGATGTGCGTGAGGACTGCAAGGGTGGAGGAGGACTCTGCTACGAGATCCTCGATAGTGTCCAGACTTACCTCAACCGTGAAGACGTCAAGAAGGCAGTTGGAGCTCAGACTGAATCATACGAGAGTTGCAACATGCAAATCAACTTCCGTTTCCAGATGGCCGGCGACTGGATGCTTCCCTATGTGAATGAAATCGCTCCTCTTCTGGAGGACAAGATCCGTATTCTCATCTATGCAGGCGATGCAGACTTCATCTGCAACTGGATGGGTAACAAGGCATGGACCCTTGAGCTGCCCTGGAGTGGCCAGCAGGAGTTCGTCTCGGCAGAAGATGAAGATTGGATCTCTGAGATCACTGGTGAGAAGGCCGGTGAATTGCGTACCACAGAAGATGGACTTTTTGCTTTCTTGCGTGTTTATGGTGCCGGACACATGGTTCCTTATGACCAGCCTGAGCATGGTCTTGACATGCTTAACGGATGGATTCGTGGTTTCCGTTAAACTACAAAATTAAAAAAAAAAGTTTATAGCCAATAAGCTGTACAAGTAGTACACGTTGATAAATTGTATTTAAATAAATAAATATATAATAAAAGAAGAAGAAGAACAAGATATCATATTTCTCATCCAGAATGTTAGACTCGTACCATCTTCCTATATTATTTTTATATAATTATATATATATATATATTTAACCCCCTTTTACTATTGCTTCTCTTTTTCTGAGTAGAAACCAATATATATTTATATAAGATGTGTAATAAATAGGGGAATTATATTCCTCTCCTTGGTTCCTTTCTTTTCTAATCATTCTTACTACTATTAGTATTGTTACTGTTGTCGCTATAATGGCCTATATCACTTCAATTGGGCTCTACGTACCCGAATGGACTTCTTTTAATGTCGGTCTATTTATCCTGGGCATTTGCCTGTGCTTGAGTGCCGTCGCAACAGAAACATTAGAGCCGACCCCTTACTCAAAGTTTGGGAATCGACTTGTTGACACAATTCCTACCCGGTGGGCTATGTTGGCCATGTACCTTCCCAGCCTTTTGGTCTGTGCCCTGCCATTCGATCATCCCCACTGGCCCTTTTCTCGTTTTGAATGGATCCATACCATCACATTCCTCCATTTTTTCAAACGTCTGATTGAAGTCATCTGGGTCCACCGCTACAGTGGCAAGACCAATATCGTTACCACAGTTATAATCAGCTCCACCTATACGGCCACATCATTTTTTGATCTATTGGTTGTCAGCCGAATGCCATCGAGTGTCTTTTCATTCGGCTGGGGTCTTGCTGGCCTGATCCTGGTTATCGTCGGCGAAACGACGAACGGATACCATCATTACCTGCTCAGACAGCTCCGTAAAGACATCGTAGACACTAAAAGCAGCACCAGTAGTGCCTATCGACTCCCCCGCGGTGGTTTGTTCGAGTATGCGGTTGCTCCCCACTACTTTGCCGAGCAATTGACCTACCTTGGGCTGATCTTTCTCAGTCAGAACGTGGTTTCTCTATCGATTAAGTTCTTCCCCATGATTTATCTTACTCTCCGAGCAGCTCGCACACATGAATGGTATTATGATAATCTGTTGAAGAGTGAGAAAATCCTGCTGGCTTCTCGCAAGCGTTTGATCCCCTTTGTATGGTAGTTTCATTTATTTATTTTATATATATATATATATATACGTATCAATACTTATACACACATTCACACATTCATATTCGCATTCATATTCATATTCATATTAATATACACATACAAACGTCTATATATAATTATTCTGGAATTCAGATTTTATTCTCTCTTTTTTTCTTTACAAAAAATAAAATAACATTTAAAACATTTGATACAATGTACAACATTCAAGTCAACAAAGTAACACAATTTACTCGAGGAATTCTCAGTATACATTAATACAAAATATAATATATAATAAAAGATCATACGGATACATACACAACTCTCAATATCTCGGCTACAATATCAGCCGACGTGAGATGAGTAGATGATAATCTTAGGCGATGACCAAACACCTTTTCAGCTGCAATGCTAACTAGATCTGGCGTGAGGTAATCTCTTCCAAATATCACAGCCAAAGACCTTTTGTTTTGTTTTTTACATAAAGTATGGTAAAAAAATATACATATAAAAAAAAGTTTATTTATCTATATGTATATATTTTTTTTTGTATATTGGTATCTTTACTATTAAACTTACTTTGTAACAAGAACTAATTCTTGAGAAGCACGAGCTGTTAGTCCACCAATAACCAAAGGATGTGTTCGTACACCCACTACAATATCCCGAATGTAACGAGAGATGTCAATATCAATATGAACTTCCGCTGCTCGGTCTCCCAACTGTTTTATTTCTTCCGATTTTACAAGTGCTGCTCGTCTGCCCAAGTGGAATCGACCAGAGCTTGGAAGTGTTTGGGTTGATTCACCAATTGTATAACTAACAAAAATACGATCCAACTTTTTTTTTTTAAAAAAATAAATAAATATATATTAATTTTTGCAAATTACTCACCAATTGAGCTGATATTAAGCTATGGTTGTAGTCTTGAGGCAAGACAATCAATAGAAAGAATGGTCTAGGAAGATTGTAGCGAGTATTGGCCAAGTTGAGTTCCTTGGTCACTACCAACTATAATAAACCAAAGAAAAAAACAATTAGAACTCAGATATAGACACAGGCAACAGGTACATTATAGAAGCAAAATGAAAAAAAAAAAGAATCAGAAAAAAGAATCCGGTTCTATAGATGCTTTTGTCTCTCTGTCCTTGTTTCAATTTACCTCCAAGAGAGCAGCTTGAATGATTGGATTGGCTTGATCTAAAGACTGAACAATCATACACTGCGGTAATCGATTTATCTGAGGCCGTTTAGGTTCCTCAGCTTCCCATCGATCCCCTCTAGATCCCATCTGTTGTCTTTTTGCCATCCGTTCTCGTTTCATTGACAATGTAAAATCTACTGGACTAATAGGGTGAATTGGTGTATCCAGGTCTTCTTCAGATGTCTATACACACACACACGCACACACATGTGTGTGAGTTTAAGAGAGAAAATAGGTATCAATGCACAAATCTAATATATTAGCATAAACCCCTTTTTTCTTTCTACCTTGTGATGCTTTTGTGGGTCACGAGACGTACTTGGTGCCTTTGGATGAAAATGTTCTTCATCTTGAGTAGATTGAAACAGAGCTTGGATGAGATCAGCCGAGGATTGATTGGCATGACAAGTGATGTTTGCAGTAGTGAATCCAAACAGACAACGACAGATCTATATCAATACCAATATAAAAAAAATTGTTTTGGTTGGAATCTACCATCTGTAGTCAATGTTGTTCTTGCAAACCTGTGTTGCCATGTGTGCGACTTCAGGTAGACGATGAGAAGGTGTTGTTAGGATTGCATGCTTGTCTCTGCCGGACATTAGGCACAGTAATACAGATATAAACAAGTCATGACTAAATGAAAATCCAGTCTGTCGTTTGAGTAGAGTCATTCGTTGCTTAATCCATTCTTTGGATGAATGCGACATTAAAGACCAAATAAAGAATTAAAATCAAAAAGAGAATAAATGATGTTTCAATTTCAAGTTGATTTTCAATATATCTAATCTAATTATATAATATATTTATTTAATTTATTTATTTATGCTCGGATTGCATTAAATAAGGGATATTTTTTTTTTCTTTATTTCTTTGGCTATTTAATAGATTCTTTGTTTTTTTTTGAATTCCTTTATTCTTTTGCATTTTCATTTCTTCTTCTTCTCAAGACATATACTCTTAATTGTCATCATAGCCTAACCTTTGGAATATTTGATAACTTGATAATGCCCAAGGGAACTATTATATCACCAAAATTCTGGTAAATAACCCACTTGAAGATAGAGTGTAAAAGGTGATTTTTCTCAAAGATATAAAAACCTGGCCTAGGGTACTTCCGGTTTTATTGGTTAGTGGTGCGGCCTTGATATCTAGGTCCAAAACATCGCCGGTCCAGCCAAATAATTATGTTCTGTCAGGAGAAAAACTTGGTGACCAAGAAACCCTTGAGCGTGTTAGAAAAGATTGGAGAAAGCGTAATAATGGTATTGGATTACGCGATGTAGAGTAAGTTTTCCCTTTTTTCTTCTTCTTCTTTTTATTATTATTATCACCCACAGCCAAGGCTCCCCAATTCATTCCCGAGGAAAATGGCCTGTTAATTTTTCATGATTTACTAAATATATTCCTTTGTAGTCGTAGTGGTGGAGGTGTCTAGGAAACACAGATATCTATATATACTTTAAGTCCTTTCTTCTTTTACTTTTACTTTTTCTTTTACTTTACTCCAAAGAGAAAAATGTATGTTATCTGTGTTTACAAATTCACAATAGTATGTCTATAAAATGCGAAATGAAAAACAATTAGAAATGCACGACCCATTTTTCAGATGTATCTATATATGTACATTTATATGTACGAGGGTCTTAATTACCTTAATTCCTCAATATTGTCCATATCCAATAATACTAACCAAAAGAATACATTTAGTACATACATTACATATCTAAAAAAATTTGAAACAATAAATGAAACCAAATGAAATTTACCAAGATCTCTCTTTGTCAATGGCTTCTTTGTCAATGGGCATGTATTGCGTTTTCCTTCCCAGCTTGTCAAGCATCGCACCCAGCTATCATATCTATTCATTATAGTCATTGTTTAATAAAGATTAAAGTCATTAAATGCATTTATATATATGTATATATCTTTTTGGTTATCTTACCCCATAACATGCCCGTATTTAGACAGAGCTGGTTTCACAACTTCTTCAAGTGTGATCGGATCAATGAAACCAGGCAAAGGATGATTCTCAGCCACAGAACCATCCTCATCATCCTCATCCTCATCATTATTATCATCCTCATCCTCATTATTATCATTACGCTTATGTTTCTTGGTATCAAATGAAGCCTTCCATGTGTAGGATGAAGAATCTACCAACCCTGCCGCAATAGCTGCAGCCGTAGGTCGTCTACGTCGCTTACTTTGGCGCCGTGTAATAGTAGGCTGTGTCTGAGCAGGCTTTCTTTTTGCTGATGATCGTCTTGATGCTGCTCCGGATTTACCCTCCCCACCCTCATCATAGTCATCGCTGTCCTGTTCTTCTTCAGATGACGATGTTTCTGTTTCTGATTCTGTATCATACAATGCACGGCGCCTTTTCTTCTTTTGAGTAAGGTCAACTGGTGGAGCTGTAGAACGTGTGATACGTTTGACTGGGCCAGTATCTTGAACTGGTTCTGGAGCTGGAGCTGGAGCAGGTGCTGGTTTTTTAGTACGGCGTCCTGGTGTAGACTTTGGAGTAACCTTGGGAATGGTACTTGTATTATTATTACTATTACTATTATTACTGTTACTGTTACTACTACTGTTACTACTACTACTACTACTACTACTACTGACATTAGTATTAGTAGTAGTAGTAGTAGTAGTAGTAGTAGTAGTACTATTGCTAGAAGTAGCAAGAGATGTGGATATAGAAGAGGTAGAGGGTTTTGGAGAAGTCACAGACTCTGATTCATCAGAAACACTTTCGACTGGTTTGTTGTGTGTTCTAAATCCCTTTTCAATGTGTCCCGTGGAGGTCTTTTTGTCAAAAAGATAGTGTGATTTTCCACGCTCGTCAATAACGTAGTTTGGGTCCTTGATCTTCTTGGTTTCAACCAGCAGTCGATAATAATTAGAGCACTAGGTGTATGCATAAGAGTGCAAATGTGAGTCTATAGCTATGTGCGATTTTGGGGAGATCAAGGCTTCTGTAAATTGATTGGAATTTTCTGTGCCTTACTTGATAACCAACTCTACCAGGAATTTTGATTGAAAAGATACCCCATTGACCATTAGCCCCCACCTCATCCAATCGTTGATGAAACAATTTCTTCTCAAACTAGATATTGATATCGATATTAGTATTGATAATAAAAGGGTGTTAATGAGTTTGACAGCTCTTATGTATGATATCTTTTGATCAATTAATAATTCTTCTCTCTCTTTCTTCACTTGCCTCCGTCCATTGTCCTTTGCGCTGTATTTCTCCAGGAGCATTGAAGCGATAATAATAACTGTTTGGATTCTGGTCAATCATCTGATAAGCCCTAATTCTTGCGTGTGACCACCCTTCAAATGCTTTTTCTGGATCAACATTATGGTTCTGGACTTGCTGAAGTGCTTCGTCTAGTCCCAATCGACCTCCCATTCGATATTGCCTATATACATATATATTAATTTAATTTAATTTAATTTAATTTAATTTAATTTAATTTAATTAGATTTAATTTAATATAAGGTATTTTCTATATAATATGTAGGTTGCTTCTAGCTCGTTCTATATACTTTTTGGCAATATCTGTTGCTGTCTTTTTGAGTGTCTCGGATCGTTTCTTGATTAATTGTTGATAGGCTACCCTTTGAGCAGCATTCATGCTAGGAGCTATAAGTAAAGGACATGAATATCATAATTATAAAGATCTATCTATCTCTCTCTCTCACTCTCTCTTTATATTTTTATATATTATATTGTATTATATAACCATATATACTGTGTGTGTGTGTGTTACCTGTCTCTTGTTTGATATGGTGGTAGTTTGATGCAACTGTCTTTCTAATCTCAGTCAAATACTCTGGCTTTGTAAGACGATAGATCACCTCATCCTTGCAGAAGAAACAAACAAACAAACAAACAAACAAAAAGCTTATTATTGAGCCATAGAAAGAATATATACACACACACACACACACAAACCTCATCCTGGTTACAATCCTGGAGCATTTCTGTGATTTCCTCTTCGTTCACATGATCAAACATTTGTCGGATTTTGACAGACTTGCGATTCTTTTCACGCCTTTCAAACTCTGCGAATTTCCGCTGCTGAAGGGCAACGCGTTGGGCGATAATGTCGCGCTCTTCTTCTGTAACTTCTTCACTAAAAAAACTCTGTTTGCGAACCGTCTCTATCTTTTGACTACCAAAGAAAAAGTAAAAGAGGCAGGTTAATTGATAATTATTACTAAATTTTTTTTTGTTGTTGTTGACAGAATATCGTACTTTTCGAATAGACTTTGAAGTGACTCCTGACCATCTTTATTGACAGTATCAATTGTCAAAGGACCTTGTTTGTGATCTCTGAGGCGTTGCTGTTGTCCAGATATCAGTCTTTTTGTTTTTTTTTTCAAAAAAGAAGAGAGCAAGTGTAAAGACAAAATGGTGCTCTTACTAATACTGAGGCAACACGAATACAATCTGGTATCTTGACACAACTCCAGTGTATCCTTTGCTTTTTAGGGACTGGTGTTGATCTTGGGCTGCATTCCATAGAGTCTCCAAGACAGGCTTCAAAAATACAATAGAGAGAGAGAGAGAAAGATATTGATAACGAGTTTTATTATTATCATTGTTGTTATTTGTTATTAATTACTAGTATTATTTATACACACTGACAGACCCCATTTTGACTTTCAAAAGAAGAAAGGAAGAAAGGGTGGAGTATAGAGTGCAAGATGGTCTTCTACCTTCGATAAAGAACTTTGACTTGAGTTGCTTCTCGTCTGAAAAAGAAGGATCTGATTTCCTACTAGTACGTGGTGGCATTTCTCCAAAGAGCTTAAAAAGGCAAAAGGGAAAAGGGATAAAAAAGAAAAGAGAGATGAAAGGGGAAAGAGAGAAAGAGAGAGAAAAAGAAGAGGGCTCATTTTCATCGGGGGGGCTCTCCTTATTCATTCATATATATTTATATATGAGTTTGTTTTTTAGTGATTATGCCCATGCCCAAAAAAATAATAAATTATTATTCTTTTTGCCTTTCGGGTTACACATACATACATCCGGGAGGCACAGATGAAGAAAATTATAGATGGTGTTACGTTCAAAATTCCTAATTTATGCGCTACAAAATCCCAGTAAGAAGAATGATACAATTCTATATATCCTGTACTATTGAAACAAGACCAAGCCTTCTATTAGACTCTGATTATTCAAGGCTATAAAGAAAAGATAATTTATCTGTAATCACTAATGGTTCTAATGGTGCTATAATATCTGCTCATCTCCATACTCAGAAACACTAATGGCATATCTTATTGTTCCCTAGACAAAATTGAACCCAGACACCTGTTGCCACATCATTATAAACAATGTTGAAAATTGGGTATATAGAATAGGAGTCCAATAGAGAAAATGATCCGATTCTTTTAATACTTACTGTATTGCACTATATGATTTTATGGATAAGGAGAGAACAAGAATTGACATTGGACGTGTCATTCGAATCAAATAATTCCAATCTTAGACGACTGGCTATGATCTTTATCGTCCAGACCTGTCTTGTTTTCATAGATTCGACTTTTCATATATATATATATATATACATATTAATGAACTACTCTGTAGAGTATTGGGGCACGTTGTTTCAAGAATTTAGACCATGGAATTGCTTGAAAATGATTCCATTTGATTAATCATGGTATTCAGTTAGTCATTGTCAAGTACACACATGTATCAAATAAGGGAATCATTCACTAGGCACTACTACCAAAGACATACTCAATAATCTAACTCACAAACCAAGATACTATCTCTTTTTATATGTATATATATATGTATATTTGTGGGTTTCATGATTATCATTATTTCTTCTTTCCTTGATTTAGGGGTCAACAACTTGCTCTGTCCTTGTGCATACCGGAATGCAATAAAGTTCAAATTGGGGTACCCAGTAGTGATTAATCTACTTTATTAAAAATAATATATGTATATGTATATGTATATGCTTTGGATACTTGCCTAGGCTTATGTGACAAACTACTAGTCGTATGTGAATAACCAATCTCTAAATAATAGTACCAATATCACTACCTGAACAATAACAATAATAAAATAAAACTTGCACCCCTTCCCTGTCTTTTTATTTTATTTTATTTTATTTTATTTTTTACTTCAGTCTCTCTCTCTTTTTATTATTATTATTATTATTATTTAATTACCATTTCTTACTCTATCCACTCATTTATATACGAATAATCAAAATGCTTCAAGGCATTGATGACCCTCCCCTCTTTACCCATGATACGCGACAAATCTTATCCGATCAACTAGATCCTAGAATAGAGCTCGAATACAATAAACTTGTCGACACATGGACACAGCAGCTCCTCACAGAAGGTCCCCAGATCGATACTTCCGTAACTGATGCCCAGTCCATCAGATTTTCATGTATGCGTCTAATGCACAGGTATCTAGATCAGCAATGGATCGACTCTCAGCAGATGCTCCAGTGCGCACAAGCCTGGAACTCTTATCCTTCCCTCAGTCCTGTTGAGGCAGTCCACACTATGAATATCCTCAGTCTACGAACCATGCAACGCTCAATAGATGCCCGTCGTGAGTTTCTTCATGCCCTCGGAGACGGTGTTACCGATCACAGATCCATCTTTGATTTAAGCTTGCCACTATCCTCAAATTCCCTACCAACCACATCAGCTACAGCAGCAACAATAATAGAAACGCCTTTTTCTTCTTCCTCTTCTAGTAGTAATAGTGGTGGTAACAATAATAGTACAACCATTCCTATCCCAATTCCAGCCCCAGCTCCAGGAACTCCAGAAAGCCGAGACTCTTTTGCGCTCTCTGAAGAAGAGGTACACGCCCCACTTTTGCGCACACAGAAACTTAGTTACCCTCAGCTACCAGAACCTCTGCTGGTCTTCCACCCGCCCTCTCCTCTACCTCGGTACAGACGTGACTCTGTCTGGACACACCCCCACGGAGACCCCATTCAAGCCGAAGAAAAAACAGAAGTAGAGCCTTTTAGTCCGCGTGAATCAAACGAAGCTACAAGCGAGCCAATTTATCAGCGTCTATCGACCTGGAAGAAACTGGTCGGCAATCAGCAGATTATCACTGGACTCGATCCAGAAGATCAGGATCCCTGGCAGAGCCTTTGTGGACCTGGATTTCTTTCGTCATTATCGTCTTCATCATTATTTCCCAAAGATGATCACAAAAATCGACAAGATTTCCATGATCCTCAAGACCTTCAAGACCTTCAAGATCCTCAAGATCCTCAAGATCCTCAAGAGCCACCACTGATCATTCTTACAGAGACAGAGACAGATTTTGAAGATGTCACTTTTGGTGCTGCAAATACTTCTCCTCAGCCACTCAAGAGCGCTCTCCGTGCTCATCATATCATCCACGACCCTCTTACTCTCTTTCCCAATCCTGGTCCTGGTCTTTGCTCTAGCCAGAGTCATTGTCCATCCAGTTCTCCTACTCCTCCTTCTCCTCCTTCTCCTCCTTCCCAGCCCCATCAACAACCAACCCCGAATTTGTCCAGCCCCATTCTACGAAGTGAATCCAGCATATCTGCGTTTCGGCCAATCAGCAAAAACCTTGCCCCTCGGTGTAAGGTGCCAACTTGCTCTGTTCGAGATTCACGTTCTTCAGTGTCGATCAGGTCCTATGCCAATAGCAATACTAACCCTAACGGTGATTCTAATAACAATCCCAGTGTCGGTGCAGGTACCAGTGCCAGTACCAGTGCCAGTGCCAGTGCCAGTGCCAGTACAGGCTACAATGCCAGCTCAAGTGCCAGCTCAAGTGTCAATTGTAGTGCTGCTGACGGTTTGTGCACTGATTCTGCAGCGTGGAAGATAAATCAAAAGAAACCTACGATCACCAAAAGTAGTTCGGTTCCTACTACTGTCGGTCGGTCTACCACCTATTCATCCAAAGCATCACCTCCTTTACCAACCACTTCCACAAGTACCAAGATAGCCAAAGAACGAAATTTTGTGATGCGATCTATAGTCAGTAAAAAGGCATCACTTGGCAAGCTTTTTGCAGGAAAAAAGGCACCGGCTAATTAAGACACCCATACATAAATTACATTACACTCATACAAGAAAGAAAGAAATAAGTAATCAGAGATAGTGATAGAAGAAAAGAAAAAAAGACATAATTTATCCTACTACTCTTCATTTCTTATATTTATCTTTACCCTTTCCTTTCCGTTCCTTTCATTTCATTCCCCTTTCCTTTCCTTTCCTTTCCTTTCCTTTCCTTTCCTTTCCTTTGCCTTGCCTTTTGATTGACTGATTAATTGTTCAATTTAACAAGTTGCTGATACAGTCAAGTATCTATATCCTTTTCATTCTTTCCATATCATTCATTCCCGATCTAAGCCCCATATTACACTTCTTTACTTATTTATTTATTTTTATCATTCCTTTATCACTATTATTATTACTACTACTATCATTATTATTGCTACTATCATTATTATTGCTATTATTATTATTATTATTATTATTATTATTATTATTATTATTATTATTATTATTATCTCTATAAAGATAAATTAACAGAAAATAAAATAAAAATTTATATACAAGATATGTACATTTATATAAAGTGTAGATAGTTATATATCAAGTTATCATTCAATCTATATTCAATACAATAAGAAATGTGATTGTTTCATATAGAAAAAAAAGGCAAGGCATGTTCTAGTGTTCAATAGTCACGTGAAACTTTATATAAAATAGAGAGAGGAGAATATAAAAAAGAGAAAGAGAGGGAAGTTACACTTCTTTGTAAAAAGTTGCGCTTTCGTTATTATTATCACTATTGCTATTGCTATTGCTATTTCTTTTGCTATCACTATTCTTATTATTATTATTATTATTATTTAATAAAAAATGACATCCTTGTCTAACCACAAAAATCGACTCTGGAAAGAAAAGAGTCCTTACTTACTAGTAAGCCAAGTTTGGAATTCTAAATTGCCTTTGTTGGTTTTGGAATGGGATGACTAATGATCATGTTAATTGTTATCTTTATCATTCAAGCAACATGGTAATGTTTTGTACTCGGTTTGAATCTGCTGATGTTCAGAGCTTAATTTATTTTATTTTCATAGCAAACAACCCGGTATTTATAATATGAATAAATTGATGAATAAAGACAGAGGAAGAAGAAGAAAAAGAAAAAGGCCAAAGATCAGATTAAATAAACCTTTTTTTTTTCTAAAAATAATATAAAGAAGTTAATTCCAAGTGCAATTATTTTTTAAAATATATATATCTGACATTTATGATCTTAATATTCTCAAGGTTGATTGGTATCCTTGGGGAGAAGAAGCTTTTGAAAAAGCCAAACAAGAACAAAAGCCGATATTTATTAGTATTGGATACAGTACTTGCCAGTAAGTATACAGTTTTTTGTATGTGTCTAAATCATATACAGTGATAATGAAGCTAATATACTCTAATATTATAATTAAACAAACAAAATGTCAATTATCAAAAGCTGGTGTCATGTAATGGAGCACGAATCTTTTGAAAGCGAAGAAACAGCAAAATTGATGAACGATTCTTTTGTCAATATAAAAGGCAAGTTAATATATCAATACAGCTATTACTCATTTATTTCTCTCTCTCCCTCTCTCTTTTTTTTCTTCTCTTTCTATCTTTGTACTTATCGGCAGTTTCTTATATACATATGAATATTTTCGTTTTTAGTCGACCGGTGAGTAATAAGATACCTCCCCATTTTCTTTGGTTTCAAACGTTATGTTTATTATTGACTAATGGGAAATAAACAACATCGACAAATAGAGAGGAGAATCCTGGAGTAGACAAATTTTACATGACTTATCTCCAAATGACAACTGGAAGCGGAGGATGGCCAATGTCAGTTTTTCTGACACCCGAACGGTACCCATTCTTTGGAGGAACCTACTTTCCTCCCAAAGACCGTCTCGGAAAACCTGGTTTTCAGACTATAGTTTCACGTCTTGCTCAACTATGGAAGTCCCAAGCAGACAAGATACGCTCAGATAGCAAGAGCTCTTTAAAAGATATCAAAGATTATATCGAGGCAAGTATATATATATATACACCTATATACACTCCCACCCACTCACTCACTCACTCACACTCGGGCATATAGACAGAACTTCCAAGCTCATCAAAAGAATTAGATCCATGGAAAATCGCAGAAGCTACCTACGATTATTTTGAAAAGGTGTTTGACTCTACATATGGAGGGTTTGGAGAAGCACCAAAGTTCCCTACTCCTGTTCAATTGCTATTTCTGTTGGATTATCATATGTACACCAAGAATGAATCATCTGAACACTATAGAAACAATAAAGCACAAAATGCACTTGAAATGGTGCTCAAGACACTCAAGGTAAATAATACCAATAACAATAAATAACTAAAGAATCCTGTGATATCTCATTCCTTTTGTTGTGGACTGACTTGTTGTTGCTGTTGAAATGAACCTAGAACATTGGAATAGGCGGAATTCATGGTAAAGACTTTATTTCAATATATAGATATAATGATAGATTTATCAATAGATATATATATATATATTACAAGCAACTTTGCTTTACACACAAAATATAGTAGCTAATCTACTTTGATTAGATCATGTTGGAGGTGGCTTTCACCGGTAAGGTTATAATTGACACACACATACTTGTATATAAGCATATGTCTTTTATAATCTTTATTTATTTAATTATTCTCTTTAAACAAAACATGTTCTTTAGTTACAGCACAGATAGAATGTGGCATGTACCTCATTTTGAAAAGATGCTGTACGATCAAGCACAGCTCTTATCAGTCTATACAAAGGCCTTCCAGATAACAAACGATTCAATTTATTCTGATATTGCCAAAGATATCATTCTATACGTTTCGCAGAATCTTTTACATGAAGAGGGTGGATTCTATTCTGCAGAAGATGCGGACTCGTACCCTAAAAACGGAGACTCCAAGAAATTAGGTACAATTATTTACAGCTTACATAAAAAAAAGCGCTGTTTACTTTTTACATAAGCCTGATAAATCTTGTCTTTTATTATTGTTTCTTTTTTTTTGTTTTTGTAAGAGGGTGCATTTTGCACCTGGGAGCTTGATGAGATTGATGGTCTCTTGGAACCAAAAATATCAGAGCTATTCAAACGTCATTTTGGAGTAAAAGAAGGTGGAAACGTAACGGATGAACAAGATCCTCAAAAAGAATTAGAAAACAAGGTAAAACACAATGATAATAAGAGAGATAATTCTGCATTTTCTATATATATATATGTATATATATATATATATATCTTTCCAATGTAAGCATATTAATATATCTATACTAGAATATACTTATGGAGCAAGAAACTATTGATCAGTCCGCATCTGCTCTTAGTATTCCGGTTGAAAGTGCCAAAACATTAATAGCAGATGCAAAGGATACTCTGCGCAATTATCGTCTTTCAGTACGCCCAAGACCTGATAAGGATGACAAGGTAAAGTTTAAATTCATTTCATTAATCAAACAGCAACAGCAATTATATATATATATATATATATATATATAATAAGGTATTTTTTCTACAGTACTTATATTCTGTATATCATAATATGTAGATATTGACATGTTGGAACGGTAAATATTAAGTGTATTTAGTATAGCACCATTGGAATCACTGCTATTTTTTTTGAATAGTGAATTGAATACTAGCATAACACTATATTAGACATGAAAACTTATACCATAAACTAACTACTTGTATACAATAAAAAAAACCAAACAAACAAAATAGGGCTTATTCTTTCAGCTCTTTCACAAGCTTACCTAGTGTTTCATGATAAATCTATTCTGAAACTTGCTACCGATACAGCTTATTTTATTAAAAAAGAACTCTACATTGAAGAAAAGAATATCCTGTTGCGTAGCTATCGTGAAGGACCTTCTACTATCGAGGGTTTCTCAGACGACTATAGGTATGAAGAATGCATGGTTACTTACCTTTCTCTCTCTCTCTTTCTTTGTGATAATACGCGCGTAAGCACACACATTTATATGTATATGCACACATGGCTGCAATTGATGTGTCCGATCAAGTCGAATAACAAAACAGCAGTTTCTTTATCCAGGGATTGTTAGACCTTTATGAAGCCACCTTTGATGATCAATGGCTTCAATGGTCCTATGCCCTCCAAGAGAAACAAAACGAGCTATTTTACGATAATGAGAAAGGAGGCTATTTTAATATTTCCGAAAAAGATACCTCTGTCCCTATGCGCTTGAAAGAAGGTAAAGGCTTGATTAAACTTTAATTTGTAAGTTAGAAGAGATTATTTACCAATTTTTTTTTGCTTTATTTCTACAATTATTATTGCTATTGTTATTAGACCAAGATGGTTCAGAGCCTACAGCGTAAGATTATTACTATTATAGAGCACATAAAGAAAAGAGAGGAAATACTTGCAAACTCCCACCCTTTGGCTTACATCATTTTTTTCTTATTAAAAAAAACTATTTTAGAAACTCTGTTTCTTTGAGAAATCTCATAAGACTTGGGACCGTATTTGAAATACCAGGATATTTTGAAAAAGCAAAACAAACAGCCGAGTCCTTCCGTCTTATTTTGACCCAATTTCCTTACGCTATTCCGGCCGTCCTGTCTTCCTTTCTTTTGTTTTCCGAGGGTTTAAAAGAAATAATTATTGTTGGTCCTACTGTTGGTGATGACACGCCTTCCTCTTCTTCTCATTTTTCGTCTTTGTCAGAAAAGAAACAAAGATTCGAAGCCATTATTGCACGCCCGTTTATTCCAAACAAATTTGTGGCAAGTCTCACCCCGGACGGAATCTTGGCCAAGAAGAATCCTCTCTTTGAAGAGATCGTTACAAGACACAAGAACTCAGATGATGTAGCGGTTTATGTGTGTGAAAACTTTACATGCAGACAACCTATATTTACAGAAGAAGAACTGGAAAAAACTATGTATATTTAACTAAGGAAGAATATTGATAGCTAATACATTAATAGTAAAAAAAAAACAAAGAAAGAAAGACTCATATTGCTTACTTTACTCTAAACTACTCTTGCCTTGTTTTAAAGAAAAAGAATAAATTATTATTATTATCATTATTATATAAGAAAAAAAAAGAAGTACGTACATGGCCACATTTTCTTGGAGTATCGTTATGTTTACCAGGCTGCCTTGGACTACAGGTAAATTTAAGAGATTGACTCTGTGGGTAAATTGGATTATGCATGCTTTATACGTTAATCCCAGAACCTGTTATTTATTACTCCTACTACTATCTTGTCACACCAAATACTCTTTGTTTTTCGTTTCTTTTTAAGTAATAATAATAGCAGTAAAGAAATAAATCCACCATGAAACCAGTATGATAATTGCCAAGTCTTTAGAAAATGGCCACATTTACAAAAAAAAAACTTGTATAGAACAACAAAAACCTCTGAAGGATATTCTTTTGGGTCTGCATTTCAAATCTGCATTTTTTGAAACCAAAAAAAGAAAGAATGAAAAGTTTAAAAAAAATGTCTTTAGGTGTCCGCTTCGTTCTGTTGTGGCTTTTTCAGCACAACCGCCGTCACATTTAACTGAAAAAAGAAGAATAAGTAAAAAGAAAAAAAAAAGCGAATTTTACTCGATCGACATTGTACCTTATTTAAACACATTACACTATGCCCAAGTCCAAGAGAGTTTCCGTCGGTGAGTAATTGAAAGAGGATTTGGTTAACTTGTCTGCACACACGATTTAACCTGTTCATATTTTTTTGTACGATCCTATTGTTCAGTCGCCTTGACCCAGACCGACAAGAAGGGTCGCGAAGGAAAGGAGAAGTTGATTGAAGAAGTAATTATCCCAAACCAAGCAAAAAAAAAAAGAAATAGCGGTAACATAAGAACAACAACAACAACAGCAACAACAACAGCAACAAAAAATATATAGTAAAAACAGAAAAACAGAACAGTCTTGTCACTACTTCCAAGTTCGGCCCAACTTAACAGACTTTATTTTTTCTTTCTTCTTCTTTAGATCCAGAAGAGTGTCGATCAATACTCCTACATTTGGTTGTTCTCTGTAAAGGACATGCGCAACACATTCCTCAAGGAGGTCCGTAATGATTTCAAAACCTCTAGATTCTTCATGGGCAAGAACAGAGTTATGGCAAAAGCATTGGGCACCACACCCGAGGAAGAGTACAAGCCCGAATTGTCCAAGCTTGCTGAGGTTAGTTATCTTCTTTTGATTCTTTGATTCTTTACTAGGACAAAGTTGAGGGTGGGGAAAAAGAGTAAATTTTTCATCATTTTTTTTTTGATATATATAAGGAGTATTTAGTAATAGTAGTAGATTGATGATATTTTCATATAAATATATTATATTCTTAAAAGAAAAGAAAAAATTAACATTTTGATTTAACTTTCCTTTTTTTTTATAATAGCAACTGAACAAGGAAGTTGGTTTACTGTTCACTAACAAGACACCCGAAGAAGTAAAGAACTACTTTGAGGAATTCAGACAGCCCGATTACGCCCGTTCAGGTGTTGTCGCAAGTCAAACTATTGTTGTCGATGAGGGAGCCGTCAAGCGTGGTGTCGACCCTATGCCCCACAACATGGAGCCTCTGCTCCGTTCGCTCGGTATGCCCACTCTCCTTAGAAACGGTATTGTCTCTCTTTCAGCACCATACACAATCTGCAAGGTCGGAGACACTCTGTCAACAAACCAGGCCCATCTTTTGGTAAATATAAATACACAAATATATATATATATTAAAGTTTTTGTATTAACTTGTTATTTCTTATAGAAACTCTTCTATCACCAATTGGCCGAGTTCCGTATCCAGCCTATCTGCTGTTACCACAACGGTGAAATTACCAACGTCAGCGAACAATAGATTACTAATAATGTCCCAACCAAAAAAAGAGAAAGAGAGAAATCAACAACAAAATAGCAAAATTAAATAAATAAATACAACAAAGGCATCTTCATTCATGTACAAACAACAAAACAAATGGGAAAGAAATTGCAATGAGAAAAAAAATGGGAAATTATATATGATTTTTTTAAATGTGTATATAAGATATCTTGATTCAATTAAGTAGAGATTTTGGGGGAATGAAGGGGTTTCTTTTCATCGGTCAAAGCTTTCTTGTTTTCTCTTTTTATCCTTCTTCTTATCCTTTTCCTTATCAGCAAGAATTGCGGCGATACGAGTGAAAAGAGCAAAGAGATCCATAAACAACTCAAGTGCATGGAGGGGGATATTGAAGTTTCCTGCACTGGCATGCTCCACAATCATTTGGGTGTCATACATTACTGTGAGAAGAAAAATAAAAATAAAAGTAAGATTATGAGTGTTTTATTAATTTAAACAGGTATATACATGTTTATATATTACCATATCCACAGAAGGCAATTAAACCCAGATATAACTCGACCGAGAACACAAGACTGTTTCCAAAGAACAAGTTTGCAAGAGATGTCCAAAATACGACGCCAAGTAGACCAGCAGCCGCACCACCAACATATATCATACTCCTTCGTTCGGCAAAAAGTGCACTGGCAGAAAAGCCAAAGAAGATGAATATAGCAGAGGATAGAGCTGCTGTCAAAAGTCCACCAGAAGGATCCCATTCTGTAAAGATATCAATCAAGCTTGAAAGTGACAATCCGCTAAATAATGCGTAAGCCTAACAAATATTATTAATATAATATATATATATATATATAATTGTGTATTCATTATATCTCTTACCCCCAAAAGCATCCAGCGCACAATGTTATTAGTAGAAGGGTGCCGGATACCAAAAACACTACCGAGCACAACACCAATTGACAATGGACTATTGCTCATTGATATTAAGGCCGAGTCCCCCATTCCCATGACACTCATGTGGCTTCCATATGCTGCTATTGCTAGCATTCCTGCAATTGTAAGGTAAACTCTGAGAAGATGGTGCCTCACTGGTCTGGTAATTGTTGTCTCGGAAGAGAAATTTTGTTGATGTTTTGACGATTCTGGATTCATTGTCGAGAATTAAAGAGCAGAGAAATGAAATAAAAAAAAGAACAATCCAAGAATAAGACCAAGAAAAAGAAAAAACCAGACCTGTAATTTTAAATGGTGCGACAAAGAACAGGTCTGTGACGTAGTACAAACTTCTCATAAAAATAAGAAAAGGTCGATGGAATATTTTAGCTTCAGTTTTTTTTTTTTTTTTAGAAAAAAGAAAAGTAAGAGAAATGGCTTGTTTAACTTGGTCACTATAGTTTGACTATCTTGGTTTTTTGTTTTAGCTTTAGTATTGGTATATCTTTAATTAGAAACACACCGATAGAATCAAGGTAATTAAAGGCGTAAACATATATAAGTGTATGGGGACACCAAACATTCCTCTCCTCTAAGCCATACAATTCGGCCTTGACACAAGTACCTTTTATAAATTCCAGTAAACCATTATTATTATTTACCAACTCTTAATGAATAGTAGTACAAAAAATCCTCTATTTTATATATTGATTATACACACAGTCTCTTAGTGGTGCTTGAATATAGGCTTTTGTTGTAGCCACACCATAATTGGTATATTCCGGTTATATATCTTTTATTCTTTCTTTATCCTTTAGTTATCTATCAAATTTTGATAGTCGATATATTAACTACAAACAAAAGAAGAATAGTGTTATTCTATCTTTTTCTCTTTTTCTCTTTTTCTTTATTCTTTATTTTTAATTACCAAATGGTTGAGAATTAGGAGGGTTCAACCGTCATAGACTTTTTAGAGTTAATAGTTTAAATTCCAGTTATGATTGGTCAAAGTTACTCTAAAAAACATAAATGTTTCTAATTTTTTTTAGAAAAAAGTCTACAAGACGGTTGAACACCCCCTTAATTTATCAGCAACGAGCGCCTAGGGTTAATCTATAAACTAAATCAAAGCCACTATACAATGACAAAAGAAAATAAAGAGCAACTACAATTATCACTGTATTAATTGCTCAGTATATATATGATGCTTTATTTTGACAGATATATCTATTATTCTTGATAACACTATGTGCTAAAGAATCACAAAGCCTACCATGCATAGAGCGCGAGAGATTTTTGGGACACGCATCTTTACTGTCGGACATTTAAACAGCATCTTTTTGTGGTGTAAATATCGATATTTGCATTTTAAAATCTATTTATATCTTCATGAATATTGGTCTGTTGGTGGTCAGACAAACCCTGAACGCCGTCCATTGGTTTTTTACACAGCTGTACTTAGTAGAAAAAGAACAAACGTTTCCAACTTTTTTTGAGGTGTACGTCCTGAGAAAAAGTGGTCATCAAAATGAACTTTTTGGTGCAAATAGCCAAGCATTCATTAGTAAATAGTTTTTTAGAGTGAAAAAATGGGATGTTTTGACCAATATTAAAACAATCAATGTCAAACAAAATTAAAGTGGTGGATCTAGGTAGGACGCATTATTTTACTTAATAATAAAAAAACACTTTAATTAGCAGATATGGATTTATGCCTGATTTTCAGTCTTTAATCCGTCATTTTGATCAAAAGGATCCTTTTCAGTAACTAATTCTTCATTTCAGCGGTAAACTCGACGTTATAATGCTCGATATAGTAATAGTAGTAGTCAACGTATTATATAAGATGTTTACTTTTTGTTTTCTTATACTTGCTCACCAAGCACATTCTATTACACCCCTTTAAACAACATGGTTTGTCTATGTTTTATATATGCATATTCATATACAGTCACAATCAAAAACGTTTCGACCTCTGAGTCCAAAAAATGCATGAGAGAAATCATGGCATGTATTCAACATGCAACTGCTCCTCAGTAATAAAAGCTAAAGCATTCAAACTTCAAATAAAAGATTATATATATGTTTATTATTGAAATATAGAAAAAAATAAAAGATCAATATTTTGTATGACCTCCTTTGGCCTCAATTACAGCCTGGCATCGATGTTGCATGCTTCCGGCCAAAGTTGACGAAAGTTCGAGACCTATCCTTCGCCACTCTCGTTGCATTACAACCTTCAGATCTTCAACATTGTTAATACTGGCCCTCTCGTCACTCATGCGCCTCTCGAGAGCCCACTAGAGATGCTCGATGGGGTTGAGATCCGGGCTTTGAGCGGGCCAGTAGTCAAAACCTCGGATCTCATGGCTATCTTTCCACCACCTCGAGTACGACCCAGTATGACAGCTGGCGTTGTCCTCTTGGAACACGAAGCTCCTGTTTTGTTCCCGCGAAAGATTTTGGAACCAAGGGAGGAAGTTCTGAGCCAAAGTGTTCACGTATTGGTCTTGGTTTACGTTACCATCTAGGAACACCAAAGGGCCAAAACCACCGGCCCAGAAACAGCTCCAGATCATCACACTACCCTTCCCCCACTTGGTTCCTTCGATGATATTTTCTTCCTTGAACCTTTCACCGACTTTCCTGATAGCTCTAGCTCCTCCATCATTACCCTCAACTGTGAACCGTGATTCATCTGACCACACTACACCTCTCCACTGGTCATCTGTCCAATTCACATGCTCACGGGCCCATTCCAGCCTTCTTTTCTTGTGGCTTTCGGTTAAAGCTGGCTTGTGAGCTGCGATATATGATCCGAAGCCCAAACGCTTCAGACAACTGATTATTGTCTTTCTGCAGACAAATACCTCCATGTTCTTTAAGGAAACCCTTAGCCTAGAAAATGAGGCAAAGGGGTCCTTACGAAATATTTGAACAAGGTGTCTTTCTGTCCTCTCGTCAATCTTTCTAGGTCGTCCGGACCCTTTTCTTGGCTCGGGCGATCCTGTCTCGTCCACTCTCTTAATGATGTACTTGACAGTTGACAGACTCATGCCAACCACCAATGAAATCTGGGTCGCCCCGTAATTTGCTAAATGCATGTACATGATGCATCCGTATTTATAGGGATTGGCCTTTTCATATGATCCGTGGGTGTTTTCTGATGAATTTGCGTCTTGCATGTTGGATTTGATTAATAATATTGGGAGAAAACAATGTTTTTATTTTTATTTTTTCGATTTTTTTTAGGCATTTTTTGCGGGGGTCGAAACGTTTTTGAGTGAGTGTATTTGGGCTATTGTCACTTTCCTTATTTGGGAGAGCAGCATATAAAAATCAAAAAATATCTTATTGGCAACCAAATGAAACATCTTTGTATATTATTCTAGCCCTATGCTGCCATCTTTGCGTTCTATTCACAAGTTTTAATAATAACAACAGTAACTGAATCTCTTTGTGTTTTAGTAGTACCACGTTAGATGTAGTATGCCGACTGCATTGCAAGAATTAGTTGCGAATAGTATAGCTTTCAAAGGGAACAATAAAAAAAAACATTCTTGCAATTGCGCTGGATGTTGTATTATTTGACTTTTGTCCTTTTATATTTACTTCGAGTAATTGCTTGCTTTTCTTAAATTCCATCCCTCTGTTCTATTCTTCTTACTACGATTCTACTTGTTCCTTGCCATTATATACTCTTCTTTCTATATTACTTTCTATAAAATGACATTTACATTATATGATCGTCTCTTACTTGTTACTAATATCGCCTTTTTTTTTTACCTTGATATATGCCCTAATTGGAAAAAGAAAATTAAAGAAGGAAAACAAAAAGGCATTTATAGTCCTTTTGACCATACTCTGACAGATTTTTCTTTTGCAGGTAAAAGCATATGTGGTTGTTATATTTCTCATTTAAATTGAATAAAGCTAACGGCCAGAGTGCCAAGCTGTGGTCATATTTTAAAAAATAGAAATAAAGAAAAAGAACATTTAAACGATTAAACACTGCTTAATCTCGTCATTTATATATATATACAAATGTACATAGAAAGAACGGATCAGGCAATTTCAAGATGTTCGAATTCATAGTGAGCATAGGTGGTAAAGGTTGTCTTCTTTCTGTTTATTGGTATAGACCGTTATCTTTATAATTATATGCTTTAAATGAATATGTAATAAAGAAAACACCAGTGAAAATGCAAAGGCAGTTATATTTGTTTATAAAATATTACATGTATTTGAATTTAGCTAGCCATAAAATGAAAATTATATGTATTAAATGTCGTCTGAAATATAACCACTGCTGGTGTTTCAAATAGACTTTTTTTTTTAGTTTTGGCAGAGCTCTGCATGTCAAGGCCGTACTGCGGGTATGACTGGTCTAGATCCTGATTCCTGCCTTATCTAAGCATTTTGTGGTAGTATAAAACCTTTGTTATTATGTATTTTGATTATAATACTAATAATAAAAGATTCGACTACTTCTATAATTTCATTTGATGGCTAGACGTTTTCCTTGGTCTACACTGGCTCTCTGTGCTCTCTCAGCTGTTTCGATTATTTAGTTTATCCAATTTACCAGTATGAAATTGGAATACTCTTAATTATAATTTCCAATATACTGCTTTGCATGCTAGTATACTTAATCATGTTTTCTTTAATTGTGAACAAAGTCGTTGAATACACACACACACACATATATATATAAGAAGAGAGAGCAAAATAGGCTCTCTTTTTACTGTAAAATGAAGATTTTTGGATTAAATACCCTAGACAGCAATATTTCCCAGCTTCTTTAATTATACGTATACTGTTTTTTAACTATATTTATGAGATGGTGGTCTCATATTAGTCTATAGCCCGTCAATAGAAAAAATAGGAATAAAATATGTACCGGATTTTAAGGATGTACAATAATTATTTATAATTGTTACTATTTTTTTTTTGACCTAAAGCAAAACTTAATTGATCACATAATATGATGCCAAATGATTTTCAAATATTTCGGGCACACATACAATATACTTTATGTTGATTTATAGCATCAAATTCATTATTATTATTATTTGTGGTAACATTAAAGGATATTGTTATCTCCCGGATTTTAATTTTAATTATAATAGGATGTACATCTCTAGATTTGTTTCTTTCTATTGAAGTTTCAACGCTGTACCAATAGGCTTTATTATTTGAGTGTTGATCAAAAGTAAGTGATGGACAAAAGATACACAAAAAGGTATTTGACATTAGCTTGTCAATGAAAATAAAATAATTAAAAAAAAGGGAAGCTTTTTAAGGGTTTAGTAAAAATAATCTATTTGTTTACCTATACAAATTTAAGCCTATTTTTCTTCAAGAAGGGGGGGGGGATGAAGTAAGAGATACTAAGGCTACACAATAAAATACATCTACTCTCAGTAGGGTACATTAAACTCAGGGGTAGAAGCGTAAGAGAATCATAAAAATATAACCGTTATTTTCAGAAGATGTAGAGCAAAAAGAGATAATATCTAATTTTTTCTACCCACGCCCTTTACATGGCTATTTTTATCAAATAATTGTTAGTATCAATATCAGTATCAGTATCAGTATATGTACAACGTATATACAAACAAATACACACACGCACATTTTATATATATATATATTGATGGAAACATATTCGACACATTCTTGAATGACATCACGAAATGTATATCTTTCAAAAATCTAGTAGCAATACTAATAATATATTCACTTTCTTTATCAATCTTACAGGGGTTGTCCCTTTAGATATAGAAGATATGACGACCTCTTTAGAGAAACATATACATAATGTATCTATACATATACAGAAAACACTGGTATTAGTGTTATTTTCTTTTGGATTGTTGAAATGTATGGTCTAATTGCTGTGCCAACAAATAAACAAAGATTTTTTTAAAAAAAAAAATAGCATTTAGAATTGACCTTGGTGGGTTGAATTGTACCAGAAATTGCATTTTAGTAGCCATCATCATATTGAGAATTAAAACAATAAAAATGAAAAAAGAAATGAAAACAAAGGGGAGAGTTCTTGCCCCGGCTATAGCTCCCATAATAGGATACTTTTTGCCTTATTTTCTCTGACAAATACCAAGTCTCTTTAATAAATCAGTATGGTGTAATCGATGACATAAAGATAGATATCGAAGCTTTCGAATTTATTCTTCAATCTTCTCCCCTATAATGGTTTTCTTAAAAAAATATATATATATATATTTTAATGTCCGCAAAACATAGAAATCAAAAAATATTGGTGGTTAATGTTACACTCATATCCTTTTTAGGAACATTGAAAAATGCACCCCTTGTCTTGCCATGACAACCATATTTTTATTTATTTATCAATATTCAAAAAAAAAAAGAACTCAAACTCAGCTGTTTGCTTGACCAACACCTCTTCAACCCTGAAGGTCGGGAACTTCTTTATTCAAAACATCTGTTTTTTTTTTAATAAGACTTGTTCAGATGAGACAGGTCTATATAAAACATGTCAAAATATCTTTATATAACTTCAACTGAACCATATATTATACTAAAGATCTTTACAGATACTGTAATTATTATTTTTTGGGGGGTTAATTTACTGACTTTTGTGTAGATGCTTTTTTTTTATATACAAATTCTTAATTTGATTATCTGTAAGCATGCAGTCTGTATGCATGCATGTATGCATGTCTCTATTTTTATAACGAAAGGAAGAAACACAAGGTATCGTATTATTGTTTGGGAAAAAAAATTAATAAAGAAAATTTCCAGTATTTTATAAAAGCCAAAAGAAAAAAAATTATAAAAGAATAATATTGATGCAGCTTTATATCCAACTGTTATGAATATTCAATTGTTTTTGATCAAGTTTGGAGAGGAGTCCAACAAGCCAATTAAAAATTTGGTCTTGACATCGCTGACGATCACTCTCGTTTATACAATCTGCTCTACCATATACAAGAAGTATGCTAAAGGCAATGATCCGTGGAATCGCAAAGGATTTAAAAAGATACCTTCTCCACCAGAAAGATATCCGTATATTGGTAAAGAAGAACATTGGTTTGTAGCTTTGCTTATACACAGCCACTAACAACCGATATATATGTGAACAAAAGGACACATGTATTCTCTGGGAGACTCGCCTTCTACAAAGCTTGACAAGTGGCATGTCAAACATGGTATATAATCATTAGATATTAAAACTATACAACACCAAACTTGTGTAATTGACATGGATATTCTTACTATAGGACCAATCCTGCATCTCTATATGGGAATCCAGCATTGGATCTTTGTTAGTGACCCTGTAATTGCTCATGAACTAATGACTCGACACGGATCAGTAACTTCAGACAGATCTAACCACACTTTTGCCTTTGAAATGTTCAGCAAAAACGGAAGGTATTATACAAAGATTATAAATGTTTGTGTGTATGTGGGTAGTAGCAAAAGATACTTATCCAAGGCTGCTAGTGGAATTTCATTCAACAAGTATGGCAAGAAATGGAAAGACTCCCGTTCAGCAGGTAACTTTGATTTCTATATATAAATATACTTAAATATACTCACCTTTTTTTTTTAAAAAAAAAATGTAGTTCTTTCCATATTGTCGGTGCCATACTTTGATGCAGTTGCCGGGACCATTGAGTCGGTAGCCGATAATGCCTGCGGTCATTTGAAGAAGATCACAGAGAATGAAGGATCAGTGGACCCATTGGAATATATTCAGATGGCTACCTATCACACAATGATAAAAGCCGTCCTTGGAAAGGATGTCAGAAGCATTGATGATACTGTACTAAAGGACATCATTTGGATAACACACAAACTACTAAGATATGCCAGTCCCGAGGGTGATATTGAATCCTTTCTTCCAAAGTTTTCATGGTTTCGCGAACAGACCCAGCTTAAGAAGGATATGAAGAGCTTTGTTGAACTTCGAGACAAAGTTTACACTGATTTGATCAAAGAAGCAGTAGCAAATAATACAGAGTGTTGGATTACCCGAGCGCATGCACGCAAGAGTGAATATAATTTGAATGACAACGATCTGATAGTTATTGCCAGTAAGTGTTGAATTGAAAATTCTATATTGATTTATAGATCGATGTATTGTTGTTGTTGTTGTTGTTATTTTCTTCTTTTAAGGAAGAGTAAAAAAAAAAACAAAAATTAATTTAGGGTTAAACAATAATTAGGTGACCTAGTCAGTGGTGGCGGGGAAAATCCGTGCACTTCTTTGATGTGGCTCTTTGCAGCACTATCTCAATACCCAGACATCCACAAAAGAGTCTGTGCAGAAATAGACAATTTTGTAACCGAGAATGGCCGTATACCAAACTTTCTGGACAGACTAGACCTGCCTTACACATGTGCCCTCTTGAAGGAGAATCTTCGTTTCAGAAATACTAGTAACTTTGGTATTCCTCACCGTGTAACAAAAGACAGTAAGTGTATCTATACAGCTCATATCTCGGGATTCACTAATCACTTTGACTATCTGTGTAGTTGAGGCACTAGGATATTTTATTCCTAAAGACTCATTGATTGTTAGCAGTATGCATGCGATGCATATGAACTCAAGTGTATATAACAACCCGTACGAGTATATGCCCGAAAGATTTTTGGGACACACAAAAACCTGGGCCGCTGAGTCCTACGGAAAGATTGATGAGCGATTTCTATTTAATTTTGGATGGGGAAGGTTTGTTGTTGCTTTTGGGCATGGAGATATATAGAATATAAAATCATAACCATTTGGCTTCCCTTTTGCATATCCTTTTTATATATCTATCTATCTTGTGTATGTAGACGTATCTGCCCAGGTCCTTATTTGGTATGTTTAAAAAAAAACGATTTAAAACCATGGGTTTATTCTTCCCAAAAATAAAAAATAAAAAAAAGTACTTATCAAACATGTCTTCTTTTTCTTTATTCTTTCTTAGGCGGAAATGACTATATTTATTGTAGCCGTCCGTATTCTCGCTCAGTTTCATATTGAGCCAACAGTTGATGTAAATGGAAAGCCAGAGTTTGTTGATTTGAATTCGTTTTCTAACAAGGGGTTCACTTTCGCACCGACCGAATACAAAGTTAAATTTGTTCCCAGAAGCAACAATAATCTACCTAAAGATAGTGTATAGTCTGTTCATAATTAATCATTACAGCTGAATCCCATAGGATAAATTATAGTTTTTGGTATTACTATTTGTTTTTTATATATATTTAAAATGTAGATAATCTATTCACCAATTAATATTCTTCCCTATAGAAATATATACAAGATATATGTTTATCTTTCATTGGTTTTATTAGTTTTAAGAATATCTTGGCTGCCATTACAATGTTAAGAAAACAATTGTATATTCCCAGCGTTGTTTATCACAGTACTTACAAAAGAAAACTACATATATATTTATGAAAAAGAATAAAGGAGCATTACGAAATAACGCATATCTTGATCCACAAAAGAGTCTTGTTTCAAAGTATTTGTTTTGTATACTCAGCACATAAGACTTTTGTTTTTTTTTAAAGAAAGGCATATACTAAGGAGTACATATCATATTGTGTCATACTAACAAGTCTTTTCTACAGTCCTTCTTATTTTTAATAATAAGATTCATAAAGTTTCATTCTAAACTTTTATTTAAATATCTTAATAATTGTCATAGAAACTAGTACCCTGGGAATAAAGTAAAATATATATATATATATATAAAGGCGGGTTTATGGAGAAATAAAGCAAAAAATAATAATATAAAAAAGTAGTGTTTTATTAAAATTCAACCTTAAAAAAAAGTCGTCCCAAGGATTTTATTACTTAGTGTATAAAACCATATATTTAATGTTTTTTTTTTAAATTGTGTTTTCAAAGTGCAGTCAAGGTTCTATATAGTGATAATAGTGGGAGAAACGATATGTATATATCACTATCACTATCACTATCACTATCACCATATCGAGTGTTATAATTATTAACATGCGGTACCCCCTTTTTTTATTCTTTTTAGTAATAATATACAAGCACATATCAAATGGTTATCATAATATCTATATGTATTTCACAGAATCAATGAAGGATAAAAGCCTCTCTGGCTCACTTGTTTTAGCTTATCACTTTTTACTTAGCACTAAAATCGCATCATTGAAAGTGTATTTAGTCTAAACAATAAAGTATACTTTGAAAAATTGGTTACCAAAAAAAAAAGGATCATTTTGATCAAAATGGAAAATTAATTATTGAAAACCTGCTACAAGTACAGATCAGTAAAGATAATTCTTTCTACATGTATAGCTAACATGATGAAGCACATGATGACCCGTAATTTAAAACCTGTTTGACATTGATTTCTTCAATATTGGTCAAAACATCCCATTCTTTCACTCTAAAGAAAAACCATTTATTAATGAACTTTTGGGTATTTGCACCAAAAAGTCCATTTTGATGACCATTTCTTCTCAGGACGTACGTCTCAAAAAAAAGTTGAATATTCTTGGCTTTTACAAAGTAAAGTTGTGTAAAAACCCTTTTGAGGGCGTTCAGTGCTTGTCTAACCACCAACAGACCAATATTCATGGGGATATCAATAGGTTTAAAAGTGCCAATATCGATATTTACACCACAAAAAGATGTTATTTAAATGTCCTACAGTAAAGGTGTGTGTACCAAAAATCTCTCGCACTGTATGCATGGTAGGCTTTGTAATTCTTTAGCACGGAACGATTTAAAGGTGCTGCCACATGTAAAACATTCTGCAGGTTAAAATATACAAGTTATTGAGAAATAAAGAGAAACAATTGTATAACTTATTAACATTCAATTCAATTCAATTTAATTCAACGTAAAGTGCCAGATTTTTAATATAGAGATTAAAAGTGCAGAGAATATGATCCTATATGAATAATTTATATTTGTAATAGAAATGCACAAATGCATTCTTACTCTTAAAAACTATATATAAAGAAAACACTGTTGTCAAAATTATCAAAAAGAGAGCTTAACGTGTAAACAACCAATGAATTGGGCGGGTTATTGAGCATATTTTGTATATGTATATTAAATACCTTTCTTTTAAAGTAATAATCATCTCAAAATGGTTGTTTAAAGATTTATAAAATGCTCATCTTTGGCTAAAAGTAAAGTAGATCAAACTTGTTCAAAAAAAAGTAATAGTTTTGCACGTTTCATGTAAATAAGGATCAATATTTTTTATTTCATTTTATTTTACTTATTTACTCAAGGCTATTTAATGCATATATATATATATATATATATATAACTTGAATGAGTGAATCATTTCATATTGATAAGCTGTACACTATTTAAAGTGTACTTGTACGTTGTTTCCAAATTGAAGTCTATAAAACGAACTGCCTTTTCGTTTTTCTTTTTTTTTGGGAAAAAAGAAGAAGCTTAAACGGCAACACAATAAGCTTTACCGGTGTCAAGGTTGTCGCAAAGGTGCTCACCAACATGGTGAAGTCCGGTGTTGTACTTGAAAAGCTGATCCTGGGTAATACCATTCTCCTTAGCAACGCTTTCGCAACTATCGTTATCAGCTACAGTATAATATTTCTTGCAGTTTGGGTCAGTGTGAGAAGCAAGATGGAGACCACTTGTATTGAGTTTAGCGGGACCAGGATGCTCGACAGCCTTGGGAGGGATATAAGAAGAGTTATCTCCATCGTTGGAATCATGTTGGGGTATGGGATTTTTAATGTTCTTTGCGAGCGAGTGAGAAGAGTTATCTCCATCCTTGGAGCCATGTTGGGGTTTGGGATACCTAATGCTCTTTGGGAGTGAGTGAGAAGAGTTATCTCCATCCTTGGAAACATGTTCGGATCTGAGATGGAGGCTGTCCTTTGGGTGCGAGTGACGAGAATTGTGTCCATCCTTGGAGCCATGTTGGAATCTGGCATCATCAACAGCTTTTTGATGAGAGTGGTGAGAATTGTGTCCATCTTTGGAGCCATGATGGTGTCTGGCGTTATCAATATTCTTTGGGCGCGAGTGGGGATGCTTGTGTCCATCGTTGAAGCCATGGTGGGGCTTAGAGCAATCGCTATCTTTTTGATGAGAGTGATGAGAATTGTGTCCGTCGTTGAAGCCATGATGATGTCTGGCAGCATCGCTATCTTTTTGATGAGAGTGACGAGAATTGTGTCTATCCTTGGAGCCATGATGATGTCCGGCAGCATCAATATCCTTTGGGTGAGAGTGATGTGAATTGTGTCCATCCTTGAAACCATGGTGGGGTCTAGCGCCATCAATGTCCTTTGGGCGAGAGTGAGAAGACTTGTGTCCATCCTTGGAGCCATGATGATGTCTGGCAGCATCGCTATCTTTTTGATGAGAGTGGTGAGAATTGTGTTCATCGTTGAAGCCATGGTGGGGCTCAGAACAATCGATATCTTTTTGATGAGAGTGACGAGAATTGTGTCTATCCTTGGAGCCATGATGATGTCCGGCAGCATCAATATCCTTTGGGTGAGAGTGATGAGAATTGTGTCTATCCTTGAAACCATGGTGGGATCTAGAGCCATCAATGTCCTTTGGGCGAGAGTGAGAAGACTTGTGTCCATCCTTGAAGCCATGGTGGGGTCTAGATTCATCAATGTCTTTTCGATGAGAGTGGCGAGAATTATGTCCGTCAATGGAGCCTTGACGAGGCTCGGGATTCTCAAATCTCTTTTCAAAATGCGAATTGATGGATCCACGCTCAAGACAGTAGGACTTTCCTGAGACAAGCTTTCCACAATGATTAGGGCTCTTCCCAAGTCCCTTATTTAACTTTTGAAAATCAGAGATCATAATGTCAAAGTCCTTGGAAATGGAAGCGCAAGTATCGTGCTTAGAAGCTACATAAAATATCGCTGTTAACAAACATCCAAAAACAAAGTTTCGTAAATTATTGGTAAAAATAAATGTCTTACCAATATGTGCCTTTTGGCAAGAGTCAGAAGGAGCTGCCGAGACAATTCTAGCCAGAAATATGGCAGAAATAGCGAAGAGAGAGAATTTCATTGTATGAGAAAGGAAGTGGAATGAGTTGTAATGAAAAGCAAAAGATAAAATCAAACAGCTCTTATATACTTTTTTTTTCTTGCTTTTTCTTTGATTCAACTCAATGTAAGTTCTCTAACCTACGCAACCCACCATGAAATATAACAATGCGGTCTCTCCATAGTAGATAATTAGTAGAAAATTAATATACTGCCTTTCCTTTTAAAATGATGGTGGCGATCCCGGAATATTTCCCGATCAAATTTTTATTGTCCAATACACCTCTTTGATTTTACTTTTCATAAAAGCTTTTTTTTTGCACCGATTATTCTGCTTCCTGGTTTGTATATGGTCGATCAAAAGCTCTATCTATTAAACAATCTTTTCATTTTAAAGAAAACATAATTCGTCTCGGCGTTCATACAGTAAAGTCAACTTCTTGTAATTAGGTTGTTAAAAGACTACAAAGTCTGAACCCCTAAGTCTAACATTTCATGTGCATAAATTGAAGAAATTAACGAACATTTACATGATCCTTGTTTGGAAAATAGTAATGTCTATACATGGGGGTAGAGAGGACTTGCAGATAATTCATGTTATTATCGACTTAAAGACTTTTCATGGGACTCGATTCTTGTATAGGTAGTTTATGTGTTCTATTCGGTTAGAGAGAAAGAGAAAACACACACAACAAGATCCAACTTCGTTATTTTTCTGACATATATTGCAAGCTGGAAAGTAATTGGTGCATATGTTTCTTGGCTCTGCAGGGTGTGCATTAACTGAGCTCGTATTTCTCTTTTTCTTTACACATTACATTTCTGCTTAGATATAAGCACTCATTTTTTATACAAACTAGGATTATACATGTTAAACTACCCATATACTATATAATTATAAAACAAAGGATTACTTACTCTAGGAAATAAGCTCGCTCTAATAGTAATACTATTATTTTAAAAAGAAATCAAATTATTATAGCAAAGGACACGGCTATAGTGAATACCAGTTATGCTTCAAATTAAATCAATGTTGGCTTAAGGGTATCTCGGGTTAAAAAAGGCTGATTAAGATTCTGGATATTCAACCACTGACACTGCTACTGATTGGTATATTATGCATATATATATTGAGAATACTCTTGGACAAACTTGAAAAGTATCCAAAAAAAAAACACTGTATTCTTGGCATGTATAATGGTTTCTTATACAAATCCAGAAAATATTATAATATATATATTACACCGCAATGGTGTGTATATGATAATCTTCCTCTGCACTGTCTCAATTTTATTGCAATTGGGAAATTACGAGATGTTACTAAAAGTAGTCCTAATCTCAACTGATGAATATGGAACGAATAGATTTTATCAGTGGGCTTAATATGATTCGACACACCTTTTTTTTTAATAATAGAAATAATAAAAATACACAGCAAAGACTTTTTTTTTTGTGTAGCGCCATTGAGTTTAATTGGTTACTACGTTACTTCAATCAAAAGATGATATATATATAAATATAAATGACTAAATTCCCCATATTAGGACAGAATATTCTTTAAGATGGTGCGCATAACCTCTTCAAGATCCCTATTATCCTTCAATTACCCAATACGCCACACCTAACATTAGGTACACGTGCTTAAAACAGTGCGTTTATATTTATGTTTTCCCTAAATATTTTTATGGCTCCACATTGCCCAATATATATAGACTTTACAACACAAGGACGCGGACTTGATATCTAAAGGCTATAATATTTTGATTAATACGAAGGATTGTTATTTTTTATCTATTTCAATATTTTGGCTTGTTGGCTTTGTTCTATCTATTTATTTTAATAAAATAAAGCAAGTCAATACCTGTATTCGAATGGACTGGTGTATCGGTCTAAAAGCAAGTCCATACACAAGTAAACGTATTATTTGTACACAAATTATTTATAGACTTGCCATATTATAAAGAATAAATTATATACCTATGTTTGGATAATAAATATCTGTAGTTTATTAAATACCAACAATGGAGACACACACATATAAAATAATACTTAAAAAAAAAGCCAAGTATAACTCCTTAAAAAAAAAACTTTTGCCTGATAATAATCCTGTTCAATTGAGTGTCTAAAGTATAACAAGTACTTGTGAAGACACATAAAGTAGGATTTCAGGTGGAGAAAATATAAAAGAAATGTAACGAATACAACCTTTGCAAGAAGAAGAAGAGTAACCAATTGATCTAGTCAATATACGATATAAAAGCGGATATAATGAAGCCCTCTAGACATTCACAAGTCAGTAGAAACAATGTAATTTAGTTTTTGGTTTTTGAATTAAATATTCCTGTGTGCAAATCAGTATAGTATGCAAGATACTACGTCTATAGATTTATTGAAATTTTAAATAATTTAAAGAATATATATAAAAGAGTAATGTCTAATATACAAGTGCGCATATTTCCCGAGTACAAAATTTATAGCTTGCTAGTAATATAAAATATGTAATTTCGTCGGTTCTATATTTAATGACCATTTATTCTGTCGAGCAAAATCTTTTGTATGTCCTGAATTCTTATTTGCAAACACTTGATATATAACTAGATTTTGTATAGAGTTCAACTATGCGTACAGTTTATTGAAGTCACTTTAAATAAATAAATAATTCTTGGATAATGTTTTGTAAAATAAATTAACAAAGGGATTATTTTTTCTAAAGAAATAAATATTTAAACAGCAACGCAGTAGGCTCTGCCGGTATCAAGGTTGTCGCAAAGGTGCTCACCGACATGATGAAGGCCAGTGTTGTATTTGAAAAGCTGAGCTTGGGTAATACCGTTCTTCTTGGCAACACTCTCGCAACCATCGTTAGCAAGTACAGTGTAGTACTTCTTGCAGTTTGGATCAGTGTGAGAAGCAAGATGGAGACCATTGGTGCTTGCGGAGCCAGAGTTAGCGGTCTTAGTAGCAGCAGCCTTGTGAGTTGTGGTGGTGACCTTCTTATGGCCACTCTTGATGCAGTAAGACTTTCCAGAAGTGATCTTTCCACATTTCTTGACATTGGAGCCAAGTCCACTGTTCCACTGCTGGAACTCTTTAACGCTAATTTTGTAGTGCTTTGCGATAGAAGCGCAAGACTCGTTCTTGGTAGCTAATAATAATAATAAGAAGTAAAAAGAGAAAGGTCAGGAATTCTGCGAATGTTGCAAGTATTTGTATTCTTCATTGACTTACCAACGTGCTTTCCGGTGCAGACAGTGGAAGGAGCAGCAGATACCATGCTGGCCAAGAGAAAGGCGGAGACTGCAAGGAGAGTGAACTTCATTTTGTGAGAAAGGAAAGGAAAGGGATGTAGTAGTAAGAGGTGGATGATCGAGTCAAAGTACGCTGATGTGCTCTGTCTTATATACTACAAATTTTCCAAAAAAAATGAGGGCTTTCAATGATCGGGTAATTAAGCTTGATCTTTCAATAATTAACTCATCCAAATTTGGGCAATTTATACAACACGGACACAACGTCCTACATACAATAGATATAGGTAGTCCTATTTGTTACGAAGTTGACAAAAATACGACAATCTTTCGTACTCATGAATCTCTGTACATATTGCCAAGGCAATACACGTGGAACACAATTACTTTATTTTATTTTCTTAAAACAATTGTGCTGTTTAGTACATGCATAGTCTTATGAAAAGAGAAATCAAATACACATATTCTGATTTTTTTTTTGCTAACTCTCAAGTTTCTCCTAAGAAATTATGCTTAATTTGATCTAGCAAAATATAACAGAGTAGATAGTAGCTAGCCAGTGCTATAAAGATGTGTGTGTGTGTGGTTTACAAAAACCAAGTTGGTTATCCTCGGCTCAAATGCTAACATAGGTGCTTTTGTTTTTACCGTGCAATTGGCACATATTTATCCATAATCGATGAAATCTAGAAATATATGTAATTCTATTGGCTCCTTGTTTTCTCTATTTTTGGATTTAAAAAAACTTAGTTGTGGCTGGTAAAAAGAAAATTAGACATATTCTTTATAAGCATGTATACATGTGTGTGTATTCTTTAGTCAGTTATTATACATACATAGCCTATTTGGCTGTGTCTTGTCATTTCCAGGATGATAGACGAGTTTATTTTTCTTTCAAGAAAGTATAGATTCAATTTTTATTTAAATGAAACCTAACGCATTGGACAGATTGCTCTTATTCACTTGAAATATAGGTTTAGTAGTTGCAGTATGCCCATTAAACTAATGTTTCTGGACATCTGGATAGTCAAATTGGCACCCTCTTTGTGTGTAATAGTCTTTTTTAGATAGAAATATGTATCTATAGATATATTAATGATCTTTTTTCCTTATAGAGCTTATACGAGATCCGAAGAATATATACGTGCGAATAGTATAATTTTATCACCAAGTCGAGAATATAATTTATAAAAGTAAAAAACTATATTTTTAAGCAATCATTAAAACTCATTGAGAGTAAAAAATAATGATAATAATAATTAATAATATTTATAGCAAAACTGTCGTAAATGAAACGAAATGTATTTTTGGACATGTATTACCACTAGCTGTTAATACTATACAGTTCTACTTCTATAATATACAGCTATTAATAATCCCATCGCGCTCTAAAGCCGAGTAAAACTTCAGGAAATACACCTGGACTAAATTAGAAATTTTGATGCTTTATAACTATAAGTTTATTCACAAAAAAATTATATCCAAATGCACCTGTCAAGTCTAAAAATTCTTATCTTTTTTTTCGATTAAATATGTAGTAATTTTAAGTGCTGTAAAAAGTATAGCCGAACTAACTTAACGTTAAGATATAAGCACAGATCTTAGTCATAATAATACCCTTGGGCAATACAAAATAATAGCTGTTTACTGTCAATATCAAGGTCTAGTAATTCCACATAGATGATTCATATTCTAAAAAAGCTATCAGGATCGAGACCCCAAGTAAATTAAAACAGGATATTTTTTTTTAAAAAAAAAAACAGTTTCGGGTGCAATTGGGGTATCAAATACATTAGTTTTAAAGTACAATACAGCAAAAATCCATAGCGAAAGTAAAAGACAATGATTTCCAAACGAATAATTTTGACCCCCACTAATAAAACTTCAGTTATGATATACAATTAATCTAGTGAGAAAAGGTTCAAGAAAAAAAAGTTGGATCATATTAAGAAGTGGCCTTTCTGTGGTGTATTTTAGCACAACCAAAAGTCTGATAAATGTCAATATTTATTTAGAGACTTTATTGATATAAAGCGCAATAACCAATCAGAGTTCCCATATGTAGATTTATGTTATCTATAGAAAAAACTCCTGGCTATATCTATTCAAAATCTTCATTATAAAGTGATCTCAGATCCTTGCTAGCTCTTCACCTGATTTGCTAATTCAACTATCAATAATAGCTTTTTTTTAACGTATTAAATTAGCCACATCTCATAATCAAACCTGTGAGCACAATACATAAATTTATGCACTATGACAGACACGTCTTTTTAGCAAAGCCTTATACCATTCTTATACAAACCTCTTATACTGGCATTGATCAAAAAAGGTTGTTAAACCCGTGTAACTGTGTTTGACGATTATTATTTTTAAAGAAAGCTGTATAACCTAGTCAGAGTAACCAAAAATAGCATAAAATCTTGGGGTACCTCGCACACTATTTCACAATCCCACCGTTAAGAGCTGAGTAGAGTAGTAACATCAAGGCTACTAAAGTAACTAGCCGCAATTACTTTATCTATATGATAACGACAATAATAGTGACAGAAAACGTAAAAAGTTCGAATAAAAGTATTTCGAGTTTAACCAACAATATCGATTTGAATATGTCTAAAGCTAAATTGAAAAGAACAAATATTGAAGCAATTTTTTTTTCTTGTAGTCAAAGTCTACCAGGGGTGTATGATGATATATTCAATAAAAATCGTACCTAGCATCGCATTTTTATCTTCTGCAATTTGCTTGGGGTTTTGAAAGCAAAAGAAAAAGAAAAAGAAAAAAGCGTTTGGTATTATCCAATAATATTGGTTTTAAAGAAAAAAATTATTTGAACCTTTTACACCTGTCTACCTCTGATTTTTTTTTAAAAAAAAAACAGCTGTTTAATTATTATCACTTTTTAGAAAGCTGTAAATCGATCTGCAAATTTAATCATTTACTCCCCGCAATTTAACGCTGCATTCACTGAATATTGGTTTGCCTAATAAAGTGATATCTTTATTTTTATTTCTTTTGTTTCAGCAAGTTTGATTAAACCTCATGCAATAATAATATTTAATTATAATTTATTTATTTATCTATCTATTCATTGAAGCTCTCTTCAAGCAATGAAGCCCTCAGAAACAGGTTGCTTTTTATGACCGTTACTGCAGAAGCTACTAACATTATTTATGCCAGCATAATGTCGTATTTAAGTTTCATGACAAACAGCCACATTATCTCTATTAATTTCTATTCTAAATGGCCTGAAACTTCCAGCCTTGTTTTGGTCCCTGACCTCATTTTCCAGGCCATACCCCACTCATCAATATGTATTGCAAAGATACAATATTTTAATAGTACTACTTTGAATTTACCCAAGTTTAATGATAAAGAACACAAGAACCAAAAAATAAATAACAATCTTAGAAGCATAGTATGGTATAATACAGAATCTAAACAAGCTACTGTACTTTCTATTCTCTACAAGCGTAGAAAGATATAAATAATAAGTATTAAACGTAGTGCTCCCTACAAAAAAACAATATACACTTAATATTATTTGGTTCAAACATGTATTACAAAGCACAAGATGTATATCTTGTACCTTGATCCTTAAGTCGTATTTATGCTTTATTAGCAATACATTTAAAAATAGTCCAGTTGCAGAAAAGCAAATTATGTTTAAATTCAATTGAATCATTGGGTGTACAAAAGTAAAGAAGTGACTCTCACAAATTTTTGGAATAAAACTCAGTTAATTTTCATTATAATTAATCTAGGGTTCTAAACACACATCACACTACCACACTGTTATCCATGTTTTTATTTATTTAATTCAATTAAATATATGCTAATTTTTTTACTTACCATTGAAGAACCTATTGAATTCAAAAGTAACATTGTCGAGTTTGCATTTACCATATTCCTCACTTGGGACGGTGACGATCGTGTGAAGAGTTTGGAACTAGGCCTAGGTCATTTTCTATGTCTTTGTCTCTTTCCAAGAAGATTTTAGACGAAATATATGTCTTATCCTCCCCGAAAGAGACGAGAGACCTTTGATCTTCTCTACCCTTTTGTAAAGATGTCGCTATGGAATGTGTTTCCTTGTACTCTATCTAGTACTTAATTTATGAATTATAAGAATTTGAACAACAACAACAACAGCAACAACAACAAAACATTTAAATCAAATATAGAAATCGAAAACATGTTGTAAAGTTCTCTTCTGCTTTACATCAATAAATGCTCATCATTTCTTTGATCCTTTTGCTCCCTATGTAAACAAATACAATCAATCACTCTTAAAACACACATACTGTCATTTTCAGGAGCCCAAATATACATACATATATATGTAAAATCTGTATAAACGGAAAATAAACTACCTTTCATTTTTACCATACATCTTAGTTGTCTTGCATTATATGTCAGATCGTAAGATTTGTAGGCAAAATAGACGTACTAAAGAGATAATGCAGTCTAACTTGGTTCTAAATGTCTAATGTTTTTTACAAGTTCAATTAATTTTGCCTATACTTCCTAGTGCATATATATGATTATAATGGATAGTGTTTCTTGATACAAGCCTCCTTTACTCTCAAATTCATACACAAGCACACATGTATACATACTTATAATATGAAAACGAAGCAATTGAAAACAAAAGCAAAAAACAAAAAGATTAAGTGGTGTATATTTTGCATGGTATTTATTGTGATTGATGCCTAATCTAACGGATACATTATTGTATGTATGGGTAAAAAAAAGGAGCGGGTCTGAAAAGAATGTTATTTAAACTTTGACGCAGTAAGCTCTGCCAGTGTCAAGGTTGTCGCAGAGGTGATCACCGGCGTGGTGGAGACCAGTGTTCCACTTGTAAAGCTGGGCCTCGGTGATGCCGTTCTTCTTGGCAGCGGTATCGCAACCATCACCATCTACAACAACGTAGTACTTCTTGCAGTTGGGGTCAGTGTGGGGGGCAAGATGAAGTCCGTTTGTGCTGGTGGCAGGAGAAGCCTTGGTGGTGGTAGACTTCTTGGTGGTGGTCTTCTTGGTGGTGGTCTTCTTGGTGGTGGTCTTCTTGGTGGTAGACTTCTTGGTGGTAGTCTTCTTGGTGGTGACCTTCTTGGGTCCACGCTTGACGCAGTAAGACTTTCCGGTGGTGATCTTGCTGCACTTCTTAACGTTGGAGCCAAGACCGCTGTTCCACTGCTGGAGGTTCTTGACACTGATCTTGTAGTGCTTAGCCATAGAAGCACAAGTCTCACCCTTGGTGGCTATAGATGAGAATAATGATTAGGATATTTACAAGAAAAAAAAAGTGTTTTATGATAGCTTACCAACGTGCTTTCCGGTGCAGACAGTGGAAGGGGCAGCAGCGACCATAGTGGCCAAGAAGAAAGCGGAGACAGCAAGGAGAGAGAACTTCATTTTAGGATGGTAAGGAAAGGAAAGGAAAGGAAAGGAAAGAGGTGGATGATTGTATCAAGGAGTGGCGAGGATCCCTTCTTATATACGAATAATATTTTAGAATCTAGATGTATTTAAATCCACCAAGTCAGATTGAACTTTTTATTAATTAAATATTCCAAAGAAAGACATATCACAGAATACGAATATATTGCAACACCTATGAAAGAAGTATATTTAATTATTCGCCGCTCAAAAGACAAATTAGGACCCTTTTCAGATGCCTGTCTACTGTCATTTTCAAGATATGTAGTTTAGCTCAAAACTATGCAATTCACTCCCACGCGTGTAGACACTCTAGTAGCCTGAACCATAAAAAAAATTAGTAGATTGCTAGCTAGCCTAATAAACATACCAGATTTATGAGCCGTTTGTCTTACTGAAGGCCAATATACTCTGAATTGCTAGAGTAATAATCGTAATTCAAACTCGACAATGTTAAGCAATTCCCAGGTCTTTTTTACCTTTCTTCTCCTCACTAATTTGGGAACTTTTGTCTGGAAACAAACATTTATTTTTTGATATAGCGTGTTGTTGCGACTTATTTGCTCCAGACCGGTGAATTTTGTCAATTGCGGTAATCAAAATGGATTTAATTATTTCCATTTGTAAAGATCATTGAAATTTATCCATGAGGCAACAGCATTGCAAATGGACAATGGAAAATGGTCCAGAGGCTTTCAAGAGGTCGATAAATGCTTTGCCTACATTACAAGAAATCTAGCTTAATTTTAATTTGCTAGCTCTATAAGTAATAGCCCACACATATACAAATATATATATATGATCTAGACCATAGGCTAACCATAACATTTCCCACCGATCACTTAGCAGATCCTTAAACATGGTAATAAATATATATATATATATGTGTGTGTGTGTAATTGAGTGTCTCATATGCTACACTTAATATTGGCACATATCGTTATTGTTATTAATATTATTATTTATTTATTTATTAAAAGAAACAAGAAGGATAAGATAGTAATATTGTTAGTGTTACCAGGCTGTTTGTGATTCTGTAATGTGTTTGGTAAAAATAAACCAATGATAGTATACAAATCGTAATTACTACTATCATTATGTTGTTGTTGCCTTTATGTGTACTATGATACACTTTTGGTTCCATAATTATAGCAACATGCTTACTCTTCAAAAATATTCTTATTATTGAAAGTAATCTTTTTTTTAGACAATCGAGATTGGGCTGAGCTACAACCCAAGGAATATTTGATTTTTTACGCCCCGAGATAAGTGTTGCCATGTTGCCTAAATAACCACAGTAACAGAAGAATACTCTTTATAAAAAAAAATAACCACAGCAACAGTATCTTCAGAAACACATCTTCTTGTATTTTATTTTCTTTGGTACTTTATTGATACTCCCGGAACATACAATGCGCGCCCGTTGAAATATAGGCAGGATATATATATAAAAAAAGAACAAGGAAAAGTACAAGAAAATAATAGAAATAGATTGTCTAACGAGCAAAGAGTCAAATCGGGTGCTTGTCTGATGGTAGCCACGGCTTTGAACACTAAAATTTCAGAAAGAGAGAGAGAAAGAGAGAGTAGCGCAATGACCACAAAAATGATATAAGCTGCGGTGGAAGTCGGCATGAGCATGTTCAGTATCTGAAGCTTGCTAGGTCAGTAGAAAATAAAGTATCAGAGAGTCCACTATAGAGTGACAGGCAGGATACTTGGGACTAGTTGAAAACGAGAATGTATGATGAAAGACGAACTCAGCGGTGGAGGAACCCTCTATTATAGGACTTTGCACAACTGAGACAGCGCTTTGTAAGATATAGTCCACCGCTAAAATAGTTTCCAAGAAATGTCAGCAGGTTTCGGTGAACGGAGCCAGTCTGAGCTTTGTGGAGAGAATGGTAATTAATCTGGAAAAGAGACAGGAGAGAAAGGAAGTCACCCATAAGACGAGAAGAATCCACTGTAGTTGCTGTTGGCGATGCCGTAAACGAAGCAATTAAATAATATATTTGTTCAGGTTTCTGGCTTGTTTACCATTATTTCAATTGAATGTCAAATCACACTGCGAATTCTCGTCGATTTTTATAGCAAATCCTAGCGCAACCCTCATTATCAACCACAGTGCGAACTTACATTTTGGATAGATCGAATTACTTCCATATTTCAAACACTTTGTGAACATAGTCAACTCTTGGGCTTTCAATGGTGTAAAATTCCAACTGAAGAGCATACGGGGTTTAATCTTTATCCTTGTATATGGGAAAGCAATGCTGCTAATAAATACCATGGTAGCATAAACTATAACAATTATAATCGCAATCGGCTAGTAAGGGAAGGATAAAGCAGGTATAATGACAACAAAGAATATTGAGCACTCCAAAGACGCCGCAATCAGAACCGTAGATATTTCGACCAAACTGCTTGGTTTCGTTATAAGACGACATATTTTTGCCTCATTCGCAAATCTTTGCCGCATAAAACATTTCTATGTACAATGCATTTGTACCACCATCACTCTTTTCCACAATTGCCTTGGATCCTGAAAACAATGGTTTGTATATTCGTACTCAGGTGCAATTTGCAGACATCCCAATCGAATATGATAATCGTACATCATAGGCTTCTGTCTTTGAGTTGCATGTCAATCTGTTTATCTCTCTTAGAGAACAAGAAATTTTACTTGTTATCCTCACCAACGAAAACATTGGTCTTATTCATATTGTGGTTACGGACTGTAGCTTGAATATTATTCAAATAAAATAAAAATGCCTACTACCGGTGCTTAGTTGATCTTAGATCTGTATTAAGTTGCTACTCGTTTAAACATACTCTTTGTTTCGACATTTGCCCCAGAATTTGTAAGAATACAAAATGTGACTTCTGGAGTTACTTTTATATATACTTTTTGAGGCTTTCGTACTTTGTTCTTGATAATGTGTCTTCCTCCAGAAATATGTGGCTTTTAACCTTGGTCTTTGCTATTGGCCGGGATTGCTATATTGGGTCAAGCTCATGAAATTAAGCAGGAAGATATACACACTTATATCCCTGACACTCGATATACTTGTTTATGTTATCATGGGTATGAGTGGGTGTAATGTATATAACAATATAGTGACCTTTCATATGATGATGTTTATTCCTTTCATTTTAATTTGGCCAAGGCATCGATTTTGATTTGCCGTGATATTGCATATTGAAATCACTGTATTTGCATAAAGCAAGGCCAATACTGACAGGTTAGAGGGATTAAAAGAGTAATGTTGGTCCTAAATTCCCGGTAAAGCTATGGCTTCCAGAGCAAGGATGTTTTCTTATATTAGGTGAATATAAATGACAGCCTGATTTATTTTACAGAATAAGAATAGACTCACTACACAAAATAATAATGTTTGTGTTCAGGTAACCAGGAAATGAGAATAGTGTAACAAATACATCACGTGTATAGTGGTACGGTCCGGGATGTATCTCACGTTTAAAGATTGAATAATGCAGAGCCCGGTATTTTCAAAAAATTATCTATTTCTATTTTATTTATTTATTTTTATACATATATTTCCACATTAATGTTAACGTGTTTCAATGTTCCACTGATGCATAGAAATAAATACTACATGACTGCAATTATACTGAGTGGATAAAAGAAAACAATTCTGGTAATCGTATGGCTAAAAGGAATTCAATACTCCATACGCACACACACATTTTTATTAGAGACACCAATCACTAGACGATACACTACTGAGTTTTTTTTTGTATAACCAACATACAACAAATATCGACAGACCTGCTACAGGCTAGTTTACATTTTTGGGAAGGGAGGGTAGAACCCTTTAAAGAAATGCTCATCCACTACTTTACTTAGAGAACATTCATTATTATATTTTTAAAAGATAGACAGTATTTGAGTAACTATTGTATTATTTCAGATTGTTAATAAAATAGGTGTTGCATAACATGATTTACACAGAACCGGTTTATCGGTCACGCCTGATATTAATATTCCTTTACAAAAAAAAAGAACACATATCAAAAGTCGTGTATCCAAGATAAATAGATTATGTATCAGATTTGTAACCAAAGCACAGGAACCTCTCTAAAGAACACTATAGATTTGCTTCTACGAACTGTATGTATAAAGCAGCTTTTGGGACTTGGTTATAGCTTATTTCCAACAAAATAACTTAAATTTAAAAAATGCACTTTTATTGATACTAAATAGTGCATATAATTCAAACTTTCCAGCTAGGAAACTTTGAAAATATGTGTACGAAATAAATGCTTGTAATGAAAGAAGGGGTATGTTTAATCTTTAATAGAAACACAGTAGGCCTTTCCAACATCAAGATTATCACATTCATGAGCACCGCGACGGTGTAGACCAGTATTGTAGTCGTAAAGCTGCTGGTTAGATATGTGGTTTTTCTTAGAAACGCTATCACAACTGTCGTGGTTCTGGACAACATAATACTTCTTGCAGTCAGCGTGGGTATGAGGTGCAAGTTCAAGAGTATCTTTCTTTGGCTCGTCTTCTGATGAGAAATCATCAATGCTGTCTTCAGAATCTTCTTGATAATTGTCAGTTGAGGTGAGCTCCTTGATATCATTTGAAGATTCCTTGACTTCTTTTGGAGATTCCTTGACATTGTTCTTGTGAGATTCTTTGCCTTTCTTCTTCTGCTTGGACTCTTTCTTTTCTTCTTCCTTTTCTTCTTTCTTTTCTTCTTTTTTCTCATCGGCCTTGTCCTTTTTTTCTTCGGCTTTCTCTTCTTTCTTTTCTTCCTTCTTCATTTCTTTATCGTGTGCCTTGGTCTCGGCTTTATCTTCTTTCTTGACCTCTTTATCGTGTGCCTTGGTCTCAGCTTTATCTTCCGCCTTCACCTCTTTATCGTGCTTCTTTTCATCTGCCTTCTCTTCCGCCTTCATCTCTTTATTCTTCTCTTTGGTTTTCTCTTTCTTATCTTCTTTGGCTTCTTTCTCATGCTCCTTGGCCTTTTCCTTGGCTTTTTCTTTACTAGCCCGCTTGACAAGATTTAATTCACGTCTTGGGAACTCGTTGAATCCTCCGCGCTCTCTTCCGCGGTCGGCAATACGGCCAGGCTTAACGCAATAGGCTCTTCCGGGAATAGGCTGTTGGCAAAATCTAGGGCTGTCTCCTAGATCATAGTTCCAGTTTTGAAGATCGCGAACTGTGATTCCATATTCGCGAGCAATGGATCCGCAGGTATCACGTCTTGTGGCTAAATCACAGAAGCAATATATTAGGATCTCAATTCTAAGCCCGGAAATTGTATAATCTTACCGATATGCTCTGTTGAGCATGAGCTTCCTGGACCGGCAAAAACTGGAGTGCTCAGCAGAAGTGCAGCAATTGCAAAAAGATTAAGCTTCATCGAATGATGTGGAAGTGGAAAGTTGGATATGAGCACAAGTAAGGATAGAGGTGATAAAGGTATGGAGTAATCGGTTGTTATTAGTCTGCCTTATATACCCATGTAAATGTGTCCAAGTTCTGCTGTTTTATTTATAAGTTTAATATGATATTTTATCCAGACAGCGTTCCAATGAAAGTTTTATTTATTTGTATTATCATTTATTCACAAAATATGAACATATCACCACATATATCAAAGATGTACATAAAGACACCATTTATTAGTAGATGACTTTATAATAAGCCCCCTGTAAACCTCCTTCTTGGTTTATGTAGGTGTTGTTAAAACAACTAAATAAAGCCACATGGAGAGAAAGCCACACAATATTTTTTTTTACTCACAACTGTTCTCACAGAGATACAGCTCTTGTTCTGAATAAGGTATAGTTTTGTTCTATGTTTGCTAAATTGATAATCCATTCAAGGAGTGAGCTTTATATTAAAATACCAGAAAATGGGATTTAGTTAGACCAAAATGCCTTTCTACATTCAAACCCATAAAATATACGCCTACTTTGGATTAGTGTATTAAATCCAACCACCATTTCTTTTTTAAAAGAATAACTATGTGCCGGTAACGATAGCCATTTTAGGGCTTTAATCAGATAAATGGCACAGACCACACAGTTCATATATCTTTATATGAGATTAAGATAAGCCAATATGGTTGTAATTAATGAACTACAACCTAAAGTATTATGAAAAAGAAAAAGAAAAGTATTAGGAATCTGTCCAGCCCATACCTTTACTTCCTTACACAAACATTCTTAGGAGACATAATTAACCAAATAATATCCTTTTAACTTTATATTAAGCTCACAAGGTACTTGCTGTTTCAAATTTATTGGTCACTTTCCTTGGAATGGCTTTAACAAACAAGAGAGCTTAGTATTAATGCAAGAGTATTATTCTACTGAGCTAATGGTAATTATATTCGCAGCTTACAGTTCAACATAGAGACATGTGTCTTCTAATATTATATATATATATGCAGGAAGAAAGCCACTTTAACCACACTGGTAATAATAATTTCATCAGTTTGTTTAATTAAAGCCACCCAACTTTTATACCGTATTACTTTATAGCTCATTGTAGATATGCGCATGCATAAGGTCTCTATTTATTTGTTTTTTCTTCTATAAACAAAGAAGTACATATAAAAGGAATTCTAATAGAAATTATATATATTTACTAGCATGCCAACAGAACCTATATGTTTTCATATAAATTTGGGGAATGTTTTTTTTATGTGCAAAAAAAAAGGCCACCTGTATACATAATTTCCTGACTACACTATAGTGTTTTTTTACTTGAAATTGAGACCCATTTATATTTTTTTGTAGACGAATTAGATTTAATCTTTATGTACTTTTTAATAAAAATTTGGGCAAGTCTATATCTTTTCTTTTAGACAAGATCACTTTGTAAATCAAGACAAGCCTTTGTTTTACATTTGATGACAATGCTTATGAAGGTCACTATAATATTATTTTACTTAAAATCATTGTCCGGTAGGTATTAATCTCAAATAACTTCCATATATACTGGTTCATTCCCCCTCTCATATATATTCTTATTGCTTTCTGTCCTTTATAATAAAAGTAAAAGCCTATTGTGTACATATAATACTGTTCTTCCTCTTAAAGAAAAGGGGTCAATATAAATTCTCTGGAGCTATGTAAAGAAATCTAAGTATGCCTCATTATTAGGTAGCAAACAATTTCTTGAAAATAGTTTATACAGATGTCTAAATGGATTTTAGTATACTAATAAAAATAATACACACATTGAGCAAAAGACTGGAGATATAGCATGGAACTGAATGCAGAGTATGTGTTTTATTGTTTGTTTGTTTTATTGTTTGTTTGTTTGTATTTTTATTAAATAATTTCATGATGTGAATTGTAAATGGGTATACACGCATGCACGCCTGTATGTGTGGTTCTTATAGCATATATCTATTTGATACAATCATACTATTGTTATTATACAATATATACTAAATCAATATATTTTAATTGCCATCCTTTCAATACATGTAGTATGTTCGTACAGATCTCCTCCAGTTGAATGTTACTGAAACCCCTTCCGTATTTCATAGCGCGTACATCAATTGACGGACTGTATGGGTCAAGTTATCCACATGTATTTATGCAGACTATGATGCAACTAATACTTCAGTTTGTTTTTGGCATGAGATTTCTCACAGTCAAATATATCATTAAGAAAGTGAAATAAACCGGATCAATATGAGCTGCGAAAAGGGGTCCGGAAAACTTGGAAGGATTGACGAGAGGATTGAAAAATATAGTAATCTGCTGCCTCACGAGTTTAGGCTTTAGTTCATGTATGACAATCCATAAGCCAAGCCTTGACAGAAACCCACAAGAGTAAAATACAGCTGGGCTGGACTCGTGCTCATTCAATTGGTCAGATAACAAATAAAAAAGCGTCGGCGAAAGGCATATATAAAAAAAGAAAAGCTTGAGGGAACCAAGTGTGGGAAGGGTACTGTGATGATCTGGGGCTGTTTTTAGACCGGTAGTTTTAAGAACCTTTGGTGTTCCTATATGAGAATGTAAACCAAGACTAACAAGTAAACGATTTATCTCAGAATTTCATCCCTTGGCTCTAAAATATTTCATAATAAAAGAACATACACTCCGTATCCCAAGAAACCAACACCAACTCCCAAACTTCGTCATATTGGAGGTGATGAAAGGACAGTCATAGTGAACTCTGAGGGCTTGACTACTAGCGAGCTCAAAGCTTGGATCTCAGCCCAATTGAACATCTTTAGTGGGATCTCGAGAGATGTAGGAGTGATCAGAGAACAGAGATTAATAGCGTTGATAATTTGAAGGCTGTCATGTAACGAGAGTGGTAAATAATAGGTGTCAAACTTGCATCAACATTGACAGGTAGTATGCAACATTGATACCAAGGGAGATAATACCAACTATTTATTTGTTTCTCCTTCTCTCAATAATAATCGTGTTTATTCTCTTGTATTTGAAGTTAAGAGACTTTAGCTATTTTTACTGATAATCAGTTGTATGTTGAAGATATCCCACACTTTATCCCATAATTTTTGTTGGGTTCAGAGGTAGAGATGTATTTGTTTGTGGCTGTATATAAAATAAAAACATAACCTTTTTCATTTAGAACAGTTATTTCTAGCTTATTCTTTTCACAGGAAATATAGTATGACTGTGTTTAACGTTGATCTGAATAATGCACACTGTCAACTTTGCCTTCCCAAGAATTGAGGGAAGTAGAGATTTTGTTATGCTATAGGAATGAAGAGTATTAAAAGGCATTTTACTTGTTGATTCAATATCTAAATCAAAGTACACAGGGACCCTTGGGAAACATTTAGTGGTGGTATACAGAAAGGAATAAAAACTGTTTATTTAGACATTTGTAAGAAATATTGTATAGACAGACTAAATTTGTTGTTTATGCCTTGTAAATATGTATAGAAATATATTCATTTTTGAACTTATGATTTCTGATAAATGAGTGATATAGATTATGGGTGCTTTTCTATGCTTTATGGCTTAGAAAATATATATATTGTCCACACAATAGGTTTGAAAGGCTTCTCTGCATTTGCTTACCTGAGATTAAAATTGCCAATCATTTTATTAGGACCCTGTAAATTTAAGCTGGCTGAAATCTTTAATGCAGGTACTGTACTTTTCAACATTAGAAGAGATATTTATTTCCTTTCTCTAATTCTTCCTCTAATTCAGATATACACTTACATACAAAGGATAGTCTTTAATTTGATATTCAGTCTGGATTCTATTATTATAGGATTGTCATTCATCTGTCTTGCTTTACAATCGCACACAAGCCATTGTGACGTACGATTTTCAGGCAACCCAAAAATAAAAAGTCCGTACGTGTGTCGCGTTCCTAACTTTTTTTTATTTTTTATTTTTTATTTTTTACCTTTGGTTCTCAGTTTCTCTTTTGTAATCACGCAAGCAACTTGCTTATTATCGATTCGAGAATGGCAGACAACGCGCAAGGACAAAGGAACCAAATGCTGGATGAGAAACTTGAAGAGAAAGTTCGATTCTTTCAAGGATTCTTGGACAATGAGGTAGGTCCATAGTTATCCTTGATCTCATCCAATTGACTTTTCTTCTTCCTTATAGAATGTTCAAGGTACTGACAATGGCGAGAGCTACAAGAAGCAAATCAACACAATGCTTGCCAAAGGAGAACGACGATTAGTAGTTAGCATCGATGCCCTTCGTCATTTCAACGCACCTTACACCGAAGAGTAAGTCGACACAGCCGTAACTTTATATTTGTATAGAAAAATATAGAAAAATATGTTATATTGGATTGACATTTTTATGTATCTATTCAGTATTCTCAATAACCCGAACGAATGGCTGCCTGCATTCGATAAAGCACTCAAGGATATCGTCAAATCCATCACCGATCCAAATTTGCATGATTTTTATGACCTGCCATTCAGTGTTGGTTTGAAGGGAAGCTTTGGTGATAACCAGGTCAACCCCCGTTCTCTGCGTGCAATGTTCTTGGGAAAGCTTGTGTGTATCGAGGGAATTGTTACTCGCTGTAAGTGAAACTAAAGTGTGATAAAGTAGCAGGAAGAGAATAACTAAACGAATTTGTGTGTGTGTGTGTGTATAGGCTCTTTGGTTCGTCCAAAGGTAGTTAAATCAGTTCATTACTGCGAAAAGACAAAAACACATTTAATGAAAGAGTATCAAGATTCAACAACACCTGGAAATGCCATTCCTACTGGATCTGTTTACCCTACTGAAGATGACAACGGAAATCCATTGATGACCGAGTTTGGCTTTTCTACATATAGAGACAACCAAAGTATTACAATTCAGGAAATGCCCGAGAGATCCCCTCCTGGTCAATTGCCTCGATCAGTAGATGTTATTTTGGATGATGATTTGGTAGACAAAGCTAAACCCGGAGATCGTGTCAGTATTGTTGGTATCTATCGTGCTCTCGGAAACAGAAACGCTGACCAGTCAAGCTCGATTTTCAGGTAATAAGAAAGATAAAGAGACATAAAACAAATGTGAATTGAAGATATGGATTATGTATTATGGATTATTGATCATTATATCCGTGTAATTAGAACAGTTATTTTGTGTAATGAAATAAGTTTGCTGAGTACAAAAGCCGGTGGTGGTATTGCCGCCCCTACCATTACTGACAAGGACATTCGTAACATTAACGCTCTTGCTAAGAAGAAGAATGTTTTTGAAATCCTTTCTCAATCTCTTGCCCCTTCAATTTGGGGTCATGATTATATCAAAAAGGCTGTGCTTTTGATGTTGTTGGGCGGTGTAGAGAAGAACTTGGAAAACGGAACTCACATCAGAGGGTAAGCTTCACTAATATTGATTCTTTCAAAAATGTATATAAAAAACTAAACAACCGGCTAGTGATATCAACATGATGATGGTCGGTGATCCTTCTACTGCCAAATCGCAGATTTTGCGTTATATCCTCAACATTGCACCTCTTGCAATTGCTACAACTGGTCGTGGATCTTCAGGTGTTGGTTTGACAGCAGCAGTGACATCCGATAAAGAGACTGGTATGTAGAGCACTGTATTTTTTTTTTAGAAAAAATCATTACCTAAATATTCTAATATGACGGTATGAACATTATTAAGGTGAACGTCGTTTGGAGGCTGGTGCAATGGTGCTGGCAGATAGAGGTGTTGTCTGTATTGATGAGTTTGACAAAATGAGTGATGTGGATCGTGTGGCTATTCACGAAGTTATGGAACAGCAGACAGTTACTATCGCCAAGGCCGGTATTCACACATCTTTGAATGCACGCTGTAGTGTTGTAGCAGCAGCCAACCCTATTTATGGCCAGTATGACCTTACTAAGGATCCCGGAAAGAACATTGCCCTGCCGGACTCCCTTTTGTCTCGTTTCGATTTACTGTTTGTGGTGACTGATACAATGGAAGAAACCAGAGATAGACAGATATCTGAACACGTGTTGAACATGCATCGTTATGTTCCTCCTGGATTAGAAGAGGGTACGTTTGTTACGAGGGATTGTTATAACCTCCTTGCTTATATGTATATTTTTTTTAGGTGCTCCAATTAGAGAAGTTATTGATGATATGATGGGAGGTGACCCCGAAGAGGTTACTGTCGATGATGAGGATATCTACGAGAAGTTTAATCACTATCTCCAAGGAGGAGCACGTGGAAAGGCTGGAAAAAATGCAAAGGTTCTTAAGGCCAGCTTTGTAAAGAAGTTCATTTATTATGTCAAAAATAAGGCCCACCCAGTTCTCGGCAAGAAGGCCACTGAGACAATTATCAACGAATATACTTCGCTTAGAAACGACAAAGATGATGATTCAAGAAAGAAGGTGAACTCAAAAATTATAAGCAATATTTCACCAGTAAACTAACTTTGGGTTTTCTCTGTTATACAAAAATTATAGACTGGACCTATCACTGCTCGTACACTAGAGACGCTTATTCGTCTTTCTACTGCACATGCAAAGTCACGATTGAGTAACACTGTTGACGAAAAGGATGCCAAGGCAGCAGCTGATGTACTTAGAGTAGCGATGTTTAAGGAAGTCATTCGATCCAAGAAAACTAAGCGAAGAAAGATGTTGATTGACTCTGATGAGGAAAGTGAGGAAGAGGAAGAGGAAGAAGAGGAAGAAGTGGTTCCAAGGTAAGATTGCGCATACCATTTCTCTCCGCTATTCGCATATTGAATATGTATGTATATTTGTGTGTATTCCAGTTCTTCTGTGACCAGAGGCCAGCCAACCCAAACATACGATCATAGCGACCCAATGGAGGAAGATACAGATATGACTGATGGTGTAACAGAATCAAGGTAAATTGAGTAACATTAAGTGTTTGTTTTCTTTTTTTGTTTTGTTTCAATGTTAATATGAATTGTTTCGGCGTTTTTAGACTTCAACTGTTCCGTGAAAAGGTCAACCAGTTAATTGTAAACAATCAGTTTGGCGATGGTGTTCAATGCGAATTTTCCGAACTGTTCTCGGCCGTGAATAACTCTATGCGCCCTAACCAGGAATTTAGTATGAGTGAAGCTAACAGCGCCCTCCAGGAGATGTCGAATAACAACCAAGTCATGTACAGCGATGACATTATTTACATTATTTAAGCCATGCTTTGCTGGTATTATTCACTTGCATTCTTCTAGCTCTTTAACCCTTATTTATCTTGTCTTTAACTCTATTCATCTCGCTACTTAACTCTATTCATCTTGCCCTTTTTCTATTTGTGTTTTTTTCATTTGTAACATGCTATATAAAATGTATATATATACAAAAAAAATATATAGAAAAGAACAAAAGGTACATAGTGTAGATCCTCCTGATCGCCTTTTATGGACAATATTTTAAAGAGCATTTGGGATTGGTGGAAGACTAAAAAGAGAAAGAGTTTAACCTTTGCCCGTCACACTGCGCCGTTTGAACCACCTCCTTTCCTTCTCCGTCTCCCTTTTTGTGAAATAGGCCGATCTTCTATAGAGAGGGGAAAACCTAAAGGTCTTCATCACTCTCATTGTTTCTTTCATTCCAAATTCATCACTCAAATAGCACTCTCTTTTTTCTTCTCAAGTGGACTTAAAGTGAGCCTTTAGAGAATGATGCGTAAGAATTCCCCAACGCCTAATTCTAAGGCACCTATTGTAAGTACCTTTTTTTTTCATATGAAGATAATTAATAAATCCTTTCATTTCATTTAATTTTTTATTTATTGTATTCTTAATATTAATATTAATATTAACATTAAACAATTGTTCAATCCCACCTATTGTCTTGTTACCATAGCTCACCCCAGTACCAGCCGATATGCAACTTGAGAAAATTGTACAAGCTCCTTTGGTAATGATTGATGCCGCCATGAGGGAATCTAGCCAAGACCTGAATCGGTGGATAGATTTTCTCAAGCGAAGGTAATTAATTGTTGTCAGGGCAATTGGTAAGAATTAAAAAAAATCCCAGATATTAAAAAAAAGTTCAATAAAACCAGGGTTAAACTCGAAGAGCGCTACCATAAAGAACTTGCAAAAATCTCCCAGGATGTTATAACCGACAAAAGTATTACTCAGACCAACCAACCAACAAAGACCAAGACCATGTTTACACAATTTGTCGAAATGAGTGAAACGCTACACTCGCATCGTACTAACTTGACTATATCCATGCGCAATCAAATCGATATTCTCAGTCAACTTAGAGTAAGTTCAACAGCTGAGCAGTTGGCATGATTACCAGAATCCAAATAATAAATAAAAAAAAGCTTGGCCTGACCTACCTACCCAAAATAACAACAATAACAACAACAACAAGAAGAAGAAATATGCACAAAAATAGATTGTATTTTTAGGACCAAGCAAAAAAAAACTAAACTAAATGTATGATATTAGACTCAACAAGATCGACAGAAGATGCAGCATAGACGAAATATGTTCGGCTTGAAAGACCAGTATTTAAAAACTAGATTAGAGGAACTACCTCTTGTAAGTTATTCAATATATATATATATATATATATATATATATATTTAGTTTGTCTGTGTTTAATTTTCCAAATGATATTCAGGCACACGACACATACATGCAAAAATGCGAAGAACTCGAAAAATCTCAAGAGACTAGCACCAACATGACTCTATCTCCAACCACAATGACCCCAACTTCACCATTAGGTCTAGGGTCCTCATTAGCTCGACCCTCTAGGTCTGGGACGTCTATGACACTTCCTACCTCCATCGCTTCAGATGACACAGAATCTGGCTATAGAATGCTTAGTCTGGATGAAGATAGACCCTTGCCCTCAGGGTCTTCGGTGTCTTCTGCTTCATCTATAAGCCCACGATTAGATATACCTGCTTCTCCATCTCCTCATCGACGTATCGAACGATTTATGAAGCAATTCTCGAATCTTACACACCACAATGACCTTGGTCGACAAAACGTTCGCTCTGCTAAATTAAAAGTTGAAGTTGTTGAAGCAGGTAGGTTACATATATATATAATACACAAGGGGGGTTGTCTTCTTCATCTGTTATTTTAGGAGACAATGTAAGCTACAAATAAACAATAAAAATTCATTGCTTTTTTTTTATAAAATTAGATCACGAATATCGAAAAATTGTCCGTAAACTGGATACTTTGGATAAAACACGGGTTGCCGCAAACGATTATGCTGTTAAACTCTTCCGAACCCATTCACTAGAAAGCGCCAAGCATATAAAAGAAATGGTTGATATTGTATTAGCGGCTCAGCTGGCGTACACAAAATCATCACATCAGGTAGCAACAAACAAACAAACAAACGAACAAACAAACGATATTTTGGATGAGATCCTTTAGTCATCTCTGAAAACTTCTTTATCCTGGATATATCGGTGTATTTAAATTAACATTTCAATTATAATTTCTGTTTTTTTTCTTTACGTGTACTTAGATAGTACGCAACGCCCACGAAATAGGCACAAATATGGAACCAGAAGATGTATTAAATGAATGCGATAAAATTCTAGACATCACCAATATTGTGAAACCCCAGTCCGTGTATTACATCAACCGTCGTGTAGGTTTATGTAAAGGTATGGGTCAAATATAATTATTTATATATACTATGCAGATGAAATTGAGTTGGTACTTATCAAAATATATTGCCTATATATAGATCTTATCTTTGGTATTTCGTTAGTCGAGTATGCTCAGATTAAAGGAAGAGCGCCTCCCTTGATCGTGACAAAGTGTATCAATGCGGTAGAAACCCTTGGTGGTCTTGAGAGAGAAGGCATTTATAGAATGTCAGGCAAGAAGAGTAATGTGGAGTTGATCAAACAGAGTTTTGAAAGAGACGAAGAAGCCACTGTGTTTGGCCAGGATGATGTGCCTGAAGAAGTGTTTAGTATTGCATCGGTTCTAAAGATCTTTTTGCGTGAGCTGGAAACGCCTCTTTTCCCTTTCAAACTGGCCGACAGAATAACCTATTCTCGTAAGTACTCAGCCCTCGTCTATTTACAAATAAGCTATTATTATCACTATTTTGATTTGACTTACACAGGGATTTGTTAAAAATAGAAACCGAAAAGGAATTGCGATTGATGAATCTCTTGACTCGTCTTCTGAAGCTCCCTTTTGGAAATTACGAGACCCTGAAAGTTCTGATAGAGCACCTGTCAAGGTATGATGGATCCCCAGGGGTCTTCGCTGATCTTGAGTACCAATTACTTACTTAATTATCCGTGACTTCTCCTTAGGCTGACCAAGAGCGTGGATAAAAACAAAATGTCAATTAATAATTTATCCCTGATCTTCACACCCGCCATCTTCCAAGATCACAATCAGGCACAGCGTTCACCGGGAGATTGGTTTTCGGACTGTGTATTGGAAGATTTAATCCAGAACCATGAAAGCCTCTTTGGTAACAAAGATCTGCATAATGCTTCATCAATTACAGGAGGCATTGAATACGGATTCGAGCATATACATGATCAGGATCTGGATTCATGCGACTTTAGTTTACCGTCACCCTCTAGCTCTGTATTTGATTACTCACCTACAGAGTCTATCAAAAGCCTTAAAAAGGTTAGCTCGACTGGAGGAGACAGTCAAACTTCATTACACACAGACCAAACTGCCGATGGGATTTCAGTCACACAATATCCCCAGGATCTTGAAAGTAATCTTTTGGCAGAACAGAGTCAGAAAGTGCGGAAGGGAAGTGTCGACAGTTTTGTGTCGAAACAACTTGGTATTTTGACTGGCCGGCCCGAGAGATCTTCATCCCGGCCTCCATCTCCGGCCTCCGTCCCGGCTGCTGGTCCAACGGGTGATATATCAGCTACCGTAAATCCTGCTACACCCATTCCTATTCTACCACCTTCAAGACAAGGTAGTCTGGACAAACTCAAGAAATACCGGGCTGTCTCGCAAGACAGAGGCCTCAAAGTCAACACTCGGATCTCCAATGGAATCAACGTATCAGATGTCTCGATTCTGAACCCAAATAATCATGTATTATCACCCTCGCCTGTGCAAGAGAAAAACCTTCGTCCTTTGGTTACTAGAGAGTCTGGCTTGAAAAGTGCTACTATTCCTTCATACGACTGGTTAAATCGTGATCCTGAAGTAGGGCCAACACCTGTACCACGTCTATATCGATCAACAACTACAGGAAAAAAGACTGGACCAAAACGGAAGCTCTCTATTCCTGCTAACCCAATTTCATTTGGGAAGAGTCTATAAAATATTTTCTTTTTCTGATTTATTTTCGTTTTCAATGCTATATATTATTACTACTTGATTCCCTTAACTTAACTTACCTTCTTTTATTTTGTATTATTATAAATCTTTCGACACTACCCCCCAAATATCCTTTATTTTCTCTCCAATTTTCTTCATATACCTTTAAGTATAAATATAAATATTATATATATATATATATATATAAAATAAAAAGCTCGTTCTTTTTCTTTTCTCTTATAAAACTCTAATTTTTTCTTAAACTTGGCTTTTTTTTAGGCTGGCGCGCTATAAGTGTATGTGAAATTTATAAGTTGTGGGACGGATATTAAAAATCCGAGATATAAAAGTCCAAGAAATATATAAAAGAAAAAGGTATATTAAGCATGTTCTATTCTAAATTTCCAAATTTAATCATTCTTATTTTTCAACTTGGTTTAGAAATAGGAAAAGGCTTGTACACGGTATTACGCTATGCGTTGTCCCAGGATAGCGCTTCTTGGGTTTATTTTATTCTTTCGGGTGGTTACACGCCCATTATTTGGCATATTCTCCGGAAGGAGAATTTAAAGATTCCAATCCTCCGAGAAACTCAACACGTGAATTAGTATCTATATAAGAGCTTCTTTTGGTTTTCTTCTTCTACAACATACAGAACCTTTAGATCCTTTTGTAACAAAAAGAAAAGCCATATATACGCACAAATTCGACCCTCAAAATGACGATTGAAAACTGGTCATCCAAGCGAACTCTCAAGGCACACGTTTCTCGAGCATGCGTAAAGTATCAAATTGTAATTCTCATTTTCTCCATTATCTAGTTCATTTTTATTTTATTTTTGTATTGGATAGTAAATTATTTTTTTTGGTTTATTCCTATGGTTGCTTATTGTATAAACCTGTGTTTGATAACGGTGAAATATATATATATACAAGATATCAGTGTGAAATTGACATGTTTATATCAAGGTCAACTGCAGAAAAGCGCATCTAGCCTGTGACAGTGAGTTTCGGAATAAAACCCAAATAGGCAGTATGTTATCTACATTCATATCTTATATATCCGCTTTATGCATACCTCAGACAAAAGACCCTGTCACAGATGCCAGTCAATAGGAAAAGAACAGAGCTGTATCGATGTGGATCATAAAAAGAGAGGAAGACCAAAGCTCAGGTCAAATACTAGTCGTAACTCAAGTGATCACACCCCAAATGAGATTGCATGGAAAAGTTCATCATTCAATATGACAGCATCCATGGCATCCAATTACCCCCAGAGTTCCACCACTTTAAAGCCAACAGTTATCACTGTAATTATAACCTAATGTTTATTATTAGGGCTACTATCTAATGACCTGTTTTCCAATATTTATATACAGATGTTTCTTTCTATGGAAGTATGTTGTGCTAGAGTATCAGATGAGGTGCAGAGTATTCTAGGTTATTATCCACAAGAGCTATCCCATAGATCTCTCTATGAATTCTTAGCCTCGAGTGATAGTACAAACACACTAGGACGTATGCATCGACTCTTGCTAGATAATGTAACAGCAGTTGCACAAAAAGTAGATCCTCGGTACCAGCCCAAGAATGTTTTACCAACCGAACGAACCACATCCGACGTATTCTTTAGTGTTAGTCCAGCAACTCTGTGTATAGTCACCAACGGATCCCAGACGTTTACAGGTACACTGGAGATGAAACGAACTGATGGAACTACAGAATCATTGCAAGTACAATTATATCTTGGAGGAGGGCTTGGTGCAGATCTATACACTCCATCAACATTATCAGGCCTGTACATTGTGTGTCTTCTGACAAGGTTCACCGAAACGAGCACCAACTCAACGGACTCGCCACAGCAGACCAGCTTTGGATTTGATCTAAATACAGACATCTCACCTCCACCCCTTACAACATGGCCTCGCCAAGAAGACACACACTCAATCCACGGTTCTGTGACTCCTCATACAACCACTGTACATACACCTCTTTGTTCGGAATACCGTTCTTATTTGGATAACCCTGATAGAGCAGCCAGTGAAAACACCGATGAAGGAATAGATGGTGACACACAAAAAGAAGAAGCACCTTCAGAGGTAAATATTCCTCTTATAGGTTATATTTCCTGATCTCAGAAAATTTATTTTTGGTAAAAATCAAATTTTGTTTGTTAATTCAATTGTGTGTATGTGTGTGTTATTCTAGCTTTCACAGGCTTCACAGTGGGTTGCAAAGCTACCTTATTTTAGCCCTAAACTTTCATCCAAACCTTCGCCTCCTAGCCATTCCTCATCTCCCAGGCGTATAGTATTAAATACATCTACAATTACGCTGCCAATAAGTCCTGCATCTTCATTTGGCCAGCCTAGGACTATAAGTGGCTTTCAACACCCTTTACTGTCAAATGCAGCTATACATGTTGCCCCTATCACAACAGCCCCGCGGACAACTAAGTTACATTATGAGCAGGGCGGACTCAATTTCTTTAAGCCGTTTATTGAACCTGTTCGCCTCACATTGGGGCACCCTAGTACAGCATCTACTCCCAGCACTGCTAATACAGTAGAAACACCGATTGCTGCAAATAATACGCGTACGGGACAGTTTATTTTACGAGGGTTAGAGTCAACTTCACATTCTCCCATCATGCTCTCCCACCCCTCTATTTTTCCCACCCTTCACAAATCATCTTTCTCTAATCTACCTGCACAAGTCAATGAAAATCGCCCAAGTAGTACAGCGAATAGTTTCATGAGTGTCGGTGCCCTTCTTTCATAACTTACTAGTCAATAATGACTATAATTATATATATATGTACACATTTTTTATAAAAAAAACATTACATAAAATAGTGAATTAATAATAAATTTCATGCTCAAATATGCAATATATGGATAAACATATATAAGCCTCGACTGGTACTCACAAAAAGTAATTCTTTAAAAGAAAAAATAACTCATTAAATATATTAAATTTAATTTAATATAATCTAATCTAAAAAGAAAATCTAAAGTTAAAATATTATGCACGCAAAGGTTAAAGGAACAATTTGTTAATATTCACTGTTTGCCAGCATGTATATCGTATAGTAAATACTTAATGCTATAATATCTTCTTAAAAATTGTTGACCAAATAGTCTACTTTGCTCAAAGTTGTTACCAAATCAGCAGCAAATTCCCGTACAGTTTTTAACACTATTGAATAATAATAATAATAATAATAATAATAATAATAATAATATATATATATATCTTTAATTGTATCAAAATTAAAGAAACTTCTTGGATAATATAATTGTGCGTATTATATTACTGACTATTGCATTCATGCCGTATATGAATAATGGAGTGATAAATCAATATAAAATATGATAATTAGATAATGTACTGATGCTTTCGGCTGTAGCTTGGGTTTTTCTATTGTTAAACTATAGCTGGTAATTAGATATTTGAGTAAAACCTTTGGACCCCATATTACTCAAGCAAATCAATAGTATATATATGATTCCGACTGTTGCCGGTTAATAATAATTTCTGCTCTGCACATCCACACACGAATAGATAAACATATCTTATCAGCTGCCACTTTAGAAAAAATAAGTCGTGCTTCCAATGGTATCTTAGATGATATTTTTGGAGATCCTACCGAAGGCATAGAAATACATAATGTTTACAGCGCAATAATACAGTAAGAGTAAAAAAAGAAAAACTAGTGAAAAATAAAGCGCAATATCTTGTCAGTGCGTACAGTGTTATATATTGCCTTTTGTCTCTTTGAGCTTACTGTCCTAGACTTTTGTTTAGTTAGGTCCGGGTTTCCCCATCGTTTGATGAAGTTTCTAATTATCAATTGAGACATATTCATGCTGCCTTCAATAATTAATAATTCATAGCTTATATTATAAATATTTATGTAGATTATACAAAGGCGTAGATATATTTGATACGATAACTGTGTATTTGAATATCTAACATATAAGAGGTGAAAGGAAGATCTATGGAACACAGAAACATATTTTAAAGGGCGCAGAGTCAAGACAAATTAAGTAAATTCTAAAAGCAGACATAGAAAAAAAAATAGGCCAAAAGGATGGAAGCCAAGCGATAAGTAAGGTGTGTTTAATCGAATCATCATGTGGCACGTAGGAATTACAAGACCTTTCTTAGACAATTCAGTCTCTCATCTCTGTTTTAGGGCCAACAATCGACCAAATGGATCAACCTCAACCAACAAGGACAATGGCTATGTGTTTGAACAACAGAATGATGTCAGGATGCACGAGCTAGGCTCAAAGCTCTCGGTCCTTAAGAATGTATGCAGATCATAATATAAGTAAACAAAGTAAAAGACTTGTAAAATAACCCGCAATTTTTTTTGAGAGTAGATTACACTTGAAATGCAACAAGATGTAGAGGATCAGGACCGTTTACTAAATGAGTCTGTAAGCAACACATTATATGCTTGTTAAGCTATCGGTTTTTTTTTTAAAAAAAATTACTCAAACTATGGCTCTCTCTTTCTCTCTCTCTTTAATTCAGCAAAACGCATTTGGAGGGCTCGGAGACAACCTTCAGAACTCTTTTGGAAGACTGAATCGCATGGTTTCTACACGCCACAAACGGCAGATGTGCTTTTATGTAGGCATTGCCTTAGCTGTGTTTACACTCTTTTATGTCGGGTCTTCTTTGGCTTCGTGGATGCCCTCAACACCGGCAGAAAATCCTGTAGACTCTGGAGAACAGGATATTTAAAGAAACAATTAGTAGTGATGGTTTTGAAGGGGATAATATACAATCGTCGAGGGCCTAACACGCATGCATTCCTGTAATGAAATGTATCTTTTTGTGACGTCTTTAGTAATGGTTTGCTGCTGCATATGGCTTGGGATAAATAAAGAGCTTTTAAATAGGAAGTCTAACAGTTCTAGTTTAATGAACTGTATTCCTTTTTTTTGTTAAAAAAAAGTACTTTTAAGTATGGCATATGAAAAATCAAAACGTCTTTCTGATATGTGAAAAATAAATTAACAATTTGTGCATTAATGAAACTAAAGTAGCATATTTTTGGACAGTGTAAACCAAATTTACGGCTATTGTAGTTATGCTTTTGGGATCTAATCGAGTTTAATTAGGATACTATTTGGTTATTTATAGAAGAGTATGTCAATAACTTTATTTAAAGAAAAAAGGAAAAGAAAAACCCTCAATTAGCTTGATAAAAACAATGAATTGTTCGTGTGTTTTAAGAAAATGTGCGCAAATATCGAGTGTTTATTAGAATAGTTGGCGGATCTTTGAAAAGACCATTTGAAGAATCAAATTTGCCCCCTGGAATACTGCTCCTTTAGCCTTTCCAAGCGCTGCTTCGATAGCTCTGAATTGCCAATAGATGAATATTCCTGCAATAAGCGGAAAGAAAAATGCCACAGTTGCACCCACAGTCTGTACAGTTTCAGCATGTTTTAGTTGATTTTGCACACTATGCATTGATTGAGTCCACGACTTGTGTCTAAGGTGAATAAAGACAGAACTAAGATAACATATCTTTTATATATAAACAGCTACCTATATTTTTACTAAAACTTACCCTTTATTTTCGATAACAGATTCGCAGTTATTTCCATCTTTTGTATTCTCTAATCCGACCTTTTCTGTTTCACTAGTTTCGACTGCAGTAGTTTCTTTTTTGGTCTCCTTATCAACCATGTCTACAGGAGAGTGCACAAAATTATTGGGCTCAGATTTTGATTGTCTTTTTTCATCTTTCGTTGTCGAGATCTTGGGGGGTTCTGTTATCTTGATAGCATCTTTCTTTGTGCGATGATTGGTTTCATTTGATTGTGTAGAAGTAGAAACAGTTGGGGTGACCTTGTCTACCTTGCTAAAAAAAAGAATTAATTGTTTCAGCTTTCGTGTCTGGTAAAAATGATGTATTATTACGTTGAAGAATTTACTAAAGTGTTTGCCATGATTGAGAACAAGATGAAGGTTAATAGCCGAGTACTATTCTATTCACTTTCTCAGTTTCTTATTTATACATTTTCTCTCTTATATATATTGTGAGCAACCTGGTTCTTTGTATTCGAATATGCTTCTGCTAAATAAACATACATATATATTGCCCCTGATTGGCATTATAGTCACAGTACAAGTCTACAAGTTTATTGTGTTTTTTCTATACAGAAGAAGGGTCTGGTATTATCATGAGAGCTATCATAGAATCACCACCCTACAAATTAATTACGATATCTGTCCATCAACAATACTTTCACATGCTACTGGCCCAGCACTGGTAAGTAATTCGTGTCCTTTGTAGGTTGCTATCCGAGATCCATTGGTCTTGAGATCTTGTGAAACTTGTTCAAACACGCGCTGTTTTGGCTTGAGAACAGGATCGGCGGTCCCCATGTTTACTTTAGAGAGGTACACACGCTCGCCCAACTGACTTGTGCTTGGGGGATGAAGTAACTCAACCTTGTCACCCTTACCAGCAGCTAACAACATTCCTTGTGATAATACGCCTCTAAATTTGCTTGGCTTCATGTTGTTTACTACAACCACGTATTTATTCTAAATAAATTGTTAGAAAAAGACAAATAGTTATATATGTACATATAATTAAGCTCTCACCAACAAAGATTCTTTCGGCATATATGGGGCCAGGCCGCTTACAATAGTTCGAGGGTTTGGCAGGGTCTCGGTTGGTTCCATGTTAAGATCCACTATTGATCCACACAAAAAGAGGTATATAAAATAAATACAGTATAAAAATAAATATAGTAATATGAGTTGCAACTTGCCTTGCTCAATGTAGAGATGTCCTGCTTCTCCATGGGATTCTACTTTAAGAATCTTTCCAACACGCAGATCAACACGATGGAACAGATCATCGTCTCCAATGGTAGCTTTAGTTTCTGTATCTACAGTATACTGTCTAAGGGAGACCTTGTTTTTAAAAACAACTGGTCCTGAAAATAACTCAAAGGAATGTCTCACTCGACTTAATAGCATGTTGGAATCTTAAATGGTAACTATCAAAAGCTGTCAGGGCCAACTCCATTTACTGGAACCATTGTGTGACGTAGCTTCCTGTTCTCCGGTACAATGCACAAGGGTATCAATGTAACCTGTAGTTAGTATAAAGATATTTACTTGTCGAACTTTTCTAGAGTGTTTTGGGCTTTCTAATCGTAGTAGTTGATACAAAATTTTTATATCTTTACGCTTAAAGGGGCATTTGGATTAATTGGTTTATTTAGAGTAACTTGATAAATACACATATAACCGTCAGTGATTTTAAGCTCTAAAGAAATGTAGTATTTGGATTAGAAGTCAATATGTTTCAGAATCTAAGATTATATAGAATTTCTTTTTGATTTGATTACGCTTTTCTCTTCTTTTTCACTTATATTTTTTGGTGTATTCATAGTGGCGTGGCTGAATCGTTGGTAATTATCTCAAAGCTTCAAAATATTACAATAAAAGAGATTGGCTCAGCTTTGAGATACAAGTTAAACAAATAAATGTATCAAAAACCAAAAAAGAAATTCCTTGTATGAATTTTGAAAATTGTACAAATCTATTAAATCAGTGTTCTTCTATCATCTTTACAGTATGGTTGTTTGGTGTGTCTATGGACAGTCTCTATCAGTATTTCTACAGTTTAACTATTAATGCATACATGGAATGTAGGCAAATGCACTGTTATAAAATTATCGTGCTTGAATTGCATGTTGTTGAGCATCAAAATAATATTATCCTATCTAAATGTGGGTTCCAATGTGACTATGATGGCAGTCATATTGTTTTATTGGACAGGCTATTGCAAAAAGAGGTACCAAAAGAGGCATGATCGGAAGTGCAAATAACTTTTTTTTTCCAAAACATAATGTCACTCTTAGATGTTGCTGGTGCTGACAAGGTAGTCGATTCCGTCAGGGCAGTCGAAAACATTGCAGAAAAAGAGAATACAGAATTCCAGGTTGAAGACAATGAAATAGATTCCAGACGACTTTCAACAGATTCAGAAAGAGAAATCGCGCGTTTGATGGAGTTGCAGCGCCTTGAACAACAAAAGTTCTACAGCTACAATTCGGATATTGACGGAATGGTTGTTGATGACCTTGACAGTGACTTTGGAGATGCACGCACAGTATCACGACCCGCGATTCCTGAGATGCGGTTCGAGCAGCAGTTTAACCAGAATATTGCAAAAATGGAGGCAGAGGGTGCGTCTTACACACGTATATTCCTGTCTGCTGTTATCAAGGATCAGCTTATTGTACCTTTTATGAGTGGGCTCACATGGAGTCTTGGATCTCACTTATGGTTGTGGTATCGTACTCCATCTCCGAGAGTTGCCCGTCGATCTTCTCCATTCTTGCTTGGTCTGCGACAATCGATTAAAACCTGGTGCTCGTAAGTTTAGATTGCATATTAGCCAACACACACACACATACACACATACACACACACACATATATATATATGCACATGAATACAAATACAAATAAAAATGCAAATGCGAACGTGAATATAAACAAACAAAGACAAACAAACAAAGGGCTTTATGAACAAGTAAATCTAATGTGTTCCATATTGATACGGTTTAGAAATGTCTACAATACCATGGTCCATTTTCCCGCACTCACACAAGTACCTCATACAGCCAATGAAAAATAGCACGATGTAGATAAGCAGCTGTAATAGCTATAGCTATAGTTTTGGCTATAATTATAATTATAGTTATAGTTATAGTTATAGTTATTTTTATTATTTTTATTATTTTTATTATTTTGAATTATGAATTTTATAAAAATAGTACTGGTAGTTCTATCTCTTGGTAATATTCTATTGCTGTTCGTGTTGGATCTTTAAGATATATTGTCTTTCTCTACCTGCTCTTCGTTCCATTACAATCTCGGCACGCATGTGATAGCTCTTCATGATATCAACCACTTCCAAGGGATGATTCTCGTTGATTAAAAGCAAATAGAACACACCGTTTGGCGACAGAAGTTTCTATAAAAAAATCCATTTTGCATGTGTGTCTATATTAGACTATGCACTAAACCAATACTGTACACACTCCGGTGTTTACCTCAACAAATGGAAGTAAGGCATCAATCACCTGTCTACCATCAATACCGCCTGCCCAGGCTGCTTCAATGCCATTACTACCAACTTCTTCTGGAGGTGTGACAGCATAAGGTGGATTGAATAACAAGACATCAACAGAGTGCGTCAGTCGTGGCAAAAGAGAGCCAACAAGAGATGTCTGGAGAGTTTCTACAAGGCTGACACCATTATGCTTTGCTGTTTGTTGAGTAGCCTTGCAAGCATATGGGTTGATGTCCGTAGTTAAATAAACTATTTATATATGCACATATACATATACATATACATATACATACACATACACACACATACATACATATATATATATATATATAAGAGTAATAATATAGATAAGCATACAAACAAACAGTGATGGATGAATCTGGTTCCTTACCTGCATTCTGTTTGCCAATAATCTTTGCCAACATTGCAGTTACGCATCCAGATCCAGATCTAATTTGATGATTAGTTCAAGCTAAACAATAAAATTAAATATACATGTTATAATTATTATTAGTCTTGTTGTTGTTACCCAATCTCTAAGCAAAGTCGAGAATTGTTAGATTGCAACCATGTCGCATCTTCTTCAAGGGCGTCTAACAATAAAAATGTGTCCTCTGTGGATATGCAATACGTCAGCTATTATTATTATTTGTATTATTATTTGCATTATTATTATTATTATTATTATCTTTATTGTATTTTGGGGGGTGCGGTTGGCTGTTTTATGACTCACCTGCAGGTTCATACAGCCTGTCAAAGTCCTTGGTGGTGAGGTGGGACAAATCTGGCGTTGGAATCATGGTTAAAAGGGCTAAAACACGAGAGCACAAAGATTAAGGGGAGGGGAAAGAATCGAGCGTCACGATCCAAGCAAGAAATGACTACAATTTTATTTATTTATTTATTTATTTTCTTGCTTTTAAGCCAATCGTCTGGCTGTAATAGTCTGCGCAGTTCTTGTAAACTAAACACGGCTCATGCATGGCTGAGATATGTTTTGTTGGCTTGTTTTTTTTTATATCTTTTTTGTTTATAAGTCTAAAAATATTAAATATATATATATATATATTTGATAGATCAAGTTCTCTATTTAGAAAAAATGGCGTCTATAAAAGCAAGCTATTTTTAATATTAAAAATAATAAAAAATCAAAAAAGTTATACCTCTTTCTTTCTCTTCATATCTCTTTAACATGGTCGATCTGCGTATTCAAGGCTACAAGGCTCTCTTGAGCCCAAGTTTCATTGCTGAGGAGTTTCCTCTGGTAAAACTTTATATTTTGATCTCTAACACTGGCCAGCATATTGAATCAGATCAAATTCTATAGTCTGAAAAATCAAAGGAGACTGTGGCACAAGCAAGAGAGGAAATATCAAGAATCCTTACAAAGGACGATGACCGTGTATTTGTTATCGTTGGGCCGTGTTCAATTCACGACACTCTTGCAGCAAAGGAATATGGTATGTAAAAAAAATAGCTCGTTATTCTGAGCCAACTAACTCTTACACGTGGATAAATATACGTTAGCCAAACTACTCTTGGAAGCTAAGGCCAAGCACCAAGACGATCTAGTTATTGTGATGCGTGCTTACTTTGAGAAGCCACGGACAACAGTTGGTTGGAAGGGTTTGATCAATGATCCTGATATTGATGAAAGGTAAAATACTTTGATTGTTTGCCAGTCCATAACTAATTATACTAATATTATTTTATACAAATAGCTTTGATATCAACAAAGGTCTTCGCATTGGGCGTGGTCTATTGAGTGAGCTGACCTCAATGGGAATGCCAGTTTCAGTCGAGCTTCTCGACACAATTTCACCTCAGTATCTTGCTGATCTTATCTCATGGGGTGCCATTGGTGCCCGCACAACAGAATCTCAGTTACATCGTGAACTCGCCTCAGGCAGTTCTTTCCCCATCGGCTTCAAAAATGGTACCGATGGAAACCTGACTATTGCCCTGGATGCCATACGCGCTGCTGCTGTCCCCCATCACTTTTTAGGTATCACTCGTGCAGGTGTGGTAGCAATTACCCACACTACCGGCAACACTGATGGTCACATCATTCTGCGGGGTGGAAACCATGGACCAAACTACAGTGCCGAATATGTTCAAGATGCCAAGCTACAGCTTAAGAAGGCTAAACTAGAGACGTCAATCATGGTCGATTGTTCTCATGGAAACTCTAGCAAAGACCACCGCAACCAGCCAAAGGTAGCCCAATGCCTTGCTGAGCAGATTGCAGCAGGAGAGGATGGTTTGGTAGGCGTGATGTTGGAGTCACATTTGAACGAAGGCAAGCAGAGTGTTCCTGCTGATGGCCCAGCTGCTCTTAAATATGGTGTTTCTATTACTGATGGTTGTATCGATTGGGAAAGTACTGTCAAGGTGCTCGATAATCTTGCTCAGGCTGTTAGAGCAAGACGTGCCTACAAAAAGACTGCACCAAACTAATATGTATCACATTTTGTTTCCCTTTTGTACGATAGCGCACTCTCCTTTTTCTTCTTCTTTATACAATAAAAAAAATGATCAATCAACACTCAATATAAAAGTTTCAATTTGTATTTGATCTTTTTCTTTTTTTTTTCTCTTTTTTTCTTTCTCTTTCTTGAATGTCTAGCAAAGTATATAAAATGCAAATAAAAAATTATGCGGCAGATGTAGCACTGGCAAGCGCAGGCTGGATGGTCTTGATCTTCTCAATAAGCACATTGATGGCCATACCAAATAGATCTTGAGCAGGAATAATACCCGAGGTTTCGATATTGACTAACAGAAGCCGATAAGTATTAGTGTTATGTAGTATGACTGACTATTACTTTTGTTTTTTTTAAGGAAAAAAAAGTTGCTTACAGATAAAGTGGTCTCGGACTCTTGTCAATCGTACTTTATTTTCAAACTCCTTGTGTCGAAGAACTTCTCTGCTCACTGTATCCTTGCGAGGGTTTACAACCTTGGCAACCATCTGACCGTTCTTCTTCACAACATCTACAACACCCGGAGCAAAGCACTTTTGGAACTTGTACGCGTCATCACCTGTAATGGGTTCCAAGATTGTGATTTCTGGCAAAAGGCGGTAAGATGCTGTGGCAACGGGTGACCATTTTGCGTGAGTCTTGCCCTGGCCCTTGTGACAGTGCAATTCCATATCAATTTCTTGTCCAGGTCGAAGCTTTGCAAGCAAAATGTCATCATGTACAGGACGAATGGGCTGATCGCCGAACTTCTCTTCTTGGTCACCCTTGGGTTCCCATACCAAGTCCTTTGAGTATACTGTACTCATCAAGTAAGCAAGCAAACAAACAAACAAACAAAGTATAAATGACCTTTCTTTCACCCTTCTCAACAACACTAAAATAATTCTACTTTATCCAACCCACCGTTTGAGTTTTTGTACAGCTTCAATGGGTCAGTTTCACCAGCTGCGGCATTAGGGTTACGTTCGCATTTAACCTTGAGTTTGAATACGATTGTGTTCAAGTCGGTGGGTCCATCCTCCTCTACAAAAAACGTATAATTATGTCAGTTTACTTTTTTAGGTTGGATATAGAAATATTGATTATTTGTAGACCAAACATACCGGCCTTAAATTCGAATGCTGATGGGTCAGCGAGAATGGGTACCAGACCCAAACGATGTGCCAATACTTCATCTTGAATAATGGATGTGTTGTTCATGACATAAACCTTTTCAATAGCCATTGTAGGAACCTTAATAAACAAAACAAAAACAAAAATTATGGTTATTACAAAAAAAGTAGAAGATACTACCAAAACAACAATAATATTTGACAGTATACTTACTTCTGCAATCAAAATTCTGCGGAAAGCATTGGCGATAGAAGCGTCAACACCCTTGAGGTCAAATTCGATACTGTGGTCTGACAAACGATTGATCTTGATGCTGAAGTTCTGTAGACAAAATGTCAGGATTATGATGATCTACAATCGTCTGAATCAAGCTCACTTGCCTTTTTGAAGGACTCGAGATCCCATGCGTTGCTGATTCCAGGATACTGATGAGGGTAATCATTGCCACTAGCCTATTTTATAGATTGTGTGTGAACAACCTAATGGCTTGTTTCTCTCTGAATAATTCTACATACACTGAACACACGATCGCGCTCAATAAAAACACGTGTACGCAAGAGTTCGACGTTGTCGGGAAGTTGTGCGTCAGACATAGTGGTCGTTAAGCGGTAGAAGAAATATATATATATATAAAAAAGAGAAAAGACGTATGTACAAAAGCGGTAGTAAAGGTCTACTAACGAAATAAAATAAAAAATATTTGAGACGTTGAAATTGAAGAGTCACAACCTTCTCTCAAAGGAAAGAAGCCTTTTGGAAAGGCAAGACAAGGAATAGGATACAAGAACAAGAACAAGAATATAAGCTTTTGTATAAGTGGTTGATAAATACAAATAAATGAAAAAAGTAAAATATATTATAAATGAGACAATTAAAACAAGTTCACACAAATTTATATTTATGCGTGTACATGTATATATTTAAAGTAATAATATGAGAATATGGTGTGTCTGGCACTTTATTATTTGGCTTTCTTGTCTTGCTTATTTTTACTCTTGACCATAACCAGTCCGAGGAATGTGAAGATGACAGTGAGGCCAACGATGAGAATGATAAGAGGAATACGAATCGCATACTCCCAAGGCAAGAAGTAATTGCGCAATGGGTGGCCTTCATCTACAAATGGCTGTTTATTGTTAAAAATCAGTACATAATATATAGACATACTTACCATCAATAAAGACCAAATTGTATAATAAGTAAAGATTGCAACTGAGGCAAAAAACGCGACGGCACCAACTGCCTTGTCAGTACCTGTACCCTGTTATTAAAAGTATAAAACAATTAAAGCTATAGTCCAATAGAACAACATAGATGCAGATGACAAGGGTGTGCGCATCGTTTTTTGTCACTATGTGAAAGGAGGTCAGAATGTCATCTTACCATGATTGATGAAAGGTTAGAAAGTGATCTACAGGACAAGAAGTTCACCCAATGCAATCATGCTATCTTGGGCCTTAGCTATTCGCACCACAAAGACTGTGACGTAGTACAATTGTTCTTGGATTATCCAAGAGAGAGAGAGAAACGAAGAGAAAAACATCCTTTATTATAATAAAAGGAGAAGTTTAAAACATTAGTAAAGTCAACTGAATGTATAGAGCTATATTAAGGTTTTTTTTTTTTAAAAAAAAAGGATGTAAATCTGTTTTAGCCAAGTTCTGGGTGAAGAATCAATAAAGGTAAAATAGCCAACATTATTGAATATAAGCGGTGCGTGAATAGGCTTGTGAGATTCAGGAACCAATTGTACCCATAAACTGTAGGCCGCGGTAGACTTACAAAGTAACTAACATATCAAGTACTCTTCCTTTTACGAACAAATGAGCTAAATAATTTTACTTTTACCTTGTAACAAACAACAATCAAAATATAACCTTAATTATTATTATGGCTGCCACCGATCGACAAAACTTGAGTATAACCAGAAATTCAACATAATAAGAAAAATCAGGCAGCTACAATTGTTGAAAATTAAAACCTGAATCGTTATATTCAGGACTAATATTCATACTTCTTCTTTTTTTTTAGTTCAAATAAATGCTTGCAGTGAATTGCAAGGTCTAGATTTTGATATGATAAATGCAATATATTGATTACCATTACTCATTTATTTAATGTAAGCAGAACATAGCCGCGCTTTTATTGAGTTTTAACTTTTGTTTTTTGGTTACAAATTTTCAATAGGAACAAGTTTACTATGTTTTGTTTTTCAATTATATATATATAAAACCTAGGAGCTTTAGTATCCAAGTATCCATCAAAAGTATTGGTAGTGGTTACTAGGCTTATAATCAATCAATAAGATACAGTGGTAATATAAAGAAGCTAGAAAACCTCTTTTAGATATTTTGAATTTAAAAATCCCAACTTTTACTTACAGAAGAAATAAATGCCTTTTTCTGCTCCGGTAACATGTACAATAGTTTTCTCGGAAATTTATGATGTACAATGAAAATGGGTCTCTCTTTTAAGACAGAAAATACATGTTTTCTTGTATAAGCTACACATGTTATATAGTACCAAGGTATATATGAATGTCGTTTCATAAAAAGTATAATCAACAAGCATTCTTTTTGTGTACTACTATAAAACGAAATAAAATGAATGCTTTTTTTTTTAAAAAAAATTATATTTTTATTTGTTTTTTGTTTTTAATATCAGAGTACTGTGAAGCCATCACCTTCCTTATTAAAATAATTTGTGCGTTTATATAGTCTGTGCGCAATATTATTATTATTAATAATAATAAAAGCTTCTTAGTTACTGTTTTTCAAAGAACCATCTGGGTATATAAGGTATAAATAAACTGTTTTTTTTCTATACTATTTGGGTTTGGCTAATGGAATTCCACATTGAGAACAATTTCCACCCTCTATTTTTACATATGAGTCGCAACTTGTACATAATCCTCGGTTGATAACAGTATTTATGTCTGGTTGAGGTGTCCAGCCTGTACGGGCAACCCATGCCGGAGTAGGAGCATGCATAGGTACATACTGAGGAGAACTCTCATCCTTGACAGGTGTATCATAGCCAGAGTCTACTGCTTTGATGTTATTATTACCGGAGGCCTGGGTTTGTTTTTGTATATAACCACACTCGGTACATTTCCAAGGAAGCTCTGAACTTCTCCAGAAAACACAACAAAGGAAAGAAGTATGCGGTGGCTGTGTACTGTCGATTTGGTGGTAGCATTGAGGACACATTGAAGGCCGGATATTGGTTTCTATTGTCGGTGAAGGAGGAAGAGATTCGACATAATGAGCTAGTAAGAAAGTTTAAAATAAATAAATTAATTTTGACATTTTAGAAAACATAAAAATATATATGTAATTAAGTGTGAATAACTAGTTTACCATTAGAAGGCATTTAGAGTGAGAAAACAATAGTTTTTTTTTATTGAAGAGGAAGAGAAAGAGAAAGATAAAGAGAAGGGTACAAAATAATAATAAAAATACATTGGCCATAAAAATGTGCTCAAGAAAAATTTCTAATCCGTCAAGAGAAGCCACAATGGCAATGTGTAACCTCTTACAATAAAACTCTCCCAAACAAGCTAAAGATAATATAGACATAGTCAATGCGTTTGTGGATAAATAGTATTGAATTTGATTTATATTGGATATTTCCTTAAGCAGGCGCAAATTCAATCTTTAAGCGCAATTCTCCACTCCCGGTAGGGTAGAGCGGTAGCCAGATGTCGACAGGCGCAATTTGGCCATCTTCCACGTGTAATAAGTCCCAAATATTCCACCTACATTGGCCAAGATCTATAGAATGCTTTAACTTATTGTGGTCTTTAACTTTAAAGTCAAAGACGGTAGGTTGATTGGATACGGAAGCAGAAAAAGTCTCATGCCTAAAACAAGCCATGGGTTGTCAACATAATGCGATACATTGGATAATGATCTCTTACCATTCAGGAGTTAATGTCTTTTTAATTACTTTGGTCTTATAAGTAGGGCTTCTTCCCACTACCACCCGTACAAATGGATCGCTCGTTCCACCCCGATCGACTCCACGTAGACCTCTGGCTTCCACAATCTGAACAGTCACCTCTCCATTCACACCTTGTGATTCGCTTCCACCAGAACTGTCTGCAAAAGAACTTATAATAGAGTTCGTGTCAATACTAAATCGGGGATTTGTTCCAACTGACTCATTGTCTGAATTAGTGCCAGCATATCCTGAACGGTTACTTGCGCTGATGCTACTATCAGCCAATATTTCGGTGTATGTCGATTGAGCTGGAGCAACCACATTATTAGGCGGCTCTGGAACAGCTTCGGGTATCTCGCTTGTGTACATTCGATTGTCTCCCAGAACAGAGGTTTGTGTCTTTTTGTTAATCAATAGCTTAGGCTGCCACATAAAACGAACACGCACACTGCCGGATACGCCAGCAACACCATCCAAAGGAATCACTGCATCTCGCGATTCAAAACTTTCTACCATATCACCTCTGATAGTGATGCCACCAGATCCGATAGGGTCGTGTCCCTTAATCTGGTTCCAGTCAAACACTTCAATTCTTAAACTAGCTGTTACGCGCGATTGAATAGCAACCGTGAAGACTTCGTTTTTCCAGACAGGATTCAAAGTCTTTTTGATAACAGCACTTCGGTGAACACGTTCTCCGTTAACAGTAAAGACAACATATGGATCACTAGTACCAGACTTATCCGCAGCCATCAAATCTGTGGCACTCACAAGTGTTACAGTGAGGTTGCCTTGATCTAAAATAGTCAATATTGTATCAGCATATGTGCACTCATCTTGATACCAAGCATCTCATAAAATACATACTCTCCAAGCTCTCGTCCGGGTTCAGAGTAAAATTCGACAAAGGAATATAGTCAAAACTCAATCTAATACGCCCAGGAGAATTTGTTCCCATCAATGGATACCAATCACCCTTGAAGCTAGTCTCAGGGTCTTGCTGTTGGCGACGTCGCTGCTGCTGAATCCTTCGGACGATCTTGCTAGCAGAATCAACCCAGTAACCAATCTTGACATCATCTTTTTCATCTGAAGATGCTGGTTTGATTTCAATAGCCACTCGAGAAAAGTCTGTTTCCTTTATAAACGCATCGCCAGTTTCTTCAAACTTGATATCTTTGCCTCTCATTTTGGAAGTTTTGTATTGGGGGCTCAGAGAATCTACCACAAGACGACAATATGCTGCTGCTACATGTGGAAGAGACACCTCGTGTATCTTGACCTTGATTATACCAGAACGATATGATATCAAGTCAACTAAATCATCGGGCGTGTACTTTATATAAGAACCATGCAAGTCTTTCAGAGGTGGCTCTTGATGTGAGCTCACTAGTTCTCCTTCTTCCGGTGTAGGTACTTGTGGGATAGAAAGTGCAGGTAAGAACTCGGCTGTATAGCGTAATTCACCCTTTGTGGAACGTCTATCAGTAGAACGAAGCTGTGCCCACCTAATTATAAAAAAAAATCTGTAAGATAAGCTGCACTAGGAATACCTTTTTTTTAAAAGTTTACTTACTGATCAATCTTCTTTCCGGTAGATTCACACCACCTGTCTGGGTTCTCTGCCTGATCACCGATGCATTGGCGAACAAGATTACTCATATGGATTTCAGTTACGCCAAGGGACTTATCCTTCGTTCTTTGGTTCCAGTCCATGACTTCAAGCAACAAGTCTTCTTTGGGGGAGTGAATTGGAATATAGTGAATTTCACCCCACTCAGGATAAAGATTGTTGTCAATAACCTCGGTGGATGCACGGATCTGGTTACCCGATAAAACACGCACATAGGGATCAGACTTTCCGTTTGTTACTGCTTCTACGTTGCGTAAATCTCTGGCTTCCCATAAAGCGAGTCGAACTACACCAATAGGTGGATCTATATATATATATATATATAAGACAAATTAACGATCGTTTTTTTCTATATTAAATACACTTTTGCATTTATACATACTGTCAAATCCGTGACCACCTAAGCCTTCAGAAATACCAGACATTATCACTGGCTTCCATTGAGCGCTCATGCGAATAGTACCCACATCCTTTCCGTCGCGAGTTAAAGTAAGACGATAGTCGTTCTCTTCTTGTGTTCTCATCAAGTCATTCAAGTAAGAGGTGCACACACCCAATACATCTTTGTTATTGGCACTATTTTTGACTTCCACGCGAATAAAAACTTCAGACTTGTCCAAAATAACCATCTCTTGGGATACTTCATAACTAGGGTTGTTGTTGCGTTTCACCACTGGCGTTTTGAGTTTTTCGGTTCCACTAATAATCAAGCGCACATAAGGACTGATTTTGTCTCCTTCAAGATCACTACACTCGTGAACAGTCAAACGTAATACACCAGAATCTAAGGGCAGAAGATTAATAGCTTGTAAGATATAGGTATGTGTATGTATATTTTCTTACTGGACTCCACAGCAGGCTCGATGGTTCCATCGATATTCTTTATTGGCTTTGAAATAGGCAAGTAGTGCAGATCGACTCTCAAATCACTGATAGACTTTCCATCTCGTAAGAGTACGACATTTCTGTCAATATTTATGTTATGGGGTTAACCATTTGTTGATGTTTATGTCACACAACGCCCGTTGACTTACACTCCTTCTTGATCATATTTGTTTTCAGCATCCAATTCGCGAAGATCATAAATTCCGGTTGCTAATCGTCTGTCTTTGGAACCGGGGTTGTGGTCTCTTAATTCCAAGCAGAGCTGAGAAGTGAGATTGTTTAGTAGCAAAAAGTGGGTTTCATTCCATTGAGGTTCCAATGTTTTTTCCTTGGGACTTGTACGTCCAAGTTCCTGGGCATGATCAATATAGAAGCGAATAAAAGGGTTCGCTGGTTCACAGATCAGATCCTCACAATTACTAATAGGTGAAGCAGAATAGACAGTAATTGCCAGAACACCGTTTGCTTGACCTATTTAGGGTTAGATTGATTGCCATGGGGGTGTGTGTTTTTTTTTTAAAAAAAAAAGCATACTTACTCATATCTAGATCACCGGCCATGAATTTATCCACTTCAACCGTAAACACATTAGGAGCATAGAGAAGTGGGCCCAAAATAGCATGAATCTGGTCGGCAATAAAGCCTTGGAGACCGGGGATCTGGTTAATTTAGGAAACTCTGTAAATATATCTGTACATGTATAAGGTATGACACTAAGTATGACACTAACAATGTTGACATCAAACCCGAAAGAGTCGCCACCCAGAGGCTTGCAAACATAATCAAATTCAGGCTTCTCAAGAAAACATGCATCAATTGTCTTGATATAAGGGAACTTGCTCATAAATCGAATGTTAACGCGCATATGGCCAGTAAAGCTCATATCCTCAACAAGAATCGGAAATCCAGCGCCAAGAGACCCTTTTCCGACACGTGCAGTCATGACTACTCGCGGATTGACTCGAGAATCGAGCTCTTTTGCCGACAAGTCCGTGAGATCATTGGGCATAAAAGACACGCGCCAGTCCATACACTGAAAAGAAAGAAAAAAGTGTATTAAATAAAATAAACAGGTTGGTAATATGTTTCTTTTTTTTTAAAAAAAAAGGCTTACGACAGTATCAGGTTCAGTATTTGGATAAGTTTTGACGCTGTCGATCAGAAAAGGCTTGGTTCCCAAAGTGAATGTTGTAAGTCTAACTGAGTCCAGGAAACTGGGAAGATAATCGGTAATGTATGTGTCCAAATTCTCCACAACAAGGGCACTGAGAACAGGCTCGAAAATCAACCAGAATTTTTGGACAAAGCTGTTCATCCACTCCACAGTCTCTTCGTCAGCCTCAACCTTTACTTTAGCAACTTCCCGTTGAATATCGTCCCTCGCATTTCGCCTAAAGCGACGTATGCTCAGCTGATAGTATGTACCTTGTGGACAAAAGCAAGTTTAATTAACACTGATACTAGAAAAATTATGTAATTATTTACCCAAGAAAAGACATCCGAGAAAAACAGGTCCTAGGCCACCACCAACTTTTCCAATTATCCAGGCCATCAATGCAGTGATTACAAGAGCAGAGACATTATGCCACCATTCTCCGTAGTACATATTTGGGATGGCTTCATCCAGTATATGGAACTTGGGTTGTGTTGCCTTGATATTCAATGAACCACCTGGATTGTTCTCAGTTGAGAAAGCTGTCCAGCCTGTTCTATACCACGGAGGAATTCGTGAAGCTGGGAGAGGGCAGTGAGGGAAAGTTCCCACCATAGTTGGGGATATGTCTTCTCGATCAGTAGAAGTGATCCCCTCTGTAGAAATTTCAAGTTTCTTTCTAAGACGGGATGGCATTACAGGCTTCTTTTCTGCTTCTGTGATGACTCTTTTGATTTCATTAGCATCGTGGGTTGCGAGTTCGGTTTTTAAACCATCGCTTTTTGCGAATGCATGCAAGTCTGGGACAATGTCTGCTGGAATGAGTTTTTTAGCTGAAGTATGCGGTTGACTAGTAGTGTCAACAGCGTGAATAGGCGCTGCGGAAGAGTCAAACGTATCGTTATCAGCTGCAGATATATCAATTTTATCGGCCATTGTGCTGATAATCAGTGGCCGTTTATATTATTTGTATCGTTTAAAGGAGAGTTGTAAGGAGATAAATAAAGGAAAAACGGCAAGGGACTTTAGAACCGAAGACCAAGAAGACTCGAATGACCTAGAGTCACGTAAAAACTATCAGCCTCCGCAATTGAACGTACAGCATTTTAATTTGAAAATTAAGACAGCTTGATTTTTTTTAAACCATTTTTTTTAATATCAAAATCATCTCAATTCAAATTCTTTGTTAATATAACAATTCAAATATGCCTCAGCACGTCATACCTATCTCTTTTCATCACTAATATCAATTTCTCTAGCTCTATCGCCAAGATTTGTTTCATTGACACTATCATCGTGTGTTAAAAGAGGTTTCTCTGCGGGGTTGTATGAAATGAAGATCAAATATCTTCTTTTAATTAAACACAAAACAGCTCTTCTTTTTTTCATTTGTCTCAAAAAAATATGTTGCTTGTCTGAATTTGTAGTAGTTTCGTCTAAAACAAAGGCAGAATCATGTGATTGTTTTCAATTATCCTAAATTACTAGTTAAACATGGCTCTATTAATAATAATAGAAAGTTTATATATTAGTTTCAAGTTCAAGCAATGGTGTTCTTCAGTAAACTAGGTTATTTATCACGTTAAATACAAGTGAAATCATTGTTGGACACAGTTTTTTGTTTGCACAACATCAAATTGAAAACCAGCGGATTTTACATTTTAAATTTACTGTACTACTTGAAAGAATAAAGGCCGCAAATGATATAAGATAATAAAATTCAGGGTCATTGAGTATATGGTACAAACGATCAGATCAGACAAGCTGCCTGCGCTTTATGACATTTATTAACTGCTCAAAAACAAAACTGGGATAAGGGAAAGCAAGAACAATCAAAAGAAAACGACATTAGAGATTTAGGCAGAGTGAAGAGTCTCGAGGAACTTGGTGGCGACGTGCTTGGTGCGCTTGGTCTTCTTGGGGGGCTGGGCCTTGGAGACCTTGCCAGACTTGCGCTTCAAGTCAGCGACGATCTCAGCACGACGGAGGACCTGAGCGTAGGGGTTGAGGCGGTTCATGACACCCTGGTTGCGGAGAGGGTTCTTCTTCTGGGTGAAGGGACGCTTCTCGTGCTTGTTACCAGCGGGGCGGACAACAGACTGGATTTCGTCAGAGTTAATAAGACGAGAAACATCAGGGTTGGTCATGATATGAGCGGGAAGAACATAATCCTTCTTCAAGGTGGCGGGGGTCTCGTAGGTACCGTAGAGGGCATCCAAAAGACCGAAGGCGCTCTTGGTCCAGATGACGAAACGTCCGAGATGACCACCAGGGGCCAACTGCAACAGGTTCAAGCGACGGACGTTGACAACCTCAACACCGGGCAAGTTGCGGAAAGCCTTGACGATACCGTTGTCTTCGTTGTAGATGACAAGGGGACCGCGACGCTGGCGGTGACGGCGGTTACGGAGCTTTCCGACACCGGCACGGAGCTTGCGAGAGTTGGAGACCTTGACGACATCAGCGTAGGCGTTGACAGCCTTCAAGAGTGCGACGGCATCCTTGGTCTTTGTGAGAGTCTCGACCTTGTCGGACAAAACAAGAGGAACTTCCTCAATCTTCTCAACACGGTGACCGCGAGCCATGACCAACGAAGGAAGAGCAGAGGCGGCCAAAGCAGAGGCAGTGGCGAAACGCTTCTGGTTCAAGTTGGTCTTAATGTGCCACTTGCGCCAGGTCTTAGTAGGAGCGAACATACGACCACCACGGCACATGTTACCGAAAGCAGCCTAATCAATTCAAATAGATCAAGCAGATCATATAGAACCAACAGATTGAGCTGATTAGATACTGTATAACAAAGCCTATTTTCGAATCAATATGCATACCTGACCAGCACGGTGAGTACCGGAACCGTTGACACGGGGAATACGGGCAACAGCACGACCAGTACCCCAGGACTCAGCAGATGTCTGGTGGCCAGCCTTCTCAGACACAGCGTAGGGCTGACGCTTGTTCTTGGCCATGTTGGTGTGGACAAAGTTCACAATGTCAGGGCGGATGGGAGCCTTGAAGACAGCGGGGAGGGGGAGAGTGCCATCAGTGGAGTTGCCTGATTCGGCGTAGACGTTAATAACGGGTCTGGCAGCTGCGGACTAATGGTTAAAAAAAGCAGTTAAATATCATGGTAAATTCATCCATCCATTCGTAGGGTCGGTAGATGGTAGGTATTCCGTCGAGCAATCTATTACCATGGTTGAAAAGATAGAGGATAGATGAAGAAGCAATAATAGTGGCAATCGTAAACAACTTTCAAGAAGTGTGTGCGGAGTTTGAAATGTCCGGTATCGCAACCATCAAGAAGCATCTTCGAGTCACATCCAAAGTAATATATTGAGAACGATCAATCTTCAAGGACTCCTCCCTTTATATCCATTTGTCCAGCATAACATACAATGGTAAGCCATATCAATGGATGGATGGGTATTCAGTTTAACTAATACGATTTATTTTAGGGTCGCGTTAGGTAACATTCGACTACGACAATGATCAAATGCTAGATTACATGCTGATCGATGATTATATAGAACCAAGACTGTCAAGAAGGCCTCCCGTGTGTTGATCGAGAAGTACTACCCCCGTCTTACTCTCGACTTCCAGACCAACAAGAAGATCGCCGATGAGGTTGCTATCATTAGCTCCAAGCGTCTCCGCAACAAGATCGCTGGTTTCACCACCCACTTGATGAAGCGTATCTCCCGTGGTCCCGTCCGTGGCATCTCCTTCAAGATGCAGGAAGAGGAGCGTGAGCGCAGAGATCAGTACGTTCCCGAGTTCTCCGCTTTGGATACCTCTGCCATCGAGATTGATCCCGAGACCCAGGTACGAATTTTTTATATTCTTTATAAATATTTTCTTGCTTAGGATATCTATACTGACAATAATCTCTCTTTTACAGGAACTCCTCAAGTCCCTCAACTTCGAGAACCTCGCTGGTGTCCAGGTCACCAACCCTATTGCCAACGACTTTAAGCCCCGTCGTCGTGGTGACCGTGCTCCCCGTGAGAAGACCGTTGAGGCCTCTGCCTAAACTTCTTCTTTCTTGGTTGCGCTTATAAAAATCATTTCTAATAAATAATTTTGGAAAGCACCACTGCTTGAAGGCTGGTTTTTATGAGGAAGGAATTGAATTAGGATGACAAACATTGCATTAGTCTTGGGAAATTTAATGCTGAATATTAGTAAAACAAGCATTATTTTAACGCTTAAGACTCCAACTTGAAAATTGTGTATTGGTCTACGGAACTGTGAATACTATTAACTAAAAAACAGGAGATCCTCTGCATTGAAAAGTAATATTGTCTTGATCTGTTTGTACTTTTAATCAAACATTTTGTTATTGCTTATTGAGCGAATATCCTGTATGATCTATGGTTTGTAAGAGAGTAGGCATTTTTTCTGTCGGAGAAGGAACACTAAGCCAACCTTTGTCAGTGGGATTAACTGGACAAGCTGTGAGTATGTTGAGTCAGCATGTGAAAAATATTCCCCCGCAATAAATCGTATCCCAGCTTTCACTTTGCGCACTCTTTCTTCACATAATCGATACTTACCATGGCTGGAGATACTCCTGAAAACAAAGACACCCCTCTTGATACTTCTGCACTTTCAAGTCTTCTTCCAACTCAACCACCTACTTCTGAAACCACCCCAACAAATACAGTAGCAACAGCTGCACCTATTGCACCTACTGTACCTACTACACCTAATACACATGTAGTATCCCCACCGCCTACAACGCCCACAATGCCCACAACAGCAGTAACACCTTCTGCCTCTCCTGTACAATCCTCTTCACCTTCAGAACCACCTCGAGAAGATCTCATCAAGTCAGCAGTCTCTTTTCTTTCTTCACCTAATGTAAAGACTGCCGACAATGACAAGAAGATTGCCTTTTTAAAAAAAAAAAACTTGACTCAATCAGAGATCGATGAGGCGTTTCGACGTGCGGGAGACTCTGGCTCAACCACTATTTCAGTGTCACCAAGAAAGGTATAACTAACATGTAATAAGACAGTTTCTAACTTCATAGCTTATCTAACTTTTCTTTTTATCGTCAAGTCCACACCTCCCACTTCTTCAAACATGTCTTCTGCACCATTGATCCCTGTTCGTCCTTCTACCTATCAGCAACAACCACAAGTTGTCTATTATCCTCAGCCTCTTCCTCCTACTGTTCCTACTGAAAAGGTCATGGCCATAGCAGTTGTTTTTGGGCTGATAGCCGTAGGTGCTACTGCAGGTGTTGTTGGAATTGTAAAGGTATATTATGTCATGTGATTGTAATATAGATATGGTTTTAACACTCTGATTTCGACAGCACTTTGTCCAACCAATTTTCAACGCAATTGCAGCTTACCAGCAGAAGCGATGTAACCAGAGAAAGGAAATCCTGGCTAAGATCAACAAAAAACTTAAGGATGTAAAAGAAGCAAATGAGGAAGAAGAAGAAGATCCATTAGATGCTTTGGATGATGATAAGCAGCGTTCAATCAAGGTGTTTGTTAATGAGCATAAGCATCTATCCGAAGGCCTGGAACAACTTGTAAGCCAGGCACGTCTCTTGGTTAAGAGCACAAAGCAAACACCTTATGGCGACTTCCGCTCATCGATGAATAGCTTCCGTTCTGTACTGAATGATACACAAGACAACTATAGCCCATCTTATGCATCATATGGAAATCCTTATAGTGCCAAACGCAATAGTGAGTCCCCGGGTATTCAGGCCCTAAAAAGTGAGATTCGTAGTCTGAAAGGAGCACTGTTAAACAGGCGAAACTTTCCAATGGTGACTGGTCAACAATAAAGCGCACCCACTTGTTTTTTTTTATCATTTTTACACACCCAAGGCTCACAAATAGAGAGCTCATTACTTTGGACTTTAATATATGGTTCTAATCAAAGACACATTTTCTATTTACAATTTTGAATATTCAAACTATCCATGTAAAAGTAATAAAGGTATTCCCCGTTTTTCTGAAAGGATTAATTCGCCTTATTGGGTGCTCGCCACCACCCGTAAATTTATCGGCATCGAAAATTTAAGCAGTGTTTTTGGTTCCCAACATGTCGATGTCGGAAAATAACCGGAATTCTAAAAGGGAACAAAAGCCCAAAAGGGAAAGGGGTGCCGAAAATTTTCAGGCTGCAAAACATACCCATGGAAAATTTCTGGGATCGCAAAAAGAAAATCTAAACTACCAGCACTCCTTTTTTGGATTTAATTTTTTTTAATTCTGAGATGAAAAATAAAATTGAAGTATAAAACGAATTAAATAAACCAAGTAATATTTAATTACCTTACCAATTCTTCACAAAAAACATCTTTTACTTAAATATATAATAATGAGACAAGAGCACATCCCTGGATATTTTGTATTGGATTTTGACAACACTTCCTCCTCCTCCTCCAGCAACAACACCAACAGTAATGAAACAACCGATTTCGCTTCTACCAGCGTTATCGCCCTACCAACAGACGATACAACAACTGTTGACTCTTTTTCTAACAGTGAAAATTTGACAAGTGAGGATCCACCACACTCCCTTACCTCTCTTGAGCTTTTCCGTCATGATGATGATCTAACAACAGCTTCTGTAGATGCTGATTTGGAGGAGTCTACCGTTACCTCTGCAAATAATGGTGTAGACAGTATCAGTGACCATGGTGGCCGTGATGGTCGTGGTGTTGACCAAGACAGCGCAGTTACTCCAAGTCAAGCGTCCAATCGAGTGAACCTTTCTTAGGACCATCAGACCATTGTCATCTTTCTGAATGACATTATTAAGCCTAACTACATGAGCTTGATTAACATGCCTAATACGCAATTAAGAGGCGAAAGGTGGGACCAGATGACGGTCACTTTCAAGAGACTTATGAATGAAAATGGCCTTAACGTGGGTGTTCCAAACGACATAATAACACCAAAAAAGTTGCAATACAAGTGGGGTGATCTGAAGAAGAACTTCCATTCGATTCAGCGAGTCCTTAATGGAACAAGAGTTGGAGGAGGTATGGGTGAAGAGAGATGGCCATACTACAACCATTTATTCGAAATCCTGCGTGATGATCCATCCGTAAATCTTGGTGTCAACGTTGAATCTATGGTTCGTGATCGGCGCCATGGAATTACGACTTCTATGACACCTAGGGCTGAACCTGCTATAGCTGAATCGCAGAGAAACATCGAGGTTGCTGCTTCTTCTTCTGTTGAATCTTCTATTATCAGTACTTCTGACACGAATATTGGAACAGTTACATTAAACAGCACCAATTGTGCCGGTCCTTCTAGTAGGCTACCTACCAGGGGTACAAGACGAACAAGAGAAGAATATGAGGAAGAATATGAGGAGGAAATAGATGCCACGCTCTTTGAAAGGCTTCTGGGCATGCACCATGAGAATGAAGAGCGTTCAAGGGAAGCCTTACAATCTCTTGTTACTTCGATGAGGGAGGAGAATGAAGCTTTTCGACGAGACCAACGGCAACAGCACCAACAGATGTTGGAAATGTTAGAAAGGACTTTGAGAGAATCTGATGACCGGTGGTTAAGCGTCATTGCGCCTTTCTTTAACGCTAGAAATAGAAACGGTGAAAATAATAATAATCATAATAATAATAACTAGTTGACCTTTTTTCTTTTTTATACAAAATAATAAATTAAAGATATAAAGAAAACAAACTTTGTGTATCTTTTGTTTGTTGCTTTTTTTTATTGGTCGTTTCGAGAGATATTTCTTCTGCGCCCTCTTCTGGAGATTTCCTTTAGCTAGTTGCCCTGTCTTAGCTGGTGCATTTGCTGCCTTTGCTGCTCTCGAAGGACAGCTTGGATCCGTCTGGTCTGGGTGTTTGTCAATGGTTTCATGACCTCCGTCATTCTCTCTCTTCTCTGTCTACCACGTTCTTGTGAAAGATCGTGTGCAGATTTGGAGCTGTCTCACAGAACGATTCACAGTTCGAGAAGCATTCTTCAAATCCACAGGTATCTCGATCAAAAATGGATCAAGATCCTCAACTGCTATCTCCACGACATTATCATCATCTCCGTCTGCATATGCCCCAAAACTACGCACTTGGCTCTCAAAAGTACGAAGAGTGTCTTCCGGCATGCTTCTTGCATTGTCACCGTTGTCCAAGCAAAAGTTGTGAAGAGCACAGCAAGGACAATCACAGAAGAGTTGTTGTGGCAATCCACATAGAAGTTTCCGTGTAAAGAGGGCTTTTGAATGGAAATAAGCTTTCCGTCTATTGCCCCAATGACATCAGGTAGACGAACACCGCGTCTTTCAGGTTGCTCAAATCCAGCCGCCTTTCTTCTTGTTGTTTCGCTGTCATATACTCCCCAGTTCACGAGCTTATCGAAATAGTCTGACATGGCAGTAATGAACCGCATTGTGAATCGTGTATATGATCCAGCACTGATATCAAGAAACTGTTCAGCAAGACGGTATTCAAAATTCGTATTTGCAAAGCGCCAAAGAACTGTTGCAAATTGAAGTTCAATAGGGTAGCTATGGTCATTCAAAGTCGCCTCGTACACCTGATGTTGGCTAACAATTTTAAGCAGCAACTCAAAGTTTGCGCGGCTCATTCAGTATCGTGACCGGAGGCTGTTTTTCCAAGATCGTTGGTCAAAGATGGGTGTCGAACATATCATCATTGTCTATACACGCCATATCTAACATGGTTGACTTCTCTGGGCCTGCGTTCCAAAGTGAACGAGTGCAGTCTGCAAGTGTAGAACATGTAGAAGTAATCACGACTAACTAATTGCGAACTTTCAAGCATGATGTTTTTTGTCCATTGAAGAAGCTGCTGTTCGGACCGTTCTACTTGTTGTTGCAGGATCAAGTGTTGTTTACTCATTTAATTCAAGATTATCTCAACATTGGTCAAGTAAGCATTTCTGCGAAAATGAAGAACTAAAGCCAAAATTCGAAGAAGCTTGGTGGAAGAATCAGTGTTGCTGTTGTTGCTGTTGTTGTTTTTACTGTTGTTAATTTTGAAAATGTTAACTGAGGGTGTATTTAAGAAAAGGTAACAAAAAAGGAAAAAGACAAATTATTTTAGCACATCTTTTTACTTTTCCAAAACGAGACAAGAATAAAGGCACGTGATGTCCCTTTTTAGATGCCCGCGACAATGGTAATCACTGTAGAAAAAAATCTACGAGTATTTGAAACAAGCTGCCTTATTTTGGAAAGAAATGGCAGATTTTTGAACACCATCTAGCACTTACCAAGTTTAGAATATCTCTATACTATTTTGGCTCTAGAGAAATATTTTGAAGATGAAAGTCTCGTCGTCAACCCAGGAAACCATCTTGATTTCCGAATAGAGAGAACTACTTGCTTGATTAAAGAAAAATCAACTAGAGGGTCAAACAAGCCCTATGAACTTTGTATCTTGGATCTGAGCTTATACCAGAAACAGTCGTACCTACTGATATTTTTTTTTAATGCGAACTTGTTTTTTATTTCGTAAAGTCTTTTTCTTTCTATTTCTTCTCACTATTACTATTGTTGACAAGTCTTTGAGGCTTTACAAAGTACTAACCAATAACTTATAGCTTTTGGGCGATAACAATATTAAGCAAGAGATCTATAACAAGACCCTATAACACAAAACCTTTTATCAAAGCCTTACAAGATAAGCACACATACACATATTTTATAGATAGAATTATATATAGCTATAGCTCTTGTAATGTTAAACGAAACTCCCTTTTTTATTTCTGGCCAAAGCGATATCTAGTAGCTTATAAAGACCTTGATCTTACAATTTAAATTAGACTTTTACTATATTTTATTTAATTTAAAATTATTATAGTCTTCTTCTTTACATACTTATTTTATCATTCGTCTACTATTTTTTAGTACCCTTTGTTAGAGGCAATGCTATAGATATGAGAAGGTTAAAGAAGAGCCTTATTTTATTACTTTTACTATTAATAAAGTCAAAAAATAAAAATATTTTGCTATAAAACATTAAGTTTGTTGGACCAATTATAAGAAAATTTAAAGTACCTAAAAAGGTATAGATCTACCATATTTGGAGCAATTGATTGGATTAGATGCAAAAACAATCTGAAATCCCACAAATCGCATTTGCTGGAGAATCTACGAGCGCGTATATTCGATACGAGCGCGTAGAAAAGCTACGAGTACGGAGTTATAAATGCTGCCATTTACCACAGTGAATTTTTCGATAGAGGTGTTATCTCACAGAAAATTCGGGGCTGCTTAAATATAAAAAGTTGATGTCTAACATCGGAATAAATATCGTAATTTAATTTTTTTACAGTTTCTGCGAGAAAGAAAAATCAAAAGCAGTGCATTTCTTTTGTAATACCAATATAAAGACAACTTACACCAAAAAAATGCTTTTAATTAACCCTGACCTGATCTAGTGTCTTATTACTGGTGATAAAATATCGCAGGAAACTAAAGCCAAGAGTAGAAGCCGCAAACGCTTAAATCTTGAAGACCTTTCTAACGCTGAGTGCAAGAAAGAATTCCGTTTTACTCTTTCAGAGGTAGTTTGTTCTTTACAAGTATATATCTCAATGTGAGCATATAAAACCCTTGGTATATAAGTGTTTAAAATATAACTGTCAGCTTCTAATAGTCTCACATTAAATACATATCCTTCGTCTTATTGCCTACTATGTAACTAGGTACAACTTTTATACTAGTACAATTTTTTTACTTCACTGTAAATAAGACCCAACTATATGATTATGTTATAGTCATTTCTGTACTATTGATCTTTAGTCTCAATATCATGTTCTGTATAGTTTACGTCTTACAACAACATCCTGCTTAAATAAAGATTCTTGGCATCATTTGTTTTAAAAAAAAGATAAGTGACAGAAAATTCATTCAAGTTTTCTGTGATTTGGGCACTTTTCTCACAGAAATTCTGTGAGTGGCTACCATTTTAGTAAAAAGTGAAACAAATATTTGGAAATCAAAGTGCCGAAAAGTGGCCAACTCATGGAAAATTGAAATTTCTGTGAGATAACACCTCTATTTTACCAAAACAGCCATCTAAAAGACCACCTAGAATACCATCAAATAGTCCACTTTTTTCTCACAGTATGCATATATATACTGGGAATACCTTACTCTTTTACTTATAAGCATTAACAAAATTAATTGCCATAACGTTATTATATTCTAAATTCAAGCTACGGTATTACGATGTGATAGTTAAAGAGAGATTGGAATATCCGCACAATGAAAGCAAGAAATAATTAGAGATTTTTTTTGTAAGATTTCAAAAGGTTTGGGTATTAATAAACAGGAGAAAAGGGCTCAACTTTCTAAGATGGATAATATACTACTCTTGTCGCGTATATTATTATTTTGTTTCTCTTTGTCCACTTAAAACTATCGTATTCCATTTTTTTATATAACTTTCTCCAAAGTCATCTTCTCTTTCTTTCACAACAATATTATTTTCATGGTCGCGTTTTCTTTCTCTTTAAATTACAATCTTTTGTTTCACAAACCATCTTTTATTTTATTTTTATTCTCAAACTTACAACACCTTTCTTCCAAACAACCTGCCACCATATTTACTTTTCCCTCTAATATTATTAGCAAATTCATTATCTTTTTTTAAAAGATATAAATAGCTAAGCGATTCCTACCAGATAAAAAATATTCTCTACTCTACTATCTATTATTGTCCGAAATCTTATATAACTTTTTTATTTTATTATTATTATTCCTGAAGAGCTATATTATTTGTCGTAGTTATTAAATATTAGTGAATAAAGGCATTTTACTAGAAATAAAGATATATATATGTATATTCTGGATAATACATTATACAGCAATATCAATATTTGTTGCATAATAAATTATGGCTCATATAGCTATATAATACTACCTTTAGTTTCGGGCCAGCCGTACCAGCTTTATTTTTATCACTTTGATATGCTCATTATCTTCGAGTGAGGAATGTTCAATATCCCTTTATTTTCTCTTGTAATAGTAATAATAATATACCTTTATGTTAAATCTCTGAAAACTCGTGGAAAAGTATGTCTTCTTCTTCTTTAAAGGTATAAAGCGCGTTATTTTTTTGGCTTGGTTTCTGTATATTCGCGAGTTTCCGTATATAGCAATTCATCTTTGTCAAGTTCTATCAAGATATATTTCTTGAAAAACAAGTATTTGATAATATTAAGAAAAAATTTATTAGAATCGTGTCAAGAAATAGTTATAGAATATTCTCTAGACATTTGTTGACATGCAAGACTATAGAGCTTTAAAGATAGTACTATGAGCTTAGAGATTGCTCTAATAGTACAAAACCCCTGTGAATGTTTAGATATAATGTATCTTTATACACAATAAAAAGGTTGTGTTGAAAAGTTAAATAAAGCTTACAAGTATTGATAGAATGAAAGAGGGAGAAAGAGAAAGAGAAAGAGAAAAATTATTAGATTCTAAGACATGATATTGGTAAAATATTAAACCGGTCAGGTTCAGTCAACCAGTGAGAAGAATATAGTTTTGAGTATATATATGTATATATGACTTTGTTACTAAAATAAAATCCAATATTTTATAAATAATTTCGCGTGTCCTGTAGATGTAAAGAATACTATATGAAAAAATAAAATATGAGTATATGAGCATATAGTTATGATATTATAAGAATAATAGCTCGCGTATTTAGTTTTACTGAATAGTGTTAAAATCAAAACACAAGATCTTGCCAGACAAAATTATAAAGCTCTTATTATTATTTACATCAATCTCACATCAAAAATGTATTTTTGATATATATATATCCTGATAAAAAGTCTATAAAATATGAGGCAGAATAGAACATACAATAAATTAAAAGCAACTAATTTCAAGCTGCTAGTTGATTCTCTTGTATACACCTCTTTCTTTCGAAGTCGTAAGAGTATAACATTCATTTGACTGATAAAAAACGTATACTTTGAACTTTAGCACCGCGTTTTTTTATATTATACATGTATTTAACTTTGAAGTAAGTAATATTTGAATATTTTCTTAGATTTTTTTTCTGAAACGGTAAAAGCAATGGCCCGCAATAAAACTCCAGTATATTATTTATCTTGATAACTTTAACAAGTTGGAAGTTGTTTTTTAACAAGATATACTAATCAGGTAATTATGCCAAGTTAAGATCAGACTTTATAATGTATATACAGGCTAGCTTTAAAAATATAAAATTCTATTGAATAAGTCCAAGATACGATTACTGAATATGGCTTACTGTCGCTAAGAATACATTTTTAAAAAGACGCTCAAGTGGACATAAATGGACGCCTGTGTAGTGAATACAAAGTATCGTAGGTCAACTTAAAAAATGAGGCTCTAATTAAGCCCGACATTTAAACGCCAGTTTTTTTTTTTTTAGTTTTTTTTAAGGAAAACAAAGAAGGAGTGAATGTAATTAAAGCAATATAAGATATATGTGAATATATATAAATATAAAGAAAAGGCAAAGATATATATATATAATACATCAAAATTTACTTTCTTGTTAAAAGGAAACAATAAAGAAATGAGTTGAGAATTGCACACCAAAACATATATTAGATATTGCTTTATCCAGAGACAGAGACAGAGAAGGATAATTTGGAATCTATAATACAGACGACAACTGAATATTAATCTTAATTAATACAACGCGTTGCTCGTGTAGCGATTTATATTTAGTTTTTTTTTATATAATTTACACTACCTTTTCTTTATCTCATTAAAGTTAAAATCAAGGTAGCTACACATTTAACTCCTTTGATTCTGGTAATACACAGATTAATCTGATTATGATGACAATTCAAGAAAAACTGGAAAATAATTCTCACGCTTTTGTGTGAATATAGCATGCGGTAATCCTTACAGTAAAGCGAATGGCTTTGTTTGTTTGAGATAAAAAAAACTACGAGAAACACTTGATAAACATAGCTTAAGTGGGTCCATTTCTGGACAAGCTACACAAATGAGATTGATATCATATAAACTAAACTCAAAATATTTATTTTATATTACAGGAATTGGCTGACTATTTACCCCAAAACTGTTCAATCCTTAGTTTTTCTACACATCTTGTTTCATAAATTACAAAGTAATAATAAATATAAAGGTATTATTGGAGTTATAGACGGTTTCTTAAAAGTAAAGTTATTGTACGCCAAATAGTCTGAAGATTTTAGCCAATAAAAAAAATAACCCCGGTATTATACTTTATATATATTTACTGAAAGTGATAATGATAGTAACAGTCCATAGAGAATGATATAATATCTTCAAAAAATTGTAAATTTTATTTGCTATGAGTCTAAATGCGTGTATATCGAGAATATGATTTGAATTGAGTAATAGATCAATACACATATTAACATTTAAGAAGGCATAGTAACTTGTCATTTTTTTTTGTTAATATCTTTTTTTCTAATTTTGAAAGACTTAACATGGTTTATATTATTGATCGATTACTCGTTTAATTTGCTTTATATATTCTGTATTAAAAAGAGACTCCAAAAACACGTTGGAAACTTTTATTGATTCATGCAATAAATCAAGGTATCAAGAATCCTGTCTTTTTGATGTCTTGAATGAAGAATACTAGAGAATCTAATAACTTTCTAAGCTAGTTAAAGTTGCTTCCGAGTACTTTCTCACAGAATTCACAACAGGATAACTTTTAGGTGTACCTTTTTTTTATTAACTACAACGGTTAACCCGTAGAAGACTTGAATCTTGGCACGTTTAATTTTTCTTCTTCTTTTTCTAAGCAATAACTGTCCTTCTACTCTATAAACAGCATGTATTGTCACACTTACTGATTTTTTTCGCTTTAATTTCTAACAAAGAATAACGTAATGAATAATTCAAATAGTATTGCTTCCATTAGGTTTTACATACAACCACACATAATATTTTTAAGAGAAGTTTTTTTTAGTAATATTGATTTCATATACATATGAGTATATAATAATAACAAAGCATAGCAACAAATACCCTTCTTTTTCGCGTTTTGTATACTTTATTACAATACTAGGATTGAAAAAAAAAAGAATGGTCTTAACCTCGGCTACTTTGAATAATTTAGTTTCTTGCTCTCCTTAATACTTGTACCACTTTCCTATTAACGCTATTTTTTTTTTAAAAAAAAGTTGTCAGACAAGTGAAAAGTAATTAGAAGAAAAAAAGGAATATTTTTTGCAAGATACTTGGGTACAACGATATTCTAGATAATCTAGACATTTCGTTAGTATTTTTATTCTATATTATATTATTTCCCTCTGCAAGCGATATATTTATTGAATGTCTAAAAATAATAAAAAGAAACAAAAATGTACATCCTTTGTACCATCCAAGATTATCGGTAACAATCATATGTATCTAGGTCTTTACGCTTCTCTTTCGTGTTTCTCACGGGCATCCGCCGTATGAGTATTACCCGAGAACAAAATATTATTATTTTGGAGTTTTAAACAATAGTGTATTGAATTCTCAAAATAACTAAATTTCCTTAAAGACGTAGAAGTTTTTTTTTCTTAATATATATATTTACTTTATCGATGCTTAATTATATTATTAAACAAATTCAGTGTTGATATTTAATATCAGAAAATATGATGGTGTACCTGGGCTATTTATGATGACAGAAATACCATTGGCATTTATCCTCAAAGGTACTCTGGCTAAATTGTTTTATTGAATGTCAATAATAATAATAATAATAATAATAATGATAATAATAATAGTCAGAGCCAGGATAACGGAAATATCTCATCCAGAATCTCTAGATTTTTGGCTTTAATGTACTATATAAAGTCATTAGTTACAAAAGTTTTTCTTTACGGATTGCCTCGGGATTATGTATATATTAGACTATCTAGAGAGCAAGAAAGAAAAACGAGTAGATTTGGCTCACAGCTTAATTGTAAGAAAACACATACATTTGCAACACAAAACATATTGGTTATGTAAATCAATAAAAACAATACGTTGATTAAAGAAGAAGAAGAAACTCTTTTTTATTTATTTTAGAAGATGTCTGGATATTATAGATATAATAAAGCTTAGCTGTAGTGCTCTGGGTATTTGAATTGTTCCACTGAAGAAAACTCTAGTTGATATCAAAAAACTATACGTCTCAAATCCAAGCTCCCGGATATAAACCACTGAAGTATATTCTAGATAAAAACAGCTAACAACTTTCAATACACACATTCAAGTTTTTCTGTTAGAGTTATTCACCTTTAACGAACACAGATGGTTTAGACGGCTCTTTAACACAAATATCTAATTTAACGGGAATACTTCTTGAAAGATGTACAATACTTTCTTTTTTTTTATACAAAATAAGATGCATACTAAAACAAAACACAAAAGACTGTACATAGTCTGCATAACTAGATATGTTAGTAGTTTATTTACAAATACACTGAGTTCAGAGAGATACAAGTACACATCAAAAGATAATTTAGTCCATAACATCAAGTAAATACAGAATGATTGAAAATTCTTTGTTTTCTACAATATTCACAACATTGTCTGTGTATATAGACATTTTGCCCCAGCTCTTATTAACTTTGATACCCCATTTTTCTTGGGTGAATTAGCTTCAAGGATCTTTTTTTCTTTAAAGATAATAATAATAGTAATACTATATTCTATAAAAGCTGAGATTACTTCAAAGTTTCTTTTTCAGAAAGCATTGCTAAAATTAAAGTTTGACTTGAGATATTAGCATACCATACTTGAACTATTTGTATATTTCTGGTAAAATTCAAGTTTAGGATACGATATATTGTATCATATAAGTCACATATAGCTTGTACAATATGTACAAGGTTAATAAGAAGAATAAGAGCAACAAAACAAAACAAATCAAAACAAAAGCTGAACATCGGCTAAGCAGGGCTAAGCAGGGCTAAGCAAGGTTATGCAAGGCTAAGTAATGCTGAACACTACCTAGGCATTGCATACTTTTTTTTAAATAAAATAATAATAATAATATGTGACATTCTATATAGTCGGCTGAGTTTGTAGTGTACAATATCTATAGAGACTATCCTTATCATAGAAATTGACTTCCATATAAAGTAAGATATATAGAAATAGCAAAGTGAAACTTAGCCTAAGTAAAGTGGAGAGCAATAAATTACTTCTTGTTCTATTTTTTGAAAGCTTGGCTTAGAAGGAAAGAAGACCATTTAAAAAAATCCAACTCAATTCTAAGGAGGACAGCCAGATATCGATTTGTAAGTTCCTATTAAGCTGGCTTTCACAGATGATTGTGATACTATAGATGTTTCTACAAGACACATTATCATTGTAAGGTTAAAAGGATATCCATTACCGCTAAAAACAAACCATACACTACATGACATTACATTATACTACGCTATCAAACTTCCAAAATGTTACTCAACAAACATTGATTGTATCTATTTTCGGTGATCTTATTTTTTTTTTCACTCTCCTTTACATGTGTACATGTCTATGTTTTTGTTGGACATTAAAAGCTTCTTTTGATTTAACTCTTATCAAAACTATAGGCTGTGTAAATAGATATACATACAGACATGCATACACAGGCTGTAAAGTTCTCTTTAGCTATGGGCGAGAGGATGTGTACGGATGTTAGGTGCATATATGTAGAGAAAGAGAAAATAAACCAATGAAAATCCCTTTAAGCGTAAATTTATTTCTACTTCTTTTGTACAATAGATTAATTGTATTAGGCGTTAATTTTATTTTATTTATTTTGACCTTGAGCGGGGATCGCCAGCTTGGCCTACTCAATTATTTTTGGTTCCTTGAGAGCCGATCATGGATGTCGGAATTTCCAGCTGATTGTTGGTGTAGCACAACGCTCATCTGCCCGCGGTGATTAACCCCTCATTTATGAGCATATATATATATTTATGTATTTGTAGTATTAATGTTACCAGTAATTGGATATCGAATTATAAAATAGGGCCGGAACAATGTTTCGTAAAACATAAGTTTCTTTACTTTAAAAAACAACAACAAATTTATATGCGTATATGCTACCAAATCAATCCTCACAGGCTAGCCATGAATGTATCCTAACCCTACTTTTCTTTATTTCTTTATTTTTTCTAAATATTGATGCCTATGTCTTCTAAGCCAAATTAACCATTTTTCTACTAGTCTAGTTCTGTATCTTTTATATATATATATATTTGTAATCGATACAAAGGAATAAATTAAAGCATGATATACAGATAAAGTGATAAAGTGATAGCAAGAACATTTTCTTAGGTAAAGAGCATATTCAGGTATTTTATTAAAACAGGTATATATATATATAAAATAATCTTAAATTTTTCCATGGCAAGTAATTGGTTTGATAATCATTCATAATTCATCAGATAAAAAGCGAATTTGGCAGTATTTCGATAGAATTAGAGAATAATTATAGTTATAGTTATATAATTTATATAATTTAACACTAAGAGAATACGTGGAAACAAGAAAATAAAAGAAACCGAGGTACCAACCCACACTCGATTTCCTTCCTTTGTTTATGCGTCTGTGTGTGTGTAACAAATGAAAAGTAAAAAAAAAAAAAAAAAAAAAAAAAAAAGGTCTTGCGTACAAGGCAAATGTCAATAGTGCCAGGTGCCCTTTGATAATTCCGTACCACAATTTTTGCTCTTTTTTATTATTATTATATATCCCAGATTCCAGAAGTCCATTTGATCCGGATTGTTATTATTATTATTATTTTGTTTCAAACAAATATATATTTATATATGTCTGTCTATGTGTGTGTGTGTGTATGAGTGTGTGCCTATATTTCTGTCAAGAATATAAAATAAAACAAAAATAGATATAGATAGTCTATTATCCTTATAGTATAATATAATGTATATATAAATATATAAATATCAAGACAGAGCCATACTTATAAATAACCAACAGCTCCGTAATGTGCCCGCTTATTGAGAGTTGTTCATAAACTACAAGTCTTAATAGTAAATGCATTCAGTAGCTGTCTCTATAGAAATACATTGGGCTAAAATAATCGAAAATGCTAGATGAATATTCTTTGATTCCAATTCAAGGCAACAAAAACACTCTCTTGGCGATCCTTTTTTTCTTTCATTCTATAATTTTTTTCCCTTGTGCAGTACCACATAATTCACTCATTTCTTTTAAATCTCCACTACAAAACACAATAAATCGCGTGAAAGCAGATACAATTAGATTTATGTGTGTGTACTCCCAAAAAAATGAAAGATTCTATGGAAGGGCGATCTTCAATTGAGAAAGATACATTTTCTTTTGGGTATTTAGTAAGCGTACTCAACCTTCCTTTTGATCTATGCCCTTTAGGGTACGTCAAAGGCCATACCTTTGTTGTGCCGTGAATTTTTTTTTAAAAAAAAGTCATTTGCGGTTGTTGACAAGCAGTTTCTTTAAAGAAAAGGGCTTATTAGAGACACTACTTTGGATTTATTTTAAGCAAAAGGACAGTGAGTATCTTCTCTCCCGACGTTTATTGACCGCAGCGGATATTTAATTATTATTGCAAAACGAGGGCCACTTATTCTTAAAGATGTCTTTACAGGTGATAATTGTTCCACACAGTGCAGCCAACTTTTAGTCTCTCTGGTTCTGGTTTTTATTTATTTATTTATTTATTTATTTTAATATGTGTATTGTCAACAGTATATTATGCCCTGTGATGTTTTATGAATATTCTGTAACAGCAGTAAAAGATCATTCGATAGGGTCCTTATTTGTGACTAGGAAAGGTTAATTTGGTTGCTATGGCAACGGTTTTTTTCTGTGCTATATAAAATAAGAAAGAAAAAAAAAAAAGAACTACAATCGCATTAGATCAAGCTTCCACGTACTGAATCACAACTGGGAAACGAGACACCACACATGAGCACAGTTGTACGGCTGTACAGCAACTGAAAATCCAAAGGAAAAATAAATAAATAAGTAATAATAATAATAATAATTCAAATTACTAGGCATTCTTTGGTTGTATTAACTTAAACTGGCTAATGAGCCATCACACAAAATTTCAATAAAGGTCCCAGATCATTTTACTTCAGTTGTACACAATTCGTTCTGGTGATTTGGAAAATATAAAAAAGTAACAAAAAGGGAAAACGATTGGCGGTAGCACAACCTCGTTCTTTTTTGCTTCCTTGTACCCTGAACCGAAAACTTCGCAACAAAATAAATAATTAAATAAATAATTAAATAATAAGAAAGAGAGAGAGAGAAAGAAAAAGAAAAAAGACCGCCAAATGGTTAAGATAGATCAGCTTACCTAGAAACTTCAGTAACAACCTAGCAAAGGCAGGTTCATTTATTATTATTATTATTATTATATATATATATATATATATATTTGACTTTGCAATAATAAGAATAATAAGAATAATAATAAAATATATAGAATAAGCCCAAAAAAAGTAAAATTACAACGAGTGTGGTTTGGGACTCCTTCTGGCCTAGACCGTAAATATTCTGCAGAAACTGCTTTCTTTTTTATCAATCTTAACTGTAAGCAAGAGTAGTAATAGTAATATGTAAAATAAACATACACATAGATAGACAAATAAAATAAAAAGCATGCTGGAAATTATTAGTAAGTATTCATTTATTTTACGCATATAAAATAAAAATAAAAATAAAATATTGGCTCAAAAAAAGCCGAAATACATCAGAGTACATAAGCTCTAGATTAGGTCATCCCAAAAATAACTTTTTTTTTTTTTTTTTTTTTTTTTGCTTTTGTTACCTAGACAACTTAATCTCCATTTCAAAATAATAAAATAAAATAAAATAAAAAATAAAAGGAAAATCCTATAATTGTGTATAAATACCTTCTTCATCTTGCCTCACCGACTTTTTCTTCCCTTTTTCTCTACCTTTCCTCATCCTTCTCCTCTCCCTTCCCTTCCCCAACACCACCAGCTCTTTTTTCTCTACTTTCCTTATAAAACACTCTCTACTATCATGGTCTGGAAGATCCAAATTGCAGCACTCTCAGTTGCAGCCTATGCATTCGCCGGTGCCAATGCTGCTGCCGTCACCAACTACACCAGCACCACCGATCCTACCAAGATCACCATTCCCGATATTACCCAAACAACCTCCCACGACCCTGCTGCCGAGTGTAGCTGGTACACCTCTCCTTACACGATCAATGCTGCCGAGTGGCCTACTTCTTGGACCATTGCCACCAGTAACGGCATGAACACATCCAAGGAGTTCACTGCCCTCTACAACTCCATTGACTGGACTAAAGCTCCCAACATTCCTGTCAGAACCCGCACTGCTGCCGGTGGTCTTGACATGAGTACTTACGATACCGCCAATGATCCCGATTGTTGGTGGTCTGCTACCCAGTGTGTCAAGCCCAAGACTGCTGATATCAACGCCGATATCTACAACTGCCCTCAGCCTAGCACTTGGGGTTTGGTAAGCTTTCTTTCTTTAGAAATTTGTAATTCTCGGCAAACTTTATTTATTGATCTATTGTTTTTTCTTTTAGACCTTTGATGACGGACCCAACTGCTCTCACAACGCATTCTACGATTTCCTCGAGGAGAAGAAGCAAAAGGCCTCCATGTTCTACATTGGTTCCAATGTTCTTAACTGGCCCTACGGTGCTCTTCGTGGTGTTAAGGATGGTCACCATCTCTGTGGCCACACCTGGTCCCACACCATGATGACTACCCTGACCAACCAGGAAATTCTCGCTGAACTTTACTACACCACCAAGGCCATCAAGTACGTTACTGGTGTCACTCCTTTGTACTGGCGTCCCGTAAGTACAACATTTACTTTTTTTTTAAAAAAAAAAAAACAAGCAAGCAAGAAGATTGAATATCATTTTTATTAATTTATTCTAATTATTTGAATTATTAGGCTCAAGGTGATTTGGATGATCGTGTCCGCTGGATTGCCACCCAAATTAACTTGACCGCCATTCTCTGGGGATTGGATACTGATGACTGGGCTGCCAATGTCACTCCTGGTATTACCGAGCAAACTGTCGAAGATAACTACGCCAAATTTATTGCCCAGGGTTCTGATGGAACTTTCGCCAACAGCGGAAACATCGTCCTTACTCACGAAATCAACAACATGACCATGGACTTCTTCATTGAACACTACCCCGCCATCCAGGCCAACTACAAGAACATTCTCGATGTCGCCACCTGCCAGAGCATCCAGTACCCCTATGTTGAGAAGTCTGTTTCCTTCACTCCCTTTGGTGGTGCCTCCGCCTCCGCATCTGGCTCTGCCTCTGGCTCTGCCAAGGTTTCTGGTGCCACCAAGCCTTCGGGAACTGCTTCCTCCGCCGCTCAGTCCAGCGGTCAGGCAGCAAGCGCTGGTAGCTCCACCTTTAACTCTATCAATGGTTCTCTTTTCATTGCTGCTCTCTTTGGTCTCTTGGTCATGGTTTAAGAAACAAAACAAAACAAAACCTTACCCAACCAAAAGAAAGAAAAAAAAGTAATTTAAAAAGAAAATCCATTTATTCAATTTGCCTAGAGATTTAGTTTTTCTTAGGCAGAGCTTTTTTTTATTTATTTATTTATTTATTTATTTATTTTTCCTTCTTTTATACATAAATAAAAAAAAAAGAGATTGGTGTATTTTTATTGAAGACCCAAATGTAATAAAGAAATCATGTTTGTATGTATAGTTTCATTTTTTTTTAAAAAAAAAAAAAGTCTTATAAGTAATAGCTCATCGAATCATTTGTAAATAACTAATAGTCATAGTCATAGTAATCCTAAGCCCTTGACTTGATTGAACTCATAACCTTTTATTTTTTATTTTTTGTGCCTTTAATCGAATCGAATCGAATCGAATACCAAGCCAAGCCAAGCCAAAATATATGTAAAAAAAAAAAAAAGCTTGATAATATTTGAGTTTCATGAGCCTTCAAAGCAACAACAAAAACAAATCAAAGAAGTATAGATTATTATATTATCACATACATGTTACCAGGATATTATTTGATCCTGTTAATAAAATATGTGTATATTTAGACCCTTGAGACGGCGCTTTTATTGAAATTTATTAATATTTTATAACCTTTCAAAAAGCGAACCTTTTTCTAGGCTCATATACTGCTTGCTCTAAAAAAAGATTAGTAAAAATAGAAAAGGCTCACGGGGAAAGAATATAGGTTGTTACATAGGAGTTCTTTATTGATATAGACATTAAACAATATGAGTGTTTCACGATGTATGTTTGGGTGTGCGAGTGTTGTGGGGGAGTGGATAGGAGATATGGCGTGAAATTTATTAGTTTTTGGCTGCATAATGCGAAAAAAAATAATAAAAAAAAAACAGTCGTAACTATATTGTACTGGTTTTTGTTGCTGTTAAGAGATTGAAAACGATAATACTTGATAAAAGAAAGAAAAAATAGATGTAGCTTTGGGGAGAGGGAGACGCAATGGACTCAATAGGAATCATTTTAGACATCGTCTTTTTCTATACCTTGAATAATTCATGTGAAGTCTATGCCAGCAAGAAATAGATTGTACGCGTATAAATCAGTCTATGATATTGAGTGGGTATTATATTTTGTGTATTACAAATAGCAGATTTTATTTATTTCTATAGAGATCCAGAGCTTATTACTGTTATTATTAGATTGCTTTTGTATCACAAAATAGATTATTAAAATATCAATCAATCGTAAATAAATAAAAAGTATGTATTCTTATGGCTGTATCCAAAAAAAAAGTTTAGTCTATTGAACATAGCAACAGATTAGTCTTTACTACTCTAAAATAAAAAATAAAAAAAGAATCTCAGTTCCATTTTTTTTGTATGGCATTAAATGGTAGTTACTGAACCTATAGTCAGTACTTCTAATCTACTTTTTTTTTGTTTCTGTCTTTTTCGTTTCAATTGGGTTTAAGCTTCGGTTATGGCTCTGACTCTGACTCTGACTTTTTTTTTTCTGTTTTGAGTTTGAGTTTAATGTCCCTTTAGGAAAAGCCATAAACTATGACATCGTAAATACAAAGTAAAAATAACAAAAAAGCATAATATGCTTTACAACAAAGGTCTATCAGATCGGATCATACTTTATCCTAAGAAGAAAACCAAAAAAAAAAATTAAAAGAGGGGGTGATAAGTCTTGGCTTAAGTAACAGGAGTAACATACAAAATGACAAGAGTTACGATCTAACTGTTTACCGAGAAATCGGGATAGCTGAAAATATCAAACGCGTAACATTCAATGGCATGATCTCGTGGTGTGTAGCTATCGAATATTGTAATGTGAATAATTAAAGTAGTTAATAGATTGATCTAACTGAGTCGCGAAACTAGCACGTTAATTGTATTTCAATCATTCATCTTGTTTCTTTTTTCTCTCTATACAGCAGAAACCAAAAGGACTCTCCAAAGATATCCATCATCATCGTCATATACAAAGCTATGATTAAGACGGCATTTCAATAAATCCTGGGTCCCCAGGACGCATTTCTCTTTCTGAAAGCCTTGTATTCTAAGCTTTCAATCATTTACACAAAGAAAGGTCTTTTTAGTTTGTTGTTCTTACAACAAGATTATCTGAAATAGGGTGATGTTTGAATATCCCCCCCCCCCCCCTTTTTTTTTATTTGTCTGTCTGTTTATTTGCTTGTAATGATATTACATATATATATTCCTATTGGGATAAAGAGGCATATAAATCAACAAAAATAACAATTAGAGTTAAAGGAGGTTAGCCATTTCAGATTTTTGTTTTTTGTTTTTTGTTTTGGTATTATTTAAAGTAGCTTGGTGTATCAAAGGAAGTCTTTCACTTGAAAACTATCATATTGTCTAAGCACCAGGTTCTTTTCTGAGTGTTTTGTCGGCTCCAAAACATAAGAGCCATTAGTCTTTCTTTCTAGACAACAGAAATTGAGTCAAGTCAAGCTTTATGAGCTCCACGTGGAAAACGATGTACCAGCATTCTTATTTCCTCGTGTGCAGCCAAGTTCATTTGTGCTCCCCGTTATTTATTTTATATATATATATATGTGTATATCGATTTTCGCTCATTTCCTGCTAAAATTGTCAAGAGAATTAAATTCATTTTCAGGACAACCTCGAGTTTATTTTTCAAGAACTTACGCTTATAGATCTAGTTTCTTCTTCTTCTTCTTCTTCTTGAACATTTTGCCATATTTGCCTTTATTAGGCAACGTCGATCTATGTTTTGTAGCCGGCAATTTCCGAAAACCCGATTTGACTCCGGTGGGCTTTTCCAAAAAAAGAAAGAACAAAAGAGAACAGAACAGAATAGCCGTGAGTCCTGAGAGCATTTAGAGTAAGAAAAGAAAAAGAAAAAAAGAAAAAAATCCGGGTTTTGTGCTCCCGGACCTTGTCCGGACCTCACGGGCCATTTTCTACAAAGCACATACACACCGTTGATATGTCACAAAGAGAGAGAGAGGGGGATGATTTACAAAGCCTCTGGTAACTTTTTTTTTGTCAGCCATTCGGCAAGGCTTCCTTCTCTAACAAAATAATGATAACAATAATTTGATTCCCGTTACTTTCTTTTCTTTTTCTACCCACAATTCATAAGCGCGCCTTCCAAAGCTACATTTCAAAAAATAAAAAATGGAATATTTTCCTATAGAATCTCGTAAATATGCATACGTATATTTGTGCACAAAAGATTCAAAGTGGAAATATAAAGAAGACGTAAAGAGTAGGCTTTTCTGTTGTACAATATCCACCTTATCACCTTTTTGTCTTCTTTTTCTTTTTGTTTTATTCTCTATATGATGCTGTTATGATGTGATTTGTGTTAGTACAGTGAGGCTTAGAGAGTAGAAGAAGAGGTGAGGTAACAAATTGTTACAGTTGGTTACACATTAGGCTGTAAAGTAAACACATAAAACAAGATAATAAAGCCAAAAATACTAAGCAAGATCAGATAGGCGGGCAATCTCAAGGTGGCGCCCAAACTATAGCTACAATGCCACCTGCGCACTAATCAAGATGTTCTCAGCACAAATCTAACCAAACCATAAAACATGACTCATTGGCGCAGAATATCCAAAAAAATAATCTTTGGTTACATAATGGAGGTTTGTTTGGATCAATATTTGGGAATAAAGATATTATAAATCTGAGACTTTTGTAATTTTTTTATATGTGTGTATAGATGTAATGTTTCTGGCTTCTGTAAGTAGACCAGATAAAGAAAGCAAGTACATCAAAGCATTATTGAAATCTGTGTACCAGACGTATATCTTTTTCTCATTCTAGAACCATAATAAAGATAATCATAAAAGGGGGGGACTGTGGCTGATCTAAAGGTTGGGACTAAAGACAGGGTTCTTGCTTTCTTTTCTGGCTCATGCCTAGAATGGTATAAAGATTGTTCATTTCACTTTATCCTTTTTAGAAAATAAAGACTTAAAAGGCCTATTCTGATATTTTCTGTTAATAGATGATTTTGTACAATATTTCTCTTTTGGTAAAATCCTAGACTTTTGGCCATACTTTTATGAATCGTAAATTTAACAACAAAATAAAAAGGTGGCTTGGTTTATCAATACAGGACAATTGATATTGTATTGGGATTTTTGATGATTATCCCACTTACTTACAATTATATTATATTGTCTATTACAAGAAACGTATCATTCATTTTTTTTTAAAAAAAAAGAAGTCCAATCAAGAACATCTTTACACAACCAGATCTTTCTGGACTGTCTGATTGTGTACAACTTTTATAGATTGTATTACTTGCTTAATTTTTATTCCAAAAACAAAGGGTTTCTCTCATTAGATTGTCTTGGTCTGTTGAACTTGTAGAGCAATAAAAGAAACCCATATTATCCACCTCAAGAACATGTAGTTTGGTTAGAGCGATCCAATCCGGTCATATTCGGAAAATGTTCAAAGCAGTACAGAATGTTCTACAGCAAATTCCCAATACTTTCAATGAAATACCAATAGGGATATCTAGTGAATTATACTAATAAATAAGTAATCATATTTGACAGCCTTTTATATAAAAGCATCATTTAAAATATTATATATTTATATTATTAATGATTAATGATTATTATTATTTTAAAAATATAAATCCCCATATTTGTAACTTTCTTTTCTCTCTTTCTTTTTTGTTGGAAAGAGAAGTTTATCCGTATCATGGAACCTAATTTGGACGTCAAACTCAGATAAGCTGGGACAGTCACTTGCTGATATATGGAGTTCACCCATAGCATGTGTTTCTTTATACACTTCTTCCTTGTAACCACACTATGCCTCACAACGTACCTGAACAAGGCAAGCCAATATACATAATTACTATTGGTGTTTAAGAGAATAATAATACATTTATTTATTTATTTCATTTATTTTTTAAAAAAAATAAAATAAAAATAAAACGTTTAATGTACTGACACAACAAGATCTATAGAACGCCCAATCTTGCAGAATCTACTCAACATTCGTAATCGACTGACAGCATTAAAGCGGGATCGCTCGACATACCTAAAGGAATCTGATGTCGAACCTTTAAGACAAGAGACCGAGAATGAGATAAAGAAATTGAGCGAGACGAGAGGCGGAATCCTACTAGACGAAAATAAAGAATTAAACCGTACAGACGATGTTTTAGACGAGATCTGCCAGATTTTAAGTTTATGCTTTCTTAGTCTGGGAAGAACGAGAGAAGGTAAAGAAGTGATGATAAATATGAGTGATATGCATAATATAGCTCTCTAAATAAAAATTAATCGACTTTCTTAATTTCATTATGTATGTATTTTTTTTTAGTATCTGCTGTGTATTCTCAAGTGGTGGCAATCAAGGTAAAGTAAAGTACATTTAATTTAATTTAATTTAATTTAATTTAATTTAAAAGAGGTTGATTATTAAAAGAAGAAAAAATTGATATGAATGAATGAATGAATGAATTCTTCTTCTTCTTCTCCTTCTTCTAGCAATGCTTTGATCGCCTGGAAGAATTGGGAATATACGCTGAAGAGTTCTTGGCTCCTTATGAGCAAAAGCTAAAGGACATTGATAATATTATTACCATTGATGGAAGAAATAAAGCCCTTCCGGAACCGCTCATGCAGATTCTTCGATACAAATTTTTACAATGCCGTTAGTATTTCCGGAAAACACAGCTCAATTGAAATAAAAAAAAAAAAGCTTAAAGAAACAAAAAAAAAAGGGTTGTGCTTCATATCCTATTTATTGAATCAATGTCTCTCTTACTATAGAAAAGATCTACAACCATCTTCTTGACACAATTCATGAGATATCACCAGAACTGTAAGTCAAATACATAAAAGAAAATCGAGAGCGGATATTAATTAATTGATCAATTAATTTATATATATATTATTTTTTAAAATAAAATAAAATAAAATAAAATAAAAATGTCGTCATGCTAGACTTCCTATTCGTAATCGCCTCTTGAGAATACGACGACAATTAGTGATTACAGCCTGTCGGAGTAACTTTGTAGCCACCGATCTTTTGCCATTCCAAGAAGAGATTCGCGAGGTGGATGATCAACGGGTGGACGGTAAATTCTTGGGGCCGGATGGAACGATCCCACCCGGCCAGGCTGTGGTGGTCGACCTCTTGGAGCAAGTGTTCGGAATGGCCCATGATTTGGTAATAGCCACCCAACCAGACTTCTCTCCGGCCCTACAACACCTTCGTGATCGTCTCGTTGAAATCAAGTCACAGCTCGAGAGACTTGAGCTCACCCACAAATGGACCTTGCGCCAGACAGATCTCTTTACGTACCAGCATCAATTGCACGACATCATAAAGATGCAATGTGACGACGAAACAGCCGAGCCTGGCAAGCGTGGCCAGTTCCTTGACGAAAACGGAGAAGCTCCAGAAGGCCAAACTGTATTGCGATGCCTCTTGCAAAAGTGCTACAGAATGATTCTAATCCTATTGAACGAAAGTGTCCCGGTATCCGAGGCACTCACGCCGACTTACAACCAGCTTGTCTCAGTCCGTCAATGCTTAAAAGCAGTCCGAGATATTGGTGCTCCTTGCTCAGAGGAAGAACTTTATCCGTAAGTTATCTATTCTTTATATAGATACTCTTGTAGTCTAATAAACTCCCTCTCCCTCATTTTTTGTATATAAAAAGATATCAAATGAAATTGATGAGCATTGAGAATTTGCGTAAAGATGGCAAATTCTATGACCAAGATGGACATATTCCAGAAGGTAAAGTAAAGTAAAATAAAATAATTAATTTAATTAATTTAATATATGTAATTCTTAATTATTTATTTAAATAGGTCAATCAGTATGTGCAAGTATCATGGAAGACTGTCACAAAATATTAGAAGAGTTGCGTGAAAGCCCTCCTTCTGTTGAAGAAGCACAATCTGAACAACTAGAAGCTTAGACTCAAAAATAAAATAAAAATAATAATAATATTAATATTAAAAGAAGACCTTTAGAAGATTCATTGACTCGTCTGACTAGCCCAAGAAAACAAAAATCCATAAAATACATGACTTTTTATAAAAGAAATCTTTCAAAGGAGTGGCCCTTGTTCCTCTCTCTCTCTCTCTTTTTTTTTTTGGCTTACATGTGGGAGATTGAGAGTAAAGGGCCTGAAGGTGGAGCCTTCTTATTGGCTGCTATTGATGGCGCCCCTTGATTGGCTATTTCATAATTTACGCGTGGAGTTCCATTGACCGTAATAAACTACTTGCCCTTCCCTTCCCTTCCTTTTTTTTTGTCTTTCATTAGCCTAATATTCTTACATCATGGGTTGTAAGTATATTAAACAATGTAGTCCAACAAATACTCAAGTATCTATTTCAATTAGTCCGGGTACTACACCTCGTACGGCCCTTTATGGCTGTCCTTCCTGAAATCGCGACACCTGATCGCAAGGTACGATGAAACCCTCTTTCTTTTGCTGCTTTTATATGGACTTTGGACTTAAGAGAAAAAAAAAAGAGGGGGAAATATTTTTTTGGCTGATAAACAACAAAACGATATTAGATTCCCTTTAACCAAAAAGTGATGTGGACTGCTGTCACGCTATTCATCTTCTTGGTCATGTCACAAGTTCCTCTGTATGGAATCATGTCATCAGATTCTTCTGATCCTCTGTTCTGGATGAGAGTCATTCTTGCCTCTAACCGTGGTACCTTGATGGAACTCGGTATTACTCCTATTGTTACTTCTGGAATGATTATGCAACTTCTCTCTGGCGCCAACATTATCGAGGTCGACTATAGTTTGAAGGAAGACAGAGCACTGTTCAGTGGAGCACAAAAACGTGAGTAGACAAAGAAAGAAAGATAGACGATTTGTAGAGTGGAAGGAATGTGCAAAAGAAATACATATATTGAGTTCAGTTGTTGTTTTGTATAGTGTTTGCCATGATCATTGCTTTTGGCCAGGCTGCTGTTTCGGTTCTGACAGGTCTTTACGGTAGCCCCAAGGAAATTGGTGCTGGTGTCTGTTTGTTGTTAGTCATCCAGCTCGTCGTGGCTTCCTTGATCACCATGCTCTTGGACGAATTGCTCCAAAAGGGCTACGGTCTTGGTTCAGGTATCAACCTTTTCATTGCCACAAACATCTGTGAGACCATCTTCTGGAAGGCTCTTTCGCCGACCACGATGAACAACGGCAGAGGCGACGAATTCGAGGGTGCCTTGATTTCTCTTGTCCACCTGATGATCTCCCGCAAGGACAAGACCCGTGCGTTGAAAGAAGCATTCTACAGAACCAATCTGCCTAATGTTATGAGCCTCGTGTCTACTGCGGCCATCTTTGCGGTCGTCATCTACCTCCAGGGATTCCGTGTCGAGCTTCCTGTCAAGTCTAACCGTGTACGTGGACAGCGCGGTACCTACCCCATCAAGCTTTTCTACACATCCAACATGCCTATCATGCTCCAGTCGACCATGACATCCAACATTTTCATGATCTCCCAGATGCTTTATAAGCGTTTCGAGACCAATATCCTTGTCCGAATTCTTGGTGTCTGGGAGCCCTTTGAGGGATCCTCGCAGCTGTTTGCTTCGGGCGGTTTGGCATACTACCTCTCTGCTCCTCGCAGCATGACCGATGCTCTCCTGGACCCAATCCACACCGTGATCTACATTGGCATCATGCTCACCGGCTGTGCTCTGTTGTCCAAGACCTGGATCGAAGTATCTGGATCAGCTCCACGTGATGTTGCTCGTCAGCTCAAGGACCAGCAGCTCGTGATTGCCGGTTACCGTGATACTTCGATGTACAAGGAACTCAAGCGTGTTATCCCAGTTGCTGCCTCGTTTGGTGGTGCCTGTCTTGGAGCTGTATCTGTCTTGGCTGATATGGTTGGTGCAATTGGTTCTGGCACTGGTATTCTGTTGTGTGTCACCATTATTTTCCAGGTAAAGAAAACAAGAAGATAAAGTATACATGCATTCTAAAAAAAGACTTACATATATTTATTTCATTTCATTTGTTATATCTAGTACTTTGAAATGTTTGTCAAGGAACAAATGGAAAATGGCGGTGGTATGGAGGGCATGGTAATGGCCCAGTAAAAAAAAAATCAATAGAGCAACGTCTATCATCCTTATTTTTTTTTTTATAATAATTTTTCTTTCTGGTATCCTTTTTTTTCCCCTTTCTATTTTCTTTGCATGTATCTATACACAAACACACACAAACGCACATATACACACACACACACAGTCAGACACTCAGTCAGACAGTCAGTCAGACATTTAAATAAAGAGAAGAAGAGAAGATTAATGGATAAAAAGAAAAAACAAATACCAGCCCTTTTTTTTCTCTTTCTTTCTACCATATACATTTAATAACATTTCTTCTTCTTCTTTAAAAAATAATGTTAATAATAATTTACAATGAATTTGAAACGAGGACGTTTTTCTTCTTCTTTTCTGTTTGTTTTGGACAAAATATATATAAAAGACTCTCTTTTTTTTTAAATGGACTCTAAATAGACAGGTTTAGATATCAACGATCGTGTTCGATCAGCAAGAAAAAGAAAAAAGAAAAAAGAAAAGAAAACTCTCGCCAAAATAGAGTATGTTTCGATATGTACTTACGGCTATTGTGATGTTTGTTTCTATTGTTGGGAAATAGCCTGCTCGCTTCATTCCTTGCCCGTCATTCTTGCGAAAATAGGTAGTGAGATTCGGAGTATCAAGAGAATGCTATTAAAGCTATTAAAGCTACAAAGCTACAAAGCTACAAAGCTACAAAGCTACAAAGCTACAAAAGTTATAAGCAATGGCAATGGCAATGGCAATGGCAATGGCAACGGTAATGATAATACATACATTGTAGATCATAAAGTATAGAGATAATGTTAAAGAAGAAAAAGAAAAATATAGAGTAGGTTTGATTTACCTATCAGAAATAAAATAGGAATATAGTGTAAAAAGAATGCTTTCCTAACCTCCCCCCCCCTCCCCTTGTCTCTCTCTCTCTATCTCTATTTATCTTCATACTTTGGCTTCATTTGAGTTGCCATCCCAACCAACCTATCCAACAAACCACTAGGCATTTTTCACAACATTTGGTAAGGCAAAGGATATAAAAGATGAATTTAGCTCGAAAAACTCTTTTGACATTCTACTTTTTGATACTCTTTGTCTGTCAAATTTTTTCTTAAAAAATAAAATAAAAAAGTATTCATGCGCACCACTCTTCTAGTTGCTGCCGTCTGCCTGACAACCGCCGCAATGGTGAAGGCTGAGACCAGCACAGGTATATTCTCGATTTCAATTTCAATTGAATTGAATTGAATTGAATTGAATTGAATTGAATTGAATAAAAAAAAATGGAGGCTTACTAATCGAGTCTATTCATCTAGTCACCATGACCATGACAGTTACTACCACAAAGTATCAGGATGGTAAGTTGTTATTTCAAATCAAAACACAAAAAAAAATCTTATGCATCATTGAGTTTTTAGACGACAAGGCACCACACCCTACTCAAATCAATCACCCACCTGAAGATCGCCCACAAATGCCTGAACCTAACCAACCTCAACCTCCCAAGGATGACCTATCACCACCACCACCTCCCCCTCCTTCTTCTCCTCAACCTCCTATGGACAACAGACCTCAACCTCCTAAGGATGACCAACCTCCTCCTCCTCCTAAGGATGACCAACCTCAATCTCCTCCTACAGACAACCAACCTCCACCCCCAAAGGATGACCAATCACCACAACCACAGCCACCATCACCTCCTCCTCCTTCTACGAACGACCAGCCTAATCCTCTCAAGGATGATCCTTCTCCTGCTCCTCCTGCTCCTCCTCCCAGTCCCAATGCACCCGGAAGCAATGGCGGACCTCCCCCTCCTCCTCCTTCTTCAAATGAGCCCCCAAAAGATAACGCACCTCCAAGCAACGGTGGACCTCCAGCTCCAGTTGGACCCCATGTCATGGAACCAAAACCACAGCCTACTGGAGCCCCCGGACCTCACGGAGTGCCGTCTTCGGTTGATGAAATGAACTCATCTGCACCCCGGGCTTCTATCAAAATGGAATCCAAGGGTCTAGGAACCAGAAAGTCAATGGCATCAGCCAGCGTAGACTCTCTGAATAACAAGCCGATGTCTTCTGGATCGGCTGCGATTGCCGATACCGAGTTCACATTTAGCCCGATCACCTTGGCTCCCGAAAGTACTCGCAGTGGATCGAGATCTATGGTTGCCAAGAGTACGACCTCAGCACACTCTTCTAGTGTAGGAAAGAATGCTGTCTCATCAGCCAATAGTCAGAGTGTGTCTTATACCAACATGGCCGGCTTGTTTGTGATTGGATTCATTGGTCTGTTTATTCAACTTTGATTTTGATTCCTCTTGAATCTTTTTCTTTCTTTCTCTCTTTCTTTCTCTTGGTCTGCTTTTACTTTAAGTTAATTTAATTTAATTATATTATATAACAATAAAATAAAATAAAATAAAATAAAATAAAAAACATACATATATATACATATATATAAAGATCCTCTTCATTTTCACCATTAAAAACAATTGATATTTTATATATGTTATAAAGAAAGAAAGAAGTATAAAAAAAAAGCATTCCATTACCAGCATAAAGTGCGAGAATCAAATGTACATGATGGAGGGGAGGGAGGGGAAATACTTGAAGCAATAATAGAAAGAAAGAAAATAATAATAATAAAGAAGAAGAAGAACAGATAATGTTATCATGCTATGAATTGTATACACACCACTTCTAACTGTCTCTCTCTCTTAAGATATTTTTGTTTTTTTGATTTTTTTGCTTTGAGTGCAGATATTTTTTATATATATATATATATATATATATATATAAAATGTATATAATTTAGATATATATTAAGCAAGCCTATTGGAAGTTCATCTTTTGTTTGTATGTAATGTTTGTATGTAGTGTATGTAATGTATGTATGTATGTTTGTATGTGTGTATGTGTGTGTGCGTGTGTGTGCGTGTATATGTGTTTCATTTTCATTTTCTTTTTTTTTGTCCTGCTTTTTTTTTTTTTTTGGTTTTTTTTTAAAAAAAGGCTTTTTCGCCTACAAAAATGGTGTTTGTACGTGATGTATTAGCGCGCGACAAGGCCTGCTCAAAGCTATAGCGTTCACTGAATGATGAGAATGTTTGCTGTGAGTCTGTGTATTGTCGAAATCCCAGGTCTCCGACAGTATTAGTCCGACGCCTTTCTTGGCGCGTCCTGGGCTGGTCACTATCTGTCTGATGAACCTGAGCTTGCACTTGAGGTGGTGACGGTGTTAATGGCGGTGGTGGTGGTGGTGGTCTCCACTGGACCCTAAAGTTCTTCCCACCATTGTTATCCCAAAACTCACGCTCCCTGACCTGGTATCGGACTGCCATTGAGAACTGAGTCGTGAGCAGGTCTGTGTCAGGACTGATGGTGATAAAGAACACAAATCGGTCAAGCGCACTGTTTTCGCAATCACCTCCGACCGACTCCTTGTAGAGCGCCCCCACATCTGTCCATGTGGCCCATGCATCGGTAGAATAGCGCAAGGTTACCGTCTTCTGGAACGCAATGTTCTGGACCTGGATGGCGCCTCTGAGGGCACAGGCGGCCGGATCAAATATGATCGATTCTAGGCTGACCATCTGGGTGAAGAACCGGACAGGAAGATCACTGGGCCAGTTTGGAAGACTCAATACAGGACCTGGGCTTGTTTTTGGGCTGTTGTTCGTATTGAGATTGTAGTAGTATCCTCCAGTATATCTGTTGACAAACGGATCGTGCCCAAAGTAAGCTACATCTACGTCTTCATCCTCATCACATTCTGATTTAGCCTTGTCAGGGTTGGAAGTAAATAGGGAAATATGTTCCAGTGGAAAGTCAAAGTGCACGGATTTTGTGGCCACAGGGGTACTTGGTGCAGACCGGCTCCGGCTTGATTTGAGCGACGGACGAAGCATTGGTGGCCGTGGCGGTTTGTGTTTCATTTGATCCAATTCAGGCTCAGGCTTATGGGTGTTGTCTTGATTGTTAGTAGTATTTTCTTGGCTGACCATTATTGGTGTACTTTTGAAATATAATAATGATGATGATGGTTGTGTTGGTGGTGGTGGTGGAGGTGGTGGAGGAGATGGAGATGGAGATGGAGATGGAGATGCTGATGCTGATGCTGTTGATGGAGTGGTTGATGTCCAAAGATCGGCCACAGATACACCAAAGGGAGCACACTGGATGCTTGAATCAAAGTGTGGCCATCGAGAAAGATTCTGTATGGGCAACAATGAGACAGATGGTATGTTGCACGAGGGTAACGCAAGTGAACTGGTTACAGCGGCGTTTGGGTTCTGTAAAGAGATGCGCCTGGTGCTACCGGTTCGCAAGACATGACGTGTCTTGGTGTCCAAGGTAGTTTCTGCTGTCAAGCCTGTCATAATATAAGGGTGTGTGTGTGAAAAGAGTGAGTGTAGGAAAGAGAAATTAAAATATAGAAAAAAAAAGGACGCAGCTGTAATTATTATAATTATTATTGAAGGGGAGAAAGGAAAGAAAGAGAGAAAGAACAGGGGAGGAAAGAAAGGTTTGAGATCGACATTTTTTATCCAACTCTGCTTTGTAGTGTTTTGTGCATAAGCAGCTGTCCCGGTCGGCTATCTATCTATCTATCTATCTATCTATCTATATATATATATTCTTATAATCATCATTACATCTTGACAGGCATCCAAATAAGCAATAATACTACTAAGCATACTACCTTTTTATTAAAGACCATCTTTTATTTCTTTTTATGTCACAAGAAAAAAAGTCTATAGCTTTATACTTTATTTTACATATATGGATATAAATGTATACATAGATAGATATCATGCACGGCCCATGTCTTGTCAGTAACATTCAAAAAGAGACCCTTTGAAGCATAATCATACTGAACCAAAAAAAAAAAAAAGTTTATCATTGACATGCATCTTGGTTTTCTTTATTTATTTTTATATATAAATATAAATATAAATATGATTCTGTAAAGCTCTGTAGGGATCTTATTCTTATCGGAAAATCTATTATACTTCACATTTCAAAAGCATTGTACTCGAATTGGTCAAAACCCTTTTCTTTTCTTTTCTTTCTTTTAGACATGACGTGTATAACAATATCTAGTTATTTAACCAATCAACACGCGTTAAACAACAATATTATTTTGTTTTTGTTTTCGTTTTAACGGCATGGCCGCGTCTTCATTCTTTGGATTAATTCAAGAAATATGTGGAATAATCAAAGGCAAGACAATCCAAAAAAAAAAAAAAGGATTCTTTAATGACTAAACATACCTATAGATTTTCTCATCTCCCAGGTCACACAGAACAACCGGCCTCAGGGCAGAATAATCCAAATGTTACGCAAGAATACGATCAGCTATCTGGTCCATACGATACTGTAGATCAATGGCTGGCACAAGAAGAAGAACTTTTAGATGAACCAAACCTAACCAGCATCCAACCCCATCCCTTGCTCTACATCCAAAGCCAAGTAAATATGCATATAAACCAAGGCTATCGCTATCAATCATGTCAAAATAATAATAATAATACTTTTTCTTTCTTGCACCAAAAAAAAAAAAGCCAATTCAACCGGCCTATAATTTGTCAGAATCAACAAACCAAAATCGTACAATACATTCCTCTTTACTGATCTCATCAATCCATACTAATCAATATAAAATAGCCCAAACACCATCCGTCAAAGGCATCACACTTTGTCCAACCAGTGAAATTCGTAAGCATCTTTTCTATCTATATGTCGAATCAATTTAACATCCACAAAAAATGTAATTCTCTAGCAAATCCATATCGATCTTTATTCCCTTTTGGTTTATTTAATGCAGTCCAGTCTGCCAGTCTGGAGATCGTATGTAAATCATTTATATATACACAAAAGGGGGATAATAGAATCCAGTAATTGAAACGTTTATTTTGGATTCCTAGGCATATCACAGAGATGATAATCTGGTGGTCTCTGGTATTACTATCATTTTATCTCTTATATGCTGCCCACCATTCTTATCTAAAGAAAAGCACAAAACTCAATTGTCTTTTTCTCTCTTGTTTTCTTTATAGCCCCTACAGGGTCAGGAAAGACTGTTATAATGGAATTGGCAATGTTAAGAACAATTCTGTCCAGTAGAACGGAAGTAAAGATAATCTACATGGCACCTACAAAGAGCCTTTGTTCAGAGCGAACCAAAGACTGGACCAACAAATTCTCTCAGTTTGGAATCACTTGTAGAATCTATACATCAAATATAGATAGATCATTTGAGCTAAACATCTTCTTGTAGGCAAAGAATTTACAGGAGATACGGAAACAGTATCGGTAGAAGGAATTAAAAACAGTACAATCATGCAAGTAGATAATATTATATATTTAATATATTTTCTTGCTTGCTTATGCTTTCTAATCTTTCTATCGACAGAGTAACCACACCAGAAAAATGGGATTCAATGACCAGACGATGGATTGATCATAGACATCTAGCTAGTCTTGTAAAATTATTCCTAGTATGTTTTTTTTTTGTATATAAATAAAAGATTCAATACAATTTCTTTATTTCTTTATTGTTGCTGATAAAACAGTACTTGTTTAGATTGATGAAGTTCATTTTCTTAATGAGAAAAGAGGTGCAGTTCTGGAGGCCTGTGTAAGCAGAATGAAGGTGTGGTTACTAGAAATCAATACATCTTTAGCACATAATTTTATTTTATTTTTAAAAGTAATAATAATAATAAATTATACAATAGAAAATAAGCCATTCGATACGTTATATTGCTGTTTCTGCAACTGTTCCAAATCTACAAGACATTGCAGATTGGCTAGATGCAAGAGGTAATATATATATATATATATATATATATATAATAATATAATTTTTATTTACTTGGGGGGTGGTCAGCCATGAGTTTCTCTGAAGAATTCAGACCTGTTCGACTTGAGAGAGTTGTACAGAGTACAAGTCCTAAAGGAAACAACATGTTCTTATTTGAGAAGAATCTCGATTGGAAGTAAGTCCAGGTAAAATAAAGACAATTTGTTTCTAACAAGAAAATTCAATAGACTCTTGGATTTGATTAACAAGTACAGTAATAATAAACCAGCCCTCATTGTAAGTCCAACTTTTAATATAAATATTTCCCATGTTGGTCTGACTTTGTTCAAAGTTCTGTTCTACCCGCAAGTCTACGCAGTCAGCATGCGAGACCCTGCTTAAGATGATGGAAAAGAGGAGGATCCAGACATTAGGGTATGCTATCCGCACAATCCTGTCGGCCTCCTAAGCTTTCTTTTATTTTTATTTTCGTTTCTGTAGACAAAACAATCCTTGTCTTACTGATAACCTTGTACAAATCAAAGACAAAAACTTGGCTACTTTTATAAACAAAGGAATTGGCTTTCACCACGGTACAAACAAGAAATTTATATACAAAAAAAAATAAGGAGACAAAACTTACCTGTTTTTATTTATTTTGACATTGTTTAATTCAACAATACAATTATAGCCGGGCTGGATTCCAGCGATCGACATAATGTCGAGCAATTGTTTATGCAAAAATCCATTCGAGTCATAGGTAATTTTTTTTAAAATAAAATAAAGAAGTATATATTCATTTGATTGTATTTCATGATAGCAACAACATCAACACTAGCAGTTGGAGTAAGCAAAGAATCAATTTTGATTTCTGTTCAATATTCTCAATTGATATCATTTTCTTGCTTGTTTGCTTGCTTGGTTGGTTGTATTTTAGGTTAATCTTCCAGCTCATCTAGTAATTATCAAATCAACCAAGGGTAAAGCAAGAAAAGAAACATGCAACAAGTAAAAATAAAAATTATATTCCGGCTTATACTTTATGTATATATAAAAACAAATAGGATACCAGAACGGGGGATGGAGCGAATACCCGGACCTTGATATACTGCAGATGATCGGACGGGCAGGAAGACCAGGATTAGATGATTCCGGAATTGCAGTGATTATGACAACAACAGAGATGGAGTCGAGGTACAAATCTCTTGTGTCTGGAACAAATCAGATAGAAAGCAGGTAAGGCTGAGATTACCAAAGAAAATGACTCTTGCAGAAAACTTGACAAATAGAGTCTATCACTGACCTATACAATTTTTTTTTTTTTTTTTACATAGTCTTCATGAAGAATTGGCAGAACATCTATTGTCTGAGATATGCCTCAACACCATTACTGATGATTTGAGTAGCATTAAATGGTAGTCAAATCAAATCAAATCAAATCAAATTAAAATTAATTTGTATGTTTGTAGGTTACAATCTACATTTCTCTATGTGAGAGTTAAAAAGAATCCTGCGTACTACCGGCTAAAGGACATCAAACTAGCAAAATCACCAGATGCATTGCTTCAAGGTAGTCTATTGGGTTTCGTGCGTTTAATAGACATAATTTCTAAATCTACTTGGATTTTTTGTCCTTTTATTTGTGTAAGACATATGCTTAAAATATCTGAGGATCTTGGTCGATGGTGGTTTAGTAGAAGAAGGAGGAGGAGGCTCAGGCGACTGCAGACATTATAGTCCAACAAGTATATATGCTTTATTAATTTTTAAAAAAAAGAAGAAGAAGTACTAATTATCCAAAAAAATATAAAAAAATATATATCTGTATATAGTTTATGGAAAGACTATGGATCAATATTTCATAAAATTACAGACAATGTTCAATATTTTAAAAATGGAAAAATGTTTGTCAGTTCGTGATGTGGTAAAAGTTCAATTTTCTTTTTTTTCATTATTGCCACCCACAGACAACCGTTTCCCTCTCCTTACATTTTCATATATTCTTTTTTTTTCTTCTTTCATTTTGTCTTGAAGCTCTGGGTTGTTAGTAGTGCAGACGAGTTCAAGGACATGCGCTTTAATGCAGGAGATAAGCCGTTCCTAAACGATCTACAAAAGGATCCGAATATTCAATTTCATCTCAAAGAGAGGGTAACCACCATTCAAGACAGAATATTTATGATCATCCAGGTCTGTAAATTATGTTGGACTGCGCACCCACATACACATCTATACATCTATACATCTATACATACATACATACATGCATACATCCGCGCACACATACATACATATACATATACATGACATAGATGGATTAATTAACTTGACAAACCTATTATATACTTTTTTTATAATCTATATCATCAGTGCGTTCTTAGTGACGTATCGCTCCAGGGATCTTCTTCAGGACACAAATTAGTCTCGGACAGCTATCTGGCAATCCAATATGCAAGCCGTATAACCAAAGCCATAATCGATTGTGCTGTTTACCAACGTGATTCAGCCAAGCTAAGACATTCGTTGGATTTATACAAAAGCCTTCAAGCCAAAATATGGTACAATTCTCCATTTGTCCTTCGTCAAATAACCGGAATTGGGTCCCAGGGTGTCAAGACTCTAGCAAAAAATGGTATCTCTAGCCTTGAACATATTCGCAATGCCGAAGCTCATCGGATTGAAATGGTAATAGAGAGAAATATACGGCCATTATTATTGTTATTATATACAGTAAAAAATAAATAAATGAATTTAATTAATTAAATACATACATACATTTTATATTATTAGGTTATGCATCGTCGTCCCCCTTTTGGGAATGAGGTAAAGCTAATGTACTTGGTCAACATTAATTTTTCTTTACACTCTTTTTTTAATAGATAAAATCAGTAGTGAATAATATACCTCGGTACTCTCTTGAAATTAAGCAGGTAATATCTACCAAGAACTACAAGATTCCAAAATAAAATAAAATCAGTGATACTAATTGGTTTTATTCAGTCCAAGGGGCGAAACAGAAACGAGCAGCAAATAATCTTAAACGTAACGATCACATTAACTAGTGTGAATATGAAACGCCAAAGATATGGAAAAGGATTCTATACACAATTCTGGGCCGAAACAAATGAGAATGAACTCTTGGACTTTCGTCGGATTCAGTAAGCCAACGAACGAACGAAACGGAACGAAACAAACAAACAAACAAACAAACAAACAAGCAAATAAGAATTGTTTAACATTTTAACCTTTATATCACTTCTTTTGGTAGGGTTTATAAGCTTCAGAATGGACCTCAGAAATTTAATATTCGAGTAACCATCATGTCTCCGTCTATAAGAATCATTTGTCATGTTCAGAGTGAAGATTATAGTGCGGTTATGAAATATAAATTATAGGAATCCAATACTAATACTAATACTAATACCAAAAAAAAACATTGGTCTTGTTAGTTGGTGTGGATATCATGGAAACAATTAAGCCAAATGTGGATCCAACAAAATTCATTGCAATTGCTGAGCCATTATTTGTCTCTCAACCAAATTTGGCGGTAATATATGCACCATAACCATAACCATAACCATAACCATGAAATATTATATATCGTTTTCTGCTGTATCTAAACTCAACAACCTTGTTTTCTCTATTTATTTTCTATTTTTATAGGACACGCAAAGCAATGACGGCCTCGATGACCCTGGACTTGATGCAGCAATATTAGAAGGCTTGATATGTGATATAGATGAAGCAGGAAAGTATATTAATTCTCATGCAAGAAGATTCCTATTAACCCAAGACGTGCGTCTTAATTTCTGTTTATTTGTTTGTTTAGGTGAGACAATTGCAAAAGACCACGTTTCAAGAGAATCCGAAATATCAACGTAAGAAAGAAAGAAAGAAAAATCAATGTGAAAAAAACAGGGGGGGGGGGTTATGTTTATTTGTTTTTATGTGTCTGAACATTTTATTATTCTTACATAAATAAATATAAATAAACGTTTGTAGATGTAAACATACATGCAAATCTAAGCAAGCGCAAGTATCTCTCTTAGTGTGCGGTATTATATTGGCGCTAAAGCTTTAGAAAAAATAATACTTGCATTCTGTTTACAACATTAGTTGCGCTCATCCTTGTTGCAAGGTGGAAACAAATCAGAATATCCCAAAGAAAAGAAAAAGAACTTGTTTGCCAGATCCAAAGAGAGAAAAGAATCTAACGAGTCTTCAGAACTCTCCAAAGCCAATCATTGTTCTTGATGATCACGAAGATACAGGAAGTTCAATTGCTGTTGTTCCTCATCAATCAAATAGTTAAGTCCAACAGAAGTTCAAGATAAGAATGTCTCATTTTATAATAACATCTAAACAGCTAGTATTTGTGAAAGTATATCCGAAAACTCTTTTATTGAAAACCTCCCACCAAAACCTAAAGAGATCCAACCATCGGACAGCAATAGAGATCAGCAAGACATTGGTCTGAATGAATACGACTCAGATGCCTTTTATGATTGGGATGAAAAATATGCCGACGAACTGTGCAAGATGACCGAAGACCCAAAACAATTTCAAGCTATTGGCACTCCAAAAGAGCTGTCAGAACCCTCAAGCAATCCAGAAAAGCAATTCGTTGAGGACCCTTTGGATGATGTATGGGACAGAACGGGAGATTACGCTTTTCATGCTTTCGAAGACGCATTCAACAAGACACACAGAGCATTACAGCAGGACTCGGTCAGCGTACCAGAAAATACCAAATCAATCGATACCAGGGCGGGTGATGGGTGTCCAAGAAGCAATGAAAGTGATTGGGGTAGCTTTGAAGAGTGGCTGTCAAACTATGTTACTATCATAGATGAACATTAACACCTGTCAAGGCTTGGATTATCAGCATCAGAAATTTATAGCAAAACCAATATTGCAAATCTACTCATTCATTCATTCATTTAATTAATTATTTATATTTTGCTTAACGACAAAGAAGCTAGCAAAAACTGTAGTATATTATTGGGACAATAAAAATGGTAAATAAACCTTTTAGTCATCCTAAGAAAACATTTAAACAGTGAGATTTTAAGAACCATATCATATCATATCATCATATTTTTTTTTCATACCCATTCATCATCAGCCACTTCTTGGTCATTTGGATCAACAGGCTTTTCCTCGGTAGCAACTACTTCTTTAGCAGACGAAAACATACGGTCCATCAACTCCTGTCTCCGCTGGTCCTCAGTCACGGCCTTTTTACCCATCTCAAATTTTTCCTTTGCCTTTGCTTGTTGTGGTGGTGGAGGTGCCAAAGAAACTTTTTTTTTTTTTTTAAAAAAAATATTAATTATATAAAGAAATTACCCAAATGTCATTATTGGACTTCTTGTAATTATTATTACTATGACTTACGAGGTGTCATATCATCAGGCTTGAGAGATATTCTTTTCAAGCCTTTATTCTCTCCAGAAAACCAACTTGCTGAATCTTGAGCAGGGTGGCCAAAGTCCAAAGTTTCAACAAAAATATCATCTTGGAAGAATTCAGGCTAATTTTTTTTTTAAATAAAATAAAAATAAAATTAATCATGTTTTCATATATATATATATAAACATAAATTATTAATAAACGATAATTTATTGCTGTTTGTTATATACTTACTCTGGCTCTAGGAATACGCACACCAACAAGTTCAATAGAATTAGGCGTGAGGCGGTAGAATTTCCCAATCTCGGTTTCCCGAACATTACAAGAGCTTTTAGGGAAAAATGCAAAACCTTGCTGTAATGTGCCAGACTCGATCTTTGCAAGTGCCTTTAAAGTATCATCATCTTCAAGTTCAAAAGTATGAATAGTACGATCACCCTAAAAGTACAATCCAATTTTTTTTTGTTATTTTGTGTGTAGACACTTATATATATATATATATATATTATGTACCTTTCCAGCCACATACAGAACGCGGCAATCAGGATCGTAGTGAACTCCCATAACACTTGGCGAAACATCGATATTGTTTTTTTTGACAGGACGAGTCAGATCGTCTGTATTGAATAACAGAACCTCACGCATAGATCCTCTACCAAACCCAACGCTCGCAATTCTACTTGCGCCGAGCCAAACAAGTCTCGAAGGACGAGCGTTATCATGAGCAGGGCCTTCAGCCAGAACCTTGCCTGTGCGCGCGTCCAAGACACGAATCTTCTTATCTCTTGCCACGGTCGCAATTCTTGACCCATCAGGACTCCAGGCGGCAGCAAAAATGATGTCAGGGTGCATGCCTGTCAAGACAATCTTCTCCTTTTGTTCCACAAGATCCCAGATACGTATCGTGGGCTTTGAAATATCGCTGGACACGGTCATCAGAATATTCTCAGCATTGGGATGGTACTCAAGCAGAGCAATTTTGTCCATTGCATTAGCTATCAAAAAAAAATAAAGAAAAAAAAAAAGTCATTTCATTCATAATGGTTAATTTTTTGTTATCATATTTTACCTCTACTCGCCCACTCAATTCAATTCAATAATAATAATAATAATAGTTAATAGTTTTTTTGACTTACTACCAATAACTGCTGTTGGTTCTCCAAGATCTTCTTCGAGTCCGCCTTCTGGAATAGTCCATACGCGAATCTTGTTGTCCTCAGAGACTATAAATTTATATGCGTATATGTGTTTTTAATGTTAATTTATTATACACACATACAGACATATATGCATGAATGCCTAAATGTATACATAACTTCCCCACCTCTCTCTCTTTCTCTCTCTTGCCCTTCTCATCCCTACTCCTTCTACTATTCTCTTATAAAAACATAATATTTTTTTCTCTCTATACCTGTTGCCAGGACGTGGTCATTAAAGGGATTAAATTGAAAGTTTGTTACTTCTGAGCCGCACAGAACACAGGGAACATGGGTGGGCAATCTTCCAGGCTTATTGACTGAAATGATACCAACACGGCCACCTGGTCCGGCAATTGGAACCGCAATCAACTTGCCATTGGTCTAATACCCATCGCCATCCCATACACATAAACGCATTTAATCCAATTTAATTGTTAATATATATATGTGTGTGAGTGTAGACCGTGATTTTGTTTCTTTCTATATTTCTTTTTTTTTCATTTTATTTTACCTTTATTAAATCAACCTCACCGCTCTTGTCAACACTAAGACCTCTGAGATCTTCAAAATGAGTACTGGGATGATAGGCCTTTCCAGAAATGTATTTGTAGGCAGAAGCATGGTTTGATCCATACTTGGGCACAGCTTTGGGTTTGACAGGTTCTTCTTGTTGTGATGTAGATGCTTTTGGGATCGCGACATCAGATGTACTATCAGTACTATTCTTTTTGTTATTATTGTTATTATTGACAGACTTGTCAATCTTGTCAACCGTGTTGCTGCTATTTTGTTTGGTTGGAGACTGACTCGATGGTTTTGAAACAGATGGCTCATCAATATTTCTCAAAACTTGTTGTGGCGTGGTTTCTCTAGGACTAGACGGTTTGATCGACTCTGCAGTTTTATTTACAGCTTGGTTTGATGGATCCAAAGATACTTTGGCCACTTGAGCATTCTTGCCAGAAATCCACTGTGATCCCGAGAGCCCAGGTACTTTTAAGAAAATAAAATAAATACTTACATAAATGACAAGTATCCCTATACTCCAACTTACCATTTCCCTTTGTGTCAGGGAAGAGTTCCGCATGAAAATCTAGATATTGCTAAAATACAATCGAATAAGAATATATATATATATATATATATATGTATGTATGTATGTATAGGTACCTTTCTAGGGATTTCGAATGAAATGGGTAAAACTGCATTCTCAGTGACAGCCAAAACTCTAGCAACCTCTGCATGCATCACATTCAAAGACTGCTTTGGAAGCAATGCTGCACCATAAATAGACGTGTTTGTACCACATGCCATGTTTTCAGCTATGGTTGGAGTGGTCTGGACATCAGACAGCTGAAGAGATCGAATGGTAGTGTCGCCTCTGCTCATCATATACATTGTCTCTGTGTCTTCATCGTAAAGTGGGATAACGATACCCGTAGAAGAATCAAACATGGTCATCTTCAATGGACTTGACATGCTACGTACATCCCACAATGCGTACTGTCTGTTACGGAGCTATTAAATTCCATTTGTTTGTTATTTGGTATGCTTATATATATATATATATAATCTTACCTTGTTCATTCCAACTGTAAATATTGCGTTTGAGTCTCCCAGCCAAACCACTCGAGATCCCTTGATTCCTTCATGGCCACTTCCAGACTGAGGGTAAAGGTAGGTACAGGCCATTTTAGACATTTGACTTTGATACGAAATTATTATATTTATCTATTTCTATTTAAAGATGCGTGTACTCACCATCACGGCCTTGTCCTGGGCCCTGGGATCCCACACATCAACAGCTCCTTTTGAGGATGTACCGAAAAGAGAACCATCACCCTTCCATGAAAAAGAATGAAAAGGGTCGGTAGTGGTGGTACCGACTTCAAAGGCACAACTAGACTTTTCAATATCCCAAATACAGACTTTTTTCCCATCGTTTCCGAGTGTAGTTACAATCTAAGAAAAGAAAAAAAAAGGTTGCTAATGTCAATGAATTGAATTATAGAAATCCCATCCTAATAATCAATTAGCTATAAAGATATTTTTTTTTTACTTGGTCTGCTGTAGGGTGGAACCTAACAAGGTCAACACGTCTTGAAGGTGTTGTCAATGAAGTCAGACAGACAGGAGTTTCGTCTTCTTGAGATATCTTCCACACTTTGACCTTTGTGAAAATAAAATAAAAATAAATGTAATGATATATAAAAATATTTCCAATTGATTGCCTTATGGAATTTCCGGTTGCTATACTAATAATATTAATAAATTAATGTCGATATTTACCAATCCATCTTCGGCACCAGTTGCAAGTAAATTGTCATCAAAATCAGAGAAACTCCAATCGGACACAGCTGCTCCGTGAGCATGAAAGACATGTGCTTTACTAGAACAACCTTTTCCAGGCTGGTCGATTGGCAAAAGTCCCATCGATCCACCATCTTATCCCCACACAGATATATCAAGTTAATATATAGTGGATTTTCATAAAATAAAATAAAGTAAATAAATAAATAAATGAGATACTTTACTTCCTGTCCATTTTACGGCTATCCAGTTCCGACTTGCTTGGATGAGATTACAGTGATCTGATGGAGATGATCCCAAAGTCAAATCCGCATACCATGCCTTTTATATATTATTATTATTATTATTAAAGAAAAGAAAGAGAGAGAGAGAGAAAAAAAAAAGGGGGAGGGGGGACGCGATCCCGGTGAGGTTAATAAGATGTCTGGCCACATTATTAATAGACAACACTGTATTAACCTCTTTGTTGGCTACTTTGCCAACCGCATTACGGTATTTATTGAGATGCTGGAATCGTTTGCTCATGGTGTACTTTCTTTCTTCTGTCTAACTTGAGAAACGGGAATTAGAATAATTTACCTTGGCAAATCTGTCCTAGACCGACAGTCGTAATTGAGCTTTTTGTACGACATATAATTTTTCTCTGCTCTGAAGAAAAAGAAAAAAAAAAGAAAAAGTAAATCAATGACGTTAAATGGAAAATGATTGGCCACTTGGCAAATTATTGTCATTTTTTTTAGACAAGTCAAATCAGCGTTACTGAAAGTTACTATGGGCTACGATATCAAGGCTTTAATTCTTTCTTTTTGCTCTTATAACTAATATTATATAAAGCAAACGCTGGGTAAAACCAGTTTTCCTTTTGTATATTCACAACAGATATATCAAGAAGCTTATTTAAACCCATTGTCTAAATTCAACAATGTTACTGTTGGTATAGATTTACTATCAATAGGACCATCTTTCATCAAATTTCTTATAGTAAATCAAGTATTAAAAGGAGGGTGTCGTATGGGCGCATGTATTAGACAGCATTGATAACATGTATCTTTGGATCAGTTTAAATGTGTACTATGCTGATGAATAATACTGGTAAATATAATATTCAACAATTGAGCCATAAACCATAGCTCCAAAAGTCATAAGCTCTCTTGGTAATCTTGCCTTTGTCACTCTTCTATGAAGCATTCTTTTGGTTGTCTCACAAAGTCGTGCAATTTCAACAGCTGCTGTATGGAATAGTTTGATTTTCCACAGCTCCAATTTCCAAACCACAGATATTTTCTTTTTTTTTTATATATAGTTTACCAATATATCTGGAATCTGGTATTGATATAGAAAACCGAATTGACAAAAAGGCATAGCGCATTTCACCTCGTACTCAGACTCCGTATTATCTTGATCTTCCACTGACTCGTATGATTGAGAATTTAATTGCTGAATGGCATACTCTTTGAAAGTTAATCCTAGAGAGACTACATTTTGACTGTACCAGACCAAAAATTGTGACCTTTTTGCCAGCATGGAATAACTCTCCTGGGTCCCTAAGGATACAGAATATTCATAGAATTTTTTTTTTGTGCTTTGCATAAAAAAGGAATTGGTTGGGACCATTTGCCAGTTGGTGCTTCCAAACTCTGGTAATATAAGTAGATAAAATAATAATAATATAAAGTCATGATACGCGTAAAAAGACCAAAACATAGTAGAATATCCAACAAGTTTGTATCACAATCTAATGACAGCAACTCCTTATAACCTTCTGCATAACTGGCTATTGATAGAGTGTACTTGGGATTGATTATTATTTTTTTATTGTCAAGTCTAAATTTTAAGGCTATTAATTGAATATACTGTATGAATTTCAGGACACGCCATTTTGCCCTGAGGGATTGGAGAAAGACACTGGGTCCCCCCGGGCATAGTCTGGTGAAGTAGAAACGTCGTCCCTGTAAGGTTTCTGACAAAAAAAATTAGAAACCGGCACATTCGGTCGTTAGATTGTTAAACAAAGTAGTTTACGCACAAGATAATCTTCTTGAGCATAATACAGGTGGAAAAGCTTTCTTCTTGTATATCATTGTCATTCTCTAGCTGCCAGCCATTGCTGCTTAAAATCCTTATTAGGAAGTTGTTTCGTATTAAATAACGACAGCGCTGAGAATCAATGCTAAAAAAAATCAATGATGAGGTTACTGACTCTGGGTTCGCACCAATGTTAGTGTGGTTGTACTCTACTACGGAATCTATACGAAAAAGGTAGTAGCAGCAAGAGTGGATTCATTCAGAGTTGGCTTTCTTTAATAGATATTGCTTTGTATTTTGAATTTTCTCTATAGATTAAATACATATGATTGCAAAGTCTTGTTTAAAAGATCTTTTTGTGTGTATGTGCTTATGTTCTTTATTGGTGTGAGCCAATTGAATTGGTAACAGGTATGTATTAGTTAGTTGCTTTAAAGAAGCCGAGTACAGATCGGATTCAATTTAATGGTAAGCGTTTTATAGATGTATTGTCAAGAGGATTTTCATGAATTGCCTTTTTTTTGTTTTGTTTTATGTTTTCTATAAAAAAAAAGGTACACGGATAACATAGCCAAAAGACATACTATAGACACATCTTTTTTTTTGTTGGTAAAGATAAATGGTACAGATCGAATAATTTAGCTTTTATTTAATTTATTAATATACTACGTGAGAGTAAGGGGGTAGTATAGGTGTATGTTCCTGTTACTAGAAGGGGTAGAGCTGATCACAAGCCCAGAGACATTTGAAACGATTTCGTTATATAAATATATATATATATATATGTGTGTGTATAAGGGGAATTGATGTGGCCAAGTAGTGGCTAAGTGGTAGTGGTGGTGGGATAATGGACACAAACGCGGCCTTGGCATTACATGGACAACCTGCTGTACCACATGTACTCGATTCGAGAACAATGGAAGACAAGAAAAGAGCTGCGGTTGTAAAACCTCAAGGAATAATAGGCTCCCACCGCCTTCTCAAAGCATTGGGATTTCATGCACTTTAACAAGATACCTGAACAGGATCCATCGTGTGACAGACACACAATTGGGACAAAACCAACAAAAAGAAGAAGAAGAAAGAGTTTAACACAAAAGAAGTTGGGATTCTAATCACCTAAATGTGTGACTACGATTAGGTTGATTTATTTAATTGTTCACAAAAAGAAAAGGGTTAGAGAGGAGGGTGAGTTTGAACCCTCTATCTCTTTTTCTCTCTATATATATATATTTCATTTCATTCTCCTTTCCCTATAAGAATAATTACAATAATTCTCAAGATGACCAAAGATGAGGCAAGATTCGCAACTGCTAAACAAAAGGCACTCTTGGGCACAGTTGGACTCTGTGTTGGTATTGCATTTGGAACAGCAAATATGTTTGGGTATGTTTGTAGATTCCAATATGTATTTAAAAATAATAAGCGAAATGACATTTTCTTTATATATATATTAATAATATTATTCTCAGCTATGGACAGCGTACGTACATGCGACTCTTTTCTCATTGTATAACAGGATCAGCAATGTCAGTGGCAGCATGGATGAGTAAGTTGATTGACATACATCAAATGCTTTATATTAATTAATGATTTCTTCTTTTTCTTTTTTAAACAAAATAAATAGGTGTCCGAGGTCTACTCGTCTCACGACAGAGTTTTCCTACCATGTACAAGTCAGGGGTACCACACAACAATCGACCGTTGCAACACTTACGGATATTGAACAACACACCTGGGTCCATATCTATCAACCGCACACCTCTACCTACATTTGTTCACAGTCGGTTCGCATAAGGAAACATACATAACATGCATACACACATACACCATATACACAGATGCACAGATCAGAAATTTTGCCGCAGCTTAAATTAAAATAATCATCGTGGCATCCAAAAAAGAAACAACATATATACTACCTACATATGCACAACCCAACCCAACCCAACCCAACCCAAACCAAACCAAACCAAACCAAACCAAACCAAACCAAACCAAAAAGAACAACCAGCATACATAATTCCAGATGAACAAACTCACAAGCAACAATCACACAATTACACCTTATAGATTAGAAAGAAGGGAGGGGGTACGAGCAGTGACAATGATGCCCTTACCTTCCTCTTTGTTTTGTGATGTTTATACATTGTAATACTTACTTACTTGGCTCGTTCATTCGTTAGTTACCTTTCGCTATAAATATACCCTTTGTTTCTTATTAATCACAAAAAAGTTAATAAATAAATAAATAAAATACATAATAAAAATGAAAGAATATCTTATAGTTACCTTCAATTCTGTCATTTAAAAATGTTTCTATTTGTCTTTCCTTTTCTATTTAGCTTACATTTGCATACATAACTAGATAGCATAGGATCGCATTGATTTCAATGAGGCGGGTTGTATTATGATTATGGCGTAAGATTGAATAATAAACTCTACTCAGCCAAACTGCATACACTAAACCATTATTATAATAATCAATCTTTCAAGATTATCAATAAAAACTTATTTATTTGGTATTGACAAGTGTATCGCAGATATAAATATATACAATACATGTGTAAATTCTGGGATTTTCTTTAGTATAAAACAAGCCTGTGCTATTTGATCACCGTGGGATCAAACAATCAAGGGTATAAGTTGATCATCATCATCATCACCAAAATAAAATAAAATACAAAGATAACCCTAACAACAAATAAGTAATAATAATCATACTAATGGATCGAGTCCGTAACACCGTCTTAAAAATAAATAAATAAATAAATAATTTGTTTTTTTTTTCTATTTATAAATACAAGACAAAATATGCGAAATATCAAACACAAATATATTCAAATATATATAAATTTACAAATTCAATATGGTATATTTGCGAAACAGTTCTAGTATTATTATTATTATTTTAAAAATAATCGTTTTATGAGACCAAAGGGATCATGATGAAATTTACCAAAGAAATCAAATACGATGTCTACACCACCTCTGAGTAAATCGTCTGCACCAAAGATCAGAACTTCGAGCAAGGTGATCAGTCGTCCGAATTGATAAGACATATAGAACAACAACAATACAAGGAGAATAAAGCATAACATAAGGCTATTCAACTGGTATGACTTTAGTGATTGGAATGGTCCCAAATGAATAAGATTAGAATGAGGATCAATGGCTTGATTAACCACATTGGATACAGTGTTTGGTTTTCGATCGCGTCTTTTCCAAAACTTCCATCTTGAACGTTTTACTTGAAGATCTTTGGAATCTTTGGTAAACAGACTTTGTATTCCACGCATTTATTTTATTTTCTTTAGAGAAGAAGCAGCGAAGAATAAGGTTCAAAGCCATTGTTCATATATTTAAAGAAAAGAGAGGAATTATATTATCTACCTACTACTATATATATGTATATATAACATCTACAAATAATAATAATAATAAAAAAATAAAAAAAATATTGATGTTTGTTACCAATTTTTGGATATTTATGAAATAGTAATAATAGTAATAATTAATACAAAATGCTAATGTCTTTTTCTTCTTCCTCTATGATGTTGATGTTGCTGTTACTGCTGCTTCAGAATTCTTGGCTTTTTTGGCTTTTTTGGCTCTTGGGGCCTGTCCACCTTCCTCTAATTGTTTCTCTTTTCGCTTTTTAGAAGCATCAATCATTTCCCTACAAGAAACAAACAAACAGGAATCAGAAATGAAACGCTTTCAAAAAAAAAGAAAGAAACTTACTTCTTCTGTGCATTACGCTTCTTATCATATCTTGACATTGTGTCAATCTGTTCACGTTCTGCACCTGCCTTTCTCAGCTTGTTCATTCCCTTACGACTATAGAATTTTAAATCATTACAGCTAAGTTTCCTTTGATCGAATAAAGTAAAGAGGTTCATTTCTTTTTTCTTTTTACCTCTGTTTCTTCAATTTGAGCATCCAATCCGGTACCTCACATCCAGACTCTTTCATGACATTCACGATACTACAATATACATAAGCTTATTAACTCCCTTTCTCTCTCTCTCTCTCTCTGTGTGTGTGTGTGTGTGTTTCAATTGATCGATTTTCTTTCGTTTTTACCTTCGCATATAGTCCATATCATCCTTTGTGTAATAAGTTATAGCCTCACCCTGGCGACCAGCACGACCAGTACGACCTACAGACAAAACAAATAAAACAATAATTAATCACATGCAATCATCTCTAGATAAGCTATATTAGAAAGAAAAAATATTCCCATACCAATTCGATGAATATAACTAGCAACACTTCTTGGGATATCGTAGTTGATTACAAGATTAACACCCTTGAAATCCAAACCACGCGCCATCAATTCGGTAGCAATAAGTACCCAGATCTTTCCCACCCGGAATTGATCAATAATGTTATCACGCTAAATGAATAAAATAGATGGTTTAGATTGACATTCCAGCAATTACTTATTCTTCTTCTATTTACCTGTAATTTGGTTCTTTCAGAGTGGATGACCTCTACATTGATACCCTCGTATACAAGTTCTCTGAAAAGTTCCTTTGCACGATCGATAGACTGAACAAAGATAAGGACCGGAGGTTTTATACCAGTCTGGATAAATTGACGCAAGGCCACCATCTTTCCTGCTTCAGTACCAGTAAAAAGCAACTTCTGGTCAATTGTGTCTGTTGCTGCATTCCTGAGTAATAGTAATAATAATAATAATAGTTATTTTGAATTCGAAATTCACATATTTATTAAGTTTTTACCTCTTAAATAATAATAATAATAGCTTATACTTACTTTGTACCAACCACAACTCTAAGAGGATCTCTCATGACTGTCTTGGCCAGTTGTTCGACTGTGGATGAGAATGTAGCACTGAAAAGTGATTTTCTTACGCTTGGAGCAGAACAAGCTGCAAAGATTTCATCTGTTTGATCCAAAAATCCAAGATCCAACAATTTGTCTGCTTCATCAAGAATCAAGTGACGAATGCTTTATAAGAAAAGATTGCGTGAAATAAGTATTTGGTTTTTCACTCTTTTTTTTTTTTGGAAACGAACATCTTACTTTGTCAAATCGATCTCTTTTTCTTTGATTGCATAAACCAATCTCATAGGTGTACTGATCAAGATATCTAATGCAATATCACAAATAAATAAATATATACGTATATGCATGTATTAACCCACTAATGCATTAAACTCACTAACGCACACTAACGCACAACACATAATATAGTACTCCTTAAAAAAACATCTCCTCGAAAAAAAAAGAGAAACTTACCAAACTTCTGTTTTTCCTTGGGTGTCTGTGCCTTTGTGGCGTATGTTGATTTTGCCAATACACGAGTTTTCAATTTAGTGCCTGCACTGAGCTTTTGAATCTCACGGTCGATCTGCTGTGCAAGTTCTCGGGTTGGCGCAATAATCAATGCGCGGTATCCTGTCTTCTCAGGTTTCTTCAAATCCTGGAGGAGAGGAAGAAGGTAGGCAAGAGTCTTACCCGAACCTGTAGGTGCACAAGCAATCAAATCACGACCCTATATATATATATATATATATTGGTTTTATATAAATTATTAAATTAAATTAAATTAAATTAAATTAAATTAAATTAAATTCAAAATCAATAATAATTGACATACTTTGAGCATAATTGGAACAGACTGCATTTGAATGGCTGTAGGTGTCTTGTATTCGCTTTGCATCAGGTTTCTGTAGATAGTTGGATTGAGGTTGTAAGGAGGTGATGCTAAATCTTCAAAAGTACGGAATGGGTTGGGAACATCGGAACCGTATACACGAATCTGAGATTCTTTACGGAATGCTTTTGCCTACAAATAACGATATAAATAAAAAAAAAGAGTTCTGTAAATATATAATTATATAAATAATAATAATAATAATAATAATAATAATAATAATAATAATAATAATAATAATATAGAGTACGGACCTCTTCAACAGTAAAAATTGTAGTATTTTCTCGGTTGGAATCTAATAAGTCTAAATGTTAGCCGAGAAAATAAAATGCATATATGTATATAAAGTCGAGCAAATGAAGTGGTGGTGGTAGTGGTAGTTGCGGTGGTAGTGCTTGCCTGGTGTAGCTACTGTTGGTGCATCGTTCTTCTTTGCTTGCTTAGTTGGAGTTCCAACAACAGTGTGAGTTGTCTTGAAAAAGTCAATTTCGTCAAGGAGCTTGTCACGCAATTCGGAATTTGTGGCAACTTCGTTCTTTTTCTTGGCTACAACGATTTGAGAGTCAGTAGCAGCCTACAACACAATAACAGGTAAGACATATATTCATTTAATAATTCATATATATATATATGCATGTGTTGTGTTGTGTGTGTTTTGTGTGGGTGGGTGGGTGTAGTTGTCCAACCTCAAAGAGCTGGACATCGCCTTTGAAGCGATTCTTGTTGAATGTCGCTCCGCTTCCTAGTAAATGAAAGAGATCCATAGCGATAATAAAAAAAAATGGGTGTGGTTGTAACAAAGTCTAACTAATTATCTCGATGCAAGGAAGAACAAGCTTTCAACATTTTACATTATACATGCAGGCAAGCCACACGAAAGAAAGCCACAACACTCCGCCAGGTACGGCCCAAAATGGCAAAATGTTGAATGAATCTTTTAAAGACATTTTTGACTACCGCCACCAAGTACAATTTAGAGACAGAAGAAAAGTAAATAAATTATACATTTGGTGTGGACAGACTATAAAGTTCAAAATATTATTAGCCAATCGGATCAGTTAAGTACTAGTCGCACCTTTTTTTTGCAATGTAGCAATTTTTCATAAAATAGTGCCATTCCATGAGCACCAATTGCTTATATTTATATTTATACACATACATACATAGATCTTCAAAGTTGCGGGATTGTAGCTCCCAAAAATGTATATATGATATTCTTTAGAGCATCCACAGCGGTTTACCTAAACCTGAAGTACATTTTTTTTAAAGATATTCTTCAGCGTCCTCAGCGTATTACCTAAAAAAATCTAGAATCGGTTCAACGGACAAATATAGGGATTCCGGCTATTATTATGGTGTTAATGAAAAAATAAACAATAATAAATAGCTAATATTCTGGTGAAGGCTAATCATTTATCTAAGCAAGAACATAGTAATTACTGAGCTGGATCAATTTTTGGAGAGATAGTAGAGTCATGTAAAGAACAAAAAATACTAAATTCAGCCTCTAAAATGACCAGGAGTAATTGACTATTGTTATATGCTAATTTAGAGTCTTTGGTATGGTACTTTAATAAGAAATAATTTAATACTAATATACAGTCGCCATAGCTGTGCCAAAGTGAAGAAGATATATACGAGTGGAAATGCCATTATTAAGAGGTTCATAAGGCACTGTTTTTTCAGGCCTATTATTTTTTGCATACTAAGGCCCTGAGTGGCCAAAATTTTATTATATATTAGAAAATAAAGAGAAGTTGTTAGAAGAAGAGAAGATGTGGATTAAGAGTACTTGTACAGCTGTCAATGAGAATAACTTTTTTTTTCAATTTAGAGGTCGAATTTAGTATCTTTTACACTTTTTATTGTTTTATTATCTCTCCAAAAATTGATCCAGCTCAGTAATTACTATGTTCTTGCTTAGATAAATGATTAGCCTTCACCAGAATATTAGCTATTTATTATTGTTTATTTTTTCATTAACACCATAATAATAGCCGGAATCCCTATATTTGTCCGTTGAACCGATTCTAGATTTTTTAGGTAATACGCTGAAGACGCTGGAGATTATCTTTAAACACATTTCTGTGTAATAAAACCTTTTTTCTTCTTCTATTTCATTTATATTCTAATATATTCACACAATTTTACCGCTGTTCACGCGCAACCATGACAATGGTGTCTTTTGTTCAACTGGTCTTCCTAATTGCCGATCAATTAAGCATGTGTTTACGGCCATAGCAACTTCCAAGGCCAATGTCTGTGGTCATCATTAACACAATATCAAATGGTATAGGGCTTGCCATCAAGAGGGTATTCATCTTACTCGTAAATGCATCAAATTCCCAAACAAGTTGGGAAAGAGAGGAAGCTGTTCAAGGGATATGCATAAATCGGATTGAGATAGTTTTACAAACCGATAGACACCGTCGTAGGCCAGATCCATAGCAAAAGTCTCGAATTTTGACCCTACCAAATGAAAAGAAAGTATTAAATCAAGTTGAATGTCTTATGATAATCTTTAGGCGTTACCTTGTACCAAAATCCCATACGCCACAGGCCGAGTCACACCAAGATAAATCAGTCGGTGTAATACCAGTTTCATCTCTTTGGCCAGCTTTACATAATCCGATACATAGCCCATATTACGCTTATAGGCCACCTTCAATTCCAATGTGCCAATTACTGTAAGCATCGAGCCACTTTTGGCAAAAAGAGCCCAGTCTGGCTTATATACAAGATCGTCTTTTTTGGTATCATTGTCGTTATCCACTTTAATGTCGTTGTCTTCGTCATTATTTTCTTCTTTTAATTCATTTGCCCGTTTTCGCTTTGATCCAGGCAACAATGTACCATTAGCCCTATGGATAAAGCATAATATTTTGGGTCAATTTTGTCCCATATTTTGGAAAGTTTACTTTTTACCAATCTTGTTTGAAATTTTCATCGGAGCCGAAGATAGTCTCCAAGATTGCGTCCAGGTATTTGTGGGCAAAGCTGTCTTCAAGCATTTGTTTCCTACTACTTCCATTCAACAGTCTGGCGGACCTGTGATATAAAGTGTAAAATAGAATAAACAAATTGATGACCAGGTTTATTTTGATGACTTTACAATGCATGTATGATTTCTGCAGCAAGAAAATCATCGGCGTTCTCTGTCGCTGCTGCTTCAGAAAGACACTCAACAGTGGCCAGCTTAACGGATCTCCAACACAATAACTCCATCTATGATATAGGCATGTAAGTCAAATACACTCTTACTGAAGAAATATATATATATATATTACTTCTGATAACTTAGTACACCATTTAATTGCGAATTTGTTGATTGTTCGCGTATATTGCATGATCTCAATATTGGCAATGATACTCTTGTGTTGAGAGTTTGTGAACCCTGGGACGCTGTCATTAATATTCTTTGAAAACGGAAAGATATAGTCCAGCCCTCTGTACCAAAGCAATCATGGAGGTAAGTCTATCTAATTCCTTTATTTTCTCTTTTTTTTTCACTAACAAGAGATCTGTATCTGATAAGGATTCTCCCTTGACATGCCGACTGATGATTTGATCACGAAATGAAAACAGCACATTTGACACCAAGATATTATCAACGACCCACTGTTCAATGACGAAAAAAAGAAACGTATGCATGCTTATTGTTAATCTTTCTTCTTTCTTTTCTTTTATTTTTGGTCTATTTCTTTAAGTGCCAGTAACATCCTTCAATATTTCTTGATCGTGTCAACAAAGAGACATTTTTGTGTTAAAGTATCTATATAGCTTCACGCACTGTTACATAAACAGCCATATACTTTTCTATTTTCTCTTTTATTCACTTTCATTAAAATGATATTTTATTAATCTCTTATTTTTTTATCTCAAATAGAGTAATTATCGAAACTATCTTTACTGGTTCGATTCTTGTTTACATTCCTTTAATCTATTTTTTTTCTCTTACTTTCGTATTATTGACATCAGACGTACTGGTTGCATTCACGTTCACGACATTATATTTTCGAGAACGGAAGGTTTGGCTGTCAAGCTGTGAAAACAGATTAAGTATTGATCATTTCATTCAGGTTTCTTACTGCTGTCATTGTAACGTGATCGTCTTCAATATGTTTCTGAAATTCTGCTGCATCGTCAAAATACATCTTACAGTAGCAGCAACCAAAACAAGTTCGAGACTTGTTTGTATGATTTGTCACAAAAGTAATTTCTTTTGTTGATTTACGACGTTCATTTTTGAATTTGCACTTTAGAGTGTGAATGCTCTCTAAATGCTTTCTCAACGTATTCGATGTGCTTTTATTGTTCTGACAATAAGGGCAAAAGTGTACGAGAAAGATCTCCGCTGTCATAATGCTAAAGAAGAGAAACAATGAAAGCATTGTATTGCAACACCGGACATCATCTTACAGCACCGGACATCATCTTACAGCACCGGACATCATCTTACAGCACCGGACATCATCTTACAGCACCGGACATCATCTTACAGCACCGGACATCATCTTACAGCACCGGACAGCACCTTACAGCACCGGACAGCACCTTACAGCACCGGACAGCACCTTACAGCACCGGACAGCACCTTACAGTACCGGACAGCATCTTACAGCACCGGACAGCGCCTTACAGCACCGGACAGCACCTTACAGCACCGGACATCATCTTACACAGCGTAGTGTCACATCTTACAACACTCACAACTTTACTACTATATTCGATCAATCAGAATAAATTCTCAAAGTACCTTGCTTCTGTTAATACGAATCGCTCTCTTCAAAATACCCAGCATGTTCCCTTTCAATAGCCACATCCTAGCTACTAATAAATTTTACGGGAAAGAAAAATGCTTGCAAAAATCTCTAACTAAAACTCCCTTTTTTTTATATTTTTTTTTTTTACCATAGTGTAAGAGCATCCCCCGTAGTTACATTTCCCTCTTTTTTAGCAATGTTTTTTTTTAGCCATATCAGTGGTTTAAAACAGCCAAAAAATTGAGGGTCAAATCTCAGTAACATTTTTTTTTAAGAACTCGCCATCTCATATAGTTTTCTTTACTAGTAAATTTATTCATTATTATTATTATTATTTTTAAAAAAAAGGTATATGGAAATCCATGCAGCAAGTAATAAATTGACCAATTTTTTTATTAAATGTTTTTAGAAACGTAACTGCTGGGGCTGGTTTTAAGGTTGTTGTTTTTTTTTGTTATTTGAAGCTACTTCCAAATTGAATAACAGTGATAAACCTATCAGGTTGTGGCATCATATCACAGCTAGTTAAGGATGTGGCAAAAGCTCGATACAGAAACAACATCTCTATTCCACAAGCGATCTACAAGCTGTAAAAAAAACGTGGTTTTTCAAACAATTTTGGTTTGTAACTTTGTAATGGCTTATAAGAATATTAATACAATAAAGGCTGGTTGTAATATTTACCTTGGATGATTATAGCAAATTACATTTGACGTTTGATAGCGACGATGCAGGGCAGGGAGTTTGGGGGATTTTACTTGAGCTTTTGAAAGGCTGTAATTAGAGCACAAAGGACTAGTGTTTGTATATAGTAAATTTACCAATAAAAAAAAACAGCATTTTCCGTATGGAAAATACACAAAGTTATCTATAACACGCAGGAGAAAAATAAAATAAAAGTTAAGCAAATACTTTCCTGGATAAATCACCCTCTAAATCTCCTCTTTTTGTCTTCTTATATTTATTCTTTACAATCCCCTTTTGTTTTGTTTTCAATATACTTTGTATCAATAAATTCCAGAACTCCTGACATCTATAATCTAGAATATTAATGGATAAAACAATAATAGCAGGCAATTTCCTTTTATTGATAATAAACTATATCTTTTTATGGTTATTCTTTGAATCAATTAATATAGGCTAATGGGATTATTATACAACGGTCGATCGTCTAGCTTTATCGTTGGGTAAAATATTAAGTGGACTAATGATAATGAGTGAGTGGATTTAGGGCCAATGTACATACACACACATTTCTCCTAAAAACGGCTGGGTGTAAGAATTAAACACATAATTCTCCTTAATGATTATTAAAGTTACCCGGCCCTCAAAATTATAAGTTAATGAAATGAAGAATAAAAGAAGAAGCATAAAAAAGAATCCCACACAAAAATAAGCTTATTGTTTCTGGACACAAAAACACAAAATAATAATGATAATAATGAAAATGAAAATTTACCACACGCACACACCAAGACAAAAATAAAAATAGAAAACCTAAATCTAGCTTTAAAGGGCTGAAGAAATAAAGAAAGTAAAGCCATACAAACGAGTCTTTCGTTGTTTTCACCCCTCAAGGTAGATAGATATATCTATATGGATACATGAGGTTAAAGCTAAAGTAAACTATATATGTACATGTACATGCAAATCGATACACATATTGGCACAAGTCTCAGATCCATTGTGGATTTTCAAAATTCGGTTTTACAAATTCACAATTACACCCACATAGCAGCAAAAAGTAGTAAATTTTCCTTATACCTCAAAAGGAGTAATTATTAAAAAAGGAATAAAGGAAAATAAATAAAGAAATAAATAAATAGATAGATAGATATATGGAAAATTATTTTGTACAAGAGGATATAAAAGAAGAAGAAAAGATGGTAGAGAAGCTGAAGGGTTTAAAGTGTTGAAGGGTAGATATAAAACGAGAAAGCTAGAGACCTATAGAGAACACTGGAGGAGTAAGATAGCAAGAGGGAATACAGTAAAGGTGGGTGGTATAGGGACAAATAATAACACAGAAGAAAAAATAATAGGTAGGTAGGTAAGTAGATAGATAGAGAGAGAACATGGCTCTAAGCTATTCGGTCCAGATACTCCAGAGTAGTTTCCTCAATACATTGGTGAATATATGCTTGAGTCTCATCATCCGTGTGAACACGGCTACCAAACATGTGGAAAAGATGATCTTTGACTTGCGCACGAGTGGTAGAGTCAAGATCAGCAGTATCAAGGTAGAGTCGGATCTGCTGATGGAGAAGAGGGAAAAATTCGTGAGAGGAAAGAGGTTGCTGCTGTTCAGGGTTAGTATTATTGGTAGTGATTGTGTCCATAGTGTCGACAGTATTTGAGCGGTGATGAGAGTAAGTGGAATACTGAGAGAAGTTTGGACGAGGTGTGCGAGAACGAATAGCGGCAGAAAATCCAGATCCAGACCCAGATCCAATACCATGGGTACCACTGCCACTGCCACTGCCACTGCCACTACTATTACTACCAATGTGCGCACTGGAGCGAGGGATCCTTAGACCTACTCTACCATGCATAGCAGCTCTTCGGCCTTGCTCTTGTTCTTCCCTGAGCTGCAAAGCATCTTTAGAGTTCATACGAGAGTATATAACTCCTGCTTGAATAGTCTCAAGCGACATCTCTGGATCCACACTAAGGTTAGAACTGGCAAGCGAGTAGGTAGTAGAAAGTGTGGAACGAATGGAACGGCGGTCAACAGGTACATCTGCTGGAAATACCGAATCAACTGAAAATGCACGGCTGTGTGAAGCAGACTCAAGAACATAAGGGGATGTCATCCATGTAAACCCACTGCTGTTCACCGTCCCATTGATGACTGAATCTTCTGCGCAGCTGTAAATGTTGCTTGCATAGGGTGTCTGGTCGCCTGCACTTCTTTGTCCGCCCTGAGTAAAATAAGATGACTGAGATCTACTCTGACGATGGCCAAGATTGCGGTTGCGATATGTCGTTTCATCCATCACATACGCCTTGTCACTCTGTAGTGCGCTCTCATAGTCATCCTCAAATGGGTTATCAACAGGATCAATAAAAGGGTTACTGACGCTTGAATTTGCATGATCTCTGTAAGGTGGGAGCATTCCAGTCTTGAATACCTCTGTTGCATCTCTTCTTCCAATCCCTGATGAGGAGAATCCTTCTGCACGACCTTGATTTCCATAACCATAGCCATCGACGGTCGATCCAGCCATTCTGAATCCACTAGTGGCCGCCATACGTGAGCTGTGGAACCCGTCTCGGATCTGAGCATTGGGTGGAGATGTAATTATCGAATCTCCATCGTACATTGATTCTGACCGTCGTGACGGAGCACTTGTTTCAGTACTTGTGCGTGAGTTTGCAAAACTACTAAATCCAACAAATTTGGAATCGAGGGCTGTTTGGTTACGCTGGTGAGACTTTCGTGCCTCAAACGCCTCGTGCTCTGTTAACCTCATGCGAGGAATCAGTTCTCCTTCATCTGGGACTTCTTCGTCTTTTTCGCTATCTTTGGGGTTAGGATAGTCCACAATGCCGTGTAGGCGAGAGGATTTGTAGCCACGAATAGCCCAGACATCATACCACTTGTCTGCATTATTACTATTCCAGGCGGCTAATAAAGGGAACCAAATGGCAAACAAGGGAACAGCAATGAGGCAATAAAGTATAAACCACAATACATATCTGAACTGACGTCGGAGTAGAAAGTAGATGATGTGGATAATGACAAGACCAGTGAAACAAAAGGCAATGATCGAGTAGGTCAGACCTAAATTAAGAAAAAATCGGACATATATGATGTAAAGATAGACAATGACAGGTGTATAGAATATCATGTCCAGTAGCTCAGTGATGCTAAGAAGCCAGTAGCTTAGTCCTCGCTGCCAATAAACACGCTGGTTTCTCCACAGATTGTAGAATATAGCCCGTATGCTACGGGTTTGAGAGCCCTGGAGGGCCAGAAAGTCGGTCGGGAGGGTTACATATCCAATAGCTTCAGACTCAAACCCTAGATGGCAGCCTGGGTGAGATTGTAATAGGACAGCTGCCAAGCAACGGTCTTCACCCTGTAATAGGGCATTCATCGTATGCATTGTGGACGCCTGTTGGAGAGCAAACCCTCGCAGAACAGTTGGGTGGATGCAGCAAAGACTGATATTGGTGGTATGCACAGGGCGAGATGACCGGACTTCTGCCATACTTGAGTTTGCCGAAGTTTGTGTCTCTTCAACGTCCCAGGGGTCTTTGTTGGGAATTATTTCGTCACTTAGCTTGGGCCAGCGTGAGGGCCAGATAGATTGTTGGGATGTAGCCTTACTCTGGGTGCGTTCCATAGAAGTATTTCGTGATCGTGAGTGTGATTGTGATCGTGATTGTGATTGGGATCGTGATCGTGGTTGAGACGGTGATAAGGACGGCGACGATTTCGACGGCGACGACGAGGGAGACAGTAAAGGACTATCTGACCAGACCTTGTACATCACAAGTCCACTACTGATGGTCATTACTCTCTTGAGAAATGTTTCGTAGGCCAGCCCAGAGAACAGGGTGAGATAGAGGGGGAAAATTTGAAGCATTGTGGTGAGATTCTGCTCAGGGTTTGCGGGTCTGATGTGCCCACTGATTGCAATCATCTTTGGATCTCTTTCAAGCCGGAGAACTAGGCGCTGGACCACATCTGCGTGGACCTGGGTATCTGCGTCTGTTACCAGCAGATACTTGAATAGACGGGGATCGATACCGAGTACATTGTAGCACTGGTTAAACAATTCGTACTCGAGGGGTGTCATCCGGTTGTTGGTAATATTCATGCAACGTTCCAGAAAACCAAACACGATAATCATCGAATCACGCTTTCCACGGTTACCTGGCACACGTCCTCCACTATTACCACCACCACTAATATTACCAGGTGATGACGATGAATGTTCTCGAGGATGGCCGTGTTTTACCACGACCATGTATGGTACACGATTACGGCCTGTTTCATAGAATCCAGAGTACACACGGGCATAGTTTAGACGACGACGGTTCTGACCCAGAGAAACATAAGCTTGCATGGCCGGTTCTTCGGTGCAGCTGTAGCCGAGGGCCTCTAGGATCAATACATGAGTCTCCTTTGAATCGTGTACACTCTGGGTAACTCCGTCACACACAAACAGCAGCAATTTCTTTGTGTCTTCATAGCTGGCTCTAGCAAGGGACTCATAGGTCTGTTTGAGAGTCTCGTTAGATTCCCCACAGCACGGGATCATAAGGATCGTGTGGGGCCAGGAGCGGGGCCGGGCTGATGAGAACTTGGGGTCCGAGGAAAAGAATAGGCGCTGAATGAATGGCATGCGGGACAGATTTGCAAGGTTCATCTTTAGTAAGAAATACATTAATCCGATGCCCATCGTGGCCCACATAGCAGGGTTTATGCGGGAACAACCCACTGGGATTGCACTCGAGACGACTCCCTTGAAAAAGAGGGTTTTGAGGCAATCGTTGAATACACTTGATACATTGCCATTAAAGTAGTCAGACATGTCTTTTCCAAGGTTAACATAGAGCATGATACTGAGATCGAGGGGTAAAAACAGTCGGTCAGGGGCAAACGCGCGTGAGTTTGTAGTGGTCGACACAGGAACGACATTGGTAGCCATGGTAAAATAAGACGTCAGATCTAGCACGTTTCCGTTCAATACGACATAGGCACGCGCATCTGGATTGGCGGGGGTGGGTAAAGCATTGAATTTGGTTGAAATGTCTTTAAGATCAAAAACGATATCTAAAAAAGAAAAACAAAAGATAAGACAAAATGATATTCATGTACAGGATCAATAAAAAGAAAAATAAAAGAAGAAGAAGAAGAATGTATATAGACGCCTATACATGTATTATGTATACAATCTACAGACAGCATATTCTAACTGACCTCCTTTTAGCCCATACATGTCAACCTCTAATGATTGTGCTGAATTGAGAAAACAAGGAGATCCACTGATATTCAGTTGGGCAGGGTTAGGGCATGTAATAAGTGTAGTGTTTGCAAAAATGTAGCCGGGATCATTGGTGAGTAGATAAGATAGCCAGGCATCTGCTTGAGCTTCACGGCCGCTGAGACACAATTGAAGCGTCTTGTCGTCGTAGGTGCCCTGAGAAGAACGTCGGAGGTGTAGAAAGGTTGGAAATAGAGGTGAAATGTCTTGACCGAGATGATTTTGGATCTCGGACATCAATTCCATCTCCATGTTTTTTGATGGTCGGACGGCTTTGCCATTGATCCCCACATAGCGGGATCCATTCCCATACACTTCGTCGTAATCATATGTTTTTTCGGGATCGCAAAAGAGTTCCGAGACAAACTCGAGCCAAACCGCAAGTGAACATGAAACGATCAAGAAAAGGATGCAGATGGCGATCTTTTCACGCCATGCCCTGCGAGCAACTGTTTTGGATCATCGAGATGAGCCCTTTATAATTTTTACTTTATTTTATTTTTAACTCTTTACATAAAATATACATATACATATAGATATAGATATAGATATAAATGTACATGTACATGTACATGTACATACATATATACATATATACATAAAACATATGTGTATATGTGTGTAATTCTTGTAATTTTATTATTACTATTATTATTATTGAGAATTGAAGATCGCAACTTGCCTGGTGTGGTCATGCCACCCAGAGAATGAAGGAGGACATCAGGTATAGGTAATGTGCACACTCTTGCGAATGCAGTCCAAATGAGACCTCGATAGGTAGTTGGCATAAAAGAGTGGTTCTCGGCTACTCTAGTGTGAGGAATCGAGCCAGTTCAGTCCTACCATGAATTAGGGGTGCAACAAAAAAGAAATAATAAAATAGACCGAACGCCTCGGTTCAGCCGAGGTCAAGAAAGTCCGTTTTGTGGTACACTAGAGTATTTTACATATATATATATATATATATTCAATTTATTTTCTTTGTGTAAAGTGTATTGTAGTTTAATGCATTGTGAGTGAGTGAGTGAGAGTTGTTGGGGAAAAGAAAGGCCTATTGATTTTAATGTAAAGGTATTTAAATATCCATACATTTTTATAAATTTTTATATTATTATTATTTACAAAAAAATGCTTATTAAAAATATATATGATTTTATTTGGATATATTTGAAAACGATATCAAGAAAATAGTAGTAAAAGAAGAAGGAACATAAGAAATGAATGTAAGAAAAGGTAAAAATCAAAAGAAATATATATGTATGTATTTTATGTGTGTGTATTGTGTGTACAACTGTGAGAAAAATAAATGATAGAAGATATGGTTGTAAAATAAGAGAAATTGTTTTAGTCTATATGTGTATGTGTGTATCTATATATGCGTGTGTATAGCGTATGCGGATAGTTGTGTATATTTGTGTATGTATATAAAGAAGTAGTAGTAAGAGTAGTAGTAGTAGTAGGAATAGTAATAGTAGCAGGAAAGAAATCAACGTGCTTGGTGGCATTAGATCGTGTAAATGTGTAAATTTATATGTATATTCAATACACATACATACACACACAAACTACATCAATAATGCGCACCAATACACACAAAAAGAAACACAAAGACAAACCAAGACAACACACAATACACAACACACAGCACAATAATAATTACAATAATAATATGGATAACATGAATATGGATAACATGAATATGGATAATATGAATATAAAAAATATGGGTAAAAATGAAGGGTTATGATTATTGTGATGATGATTGTGATGATTTGTAGTATCTTTTTTGGTTGTTGTTGTTGTTGTGAATTATTCTTAATTTTTTTAAAGAAATATATATATATATAAAATAAGATGTGTGGGTGGATAAGGACAAGGTTACCAAACTCTGGATTTTTTCGGGGGGCTGATCTGGGTCTCGGTGTCAACGGAGCGTTTCCTTGTATAATCAGTCTTTTGGACGGGGAGAGACCAGGAGCCGAGGAAGAGATAGGAGAGTGGGGTTGTCGAGGACTGAGTGGCTCTCTGCTGAACTTGCATGTGGAACAAATGGTACCACTGCTCAAAGATGGGCTGAGCAATGTAGAGCCTGTAGTCGATCAATTCCGAGAAAATCCGTTCGGCCTTGTTGATCTCAGCTACTTGTAGGTTCGCCATCTTGGCCCACGCCGAGTTGCGATACGTCTTGTCTTGTACAAATTTGGATGCCAAAATCAAACTTGCCAGAAACATGCGTCTTCCACAGTTGATGTATACATTTTGCTCACAACGCCCATAGTCACATGTTTCTGTTTTTCCACCCTCATGCCGTTGGGATTTTGTTTTTGGTTGGAGATGCAATGATATCGCCGACTGTGCTCGAAGCAAGTAAAACAAGGCTGTCTGTAGAGTTGAATATGTAGTACGGGATCGCTTCAGGACCTCTTGGATAAACGTCCGCAACGGTACGACAGAAGACGGAGTTGAAGGTGTGGCAGACGGCCAGATGGTTTCAATCACCACGGCGTTCACGTCTAAGTGGAAGTACACGAGGTTTTAATTACGGTGGTTAGCTTAGTTTCTCGGATTCTCTCACTGTTTATGTTATTTGTATATAAATACACACACACACATATATATATATATATATTAATAAATACCTATTAATGCTTCTACATATGATATCCGACTTGGGGCTGGTTGGTGTGAGAGAGTCCCGGGAAGGGCAGTCACGAACCCCGGTTGGGAAGGTTGTGAACGGCAGGTCAGCGAGTCATGGCGTGATCCCGTTTTAGATCTTGAGTAGTGAAGAGGTACCGGGATTATTGGCTCACTAATAGTTGGTCTGCTGGTAGTGCTGTGGTAGTGTTGGTTTTGTTGCTGTGGCTGTTGTTGTTGAGTTTGGTATTGAGTTTGGTGTTGTTGTCTAGAGGGTCGGTGGCAGTGGAAAGGAAGGGCAACTGAGGGGTCTAAGGCTGGAAGGGTAGCGGTAACCATGGCTTTACAGAGAGTTGGACGGTATGTGCTGGTGATATAGTGGGTCATTGAGTGCATATGAAGTGAAAGAGATAAAATAGAATAAAAATAAGAATAAGAATGGAAATATGAAAGAAATAATAAATAAGAATAGAATAAAAAAATAAAAAAAGTATAAAATTAAAGAAGGCAATGAAATCAAAATTTATAAATGAAACAAATTATTACAAAAAATAAAATATAATACAATATATAAAATAAAATAAAAAAGGACCCTATGGTAAAATAAGGTAATGTAAAGTTGAAGTAAGTGGAAGTGGAAAGAAAGAGACGGAATATGGAATGGAATGGAATGGAAACAAGGCGAGACAAGGTAAAAGGTAAAATTCAAATTTAAGATAAAATATATAACTCAATAGGACAAAAAAGACAGGTGATTTCAGTGCAAGTCAAGGTAATTTTTGTCTTTTTTTTTTGGGTTTTTTTTTGGGTTTTTATTTTATATATATTTGCTTAGGGAGCTGAGAAGCAAAAAGGCAAGACGTACAGAGGGTGACAAAGGGGATCCTTGGCGCTGAGAAGAAGAGGTTATTAGAGCCTTCTAGCAAGGGAGTCTTGTTGATTTTTTTTAACCTTCAGGGATGAAGGAAAGAATACTATATATAAATATATATTGGCTTTATTTTATTTTATATTATTTTTTTTTACTAGTAACTTTGTTTTCATTCATATATTCATTCATTCATTCATTCATTCATTCGTTCATTTATGTAAGAGAGAGAGAGAGAGAAAAATAAATTCTAAAGGGCTTTGTACAAATCTTACCAAACTAGCCTATACTCCGTTAATGGCTGACTTGGGTTATCAATATTCAAAGTATAATTAGTTATTTTACTTAGTTAGTTACTAGGCTACATGGTTGCTTAGTTACCTGCTTATTTATTTATTCACTTATTTATTTATTTATTTTGTAGTAATTGTAATAACATTTCGTATAATTTGCCTTTTAGACAATCAAAACCTACAAGTGCCAAAGTGTGTGAGTCGCACGAGATACAACGGCTTGTCTGGTCTAGTTTCCTATTCCATGTGGTTCTTTTGTCTCAACTAGGAATTCAGGTTCCAAGAATCAGATAAATATATGGATATAGATGACCATGCACAAACTTACACAAATGTATATATACACACACACACATACACATACAGATACGGATATACATACATATACACATACACATACACACGATACAGAAAGAGACATAGTGTATTATATGAGTTATTATCCAATGTCCAGATTATACTTGATAAATATAATAAACTAAAAACATAAACAGATTATCCGCACAATGCAAACAAGACATGAAAATATGTATATATGTATATATTATGTATCTATGTATCTAATTTACTAAAAACAAAAATCAAAAAAAAAACAGATAACAATAATAGGTTGGTGGAATTTACTGAACATCAAAATAAAATAAAAAATAAGGAGGAGGGGTACGTTTCATACAATTGTCAAACAACTCCTCAATTATCTCTCTCTCTCTCTTTTTTACAATCACCATTTTATTGTTTAAATTTCCTATTTAAAAAATAAATAAGAAGAAGATAAAGAAGAAGATAAAGAGATAGATGTATATACCTGGGTTTGTAGATATATAGATAGGTAGATAGGTAGATAGGTAGGTAAATTGATAGGCAGATTGATAGACAGGTAGATAGATACACATTTAATTTTCTTGGAGGTGAAATATATATATATATATATATATATAATGTAAAGGAAAAGAGATAAAGAGAGCAGAGAAGGGAAGGGTAAAGGGGAGGGGGAGAAGGGGGGGGGGGGGGGGGGATTTTAATACCCCATTTCTTCCAACCGGGGGCCAATTCTCTCTTTCTTTCCCTATCATTTCTAAAAGGGAATTTGGATTTGCAATTTCCCCCCTAAAAATGCCTTTTTTTTCCTATTTTTTTTACGAGGTTTATCCCTTTCGCCCATTTGCATAAAAATTTTGTTTGTTTCTTAAAAAAAAGGAACTACTACTTGCTCTGTTCAAACAAATCTCGCGGGTCGAGGAAACCCAAAGCGAAATCCTCTTGGGGGCATGTCTTCATAGTCCCGGCGAGATCGTCTACTGGATCTCTCCCCCTCACGAACCCAAACATCCTCATTACCC